GTCCAGACCCTATGTCTGCTAATAACAACTGATATTAATTGTCCAGACCCTATGTCTGTCAATAACAACTGATATGAATGGTCCAGACCTAATATCTGTCAATAACAACTGATATGAATGGTCCAGACCCAATGTCTGTCAATAACAACTGATATGAATGGTCCAGACCCTGTGTCTGTCAATAACAACTGATATGAATGGTCCAGACCTAATATCTGTCAATAACAACTGATATTAATGGTCCAGACCCTATGTCTGTCAATAACAACTGATATGAATAGTCCAGACCCTATGTCTGTCAATAACAACTGATATGAATGGTCCAGACCTAATATCTGTCAATAACAACTGATATTAATGGTTCAGACCCTATGTCTGTCAGTGTAAAGGGTCCAGACCTCATGTCTGTTATTGATACTGATAGAGAAAGAGTTCCACAAAAGACATGTTTATTGTTTTCTGACAATTAGAGGTGCTATAATGATGTCAGTGTTGCTAGTAGAGGAGGACACTGTCCTTTAAGGTAAGTCAGTATCAGTGTCACTCACATAATGATGTAAAGATTGTAAAGGTCACACAAGCAAGATTGTGAAGGTCACACATGTCCACATTGTGAAGGTCACACATGTCCAGATTGTGAAGGTCACACATGTCCAGATTGTGTTGGTCACACATGTCCACATTGTGAAGGTCACACATGTCCAGATTGTGAAGGTCACACATGTCCAGATTCTGTAGGTCACACATGTCCACATTGTGAAGGTCACACAGGTCCAGATTGTGTAGGTCACACAGGTCCACATTGTATAGGTCACACAGGTCCACATTGTATAGGTCACACAGGTCCACATTGTGTAGGTCACACCTGTCCACATTGTGAAGGTCACACCTGTCCACATTGTGTAGGTCACACAGGTCCAGATTGTGTAGGTCACACCTGTCAAGATTATGTTGGTCACACCTGTCCAGATTGTGAAAGTCACACATGTCTAGATTGTGTATGTCACACATGTGCAGATTGTGTAGGTCACACCTGTCCAGATTGTGTAGGTCACACAGGTCCAGATTGTGAAGGTCACACAGGTCCAGATTGTGAAGGTCACACCTGTCCAGATTGTGAAGGTCACACCTGTCCAGATTGTGTAGGTCATACTTGTCCACATTGTGTAGGTCACACCTGTCCAGATTGTAAAGGTCACACTTGTCCAGATTGTTAAGGTCACACAGGTCCAGCTTGTGTATGTCAAATGTGTCAAGATTCTATGTCACAGGCCCACAAGGTGGTGTATATCAATTATTCCGACCAATTATATCAGGGAGAAATTATGTGATCTGCATTGCCTGCCTTGATTATAAGGTATGTGGACAATTAATTTCAGATTTCTTCTTGAATTGTCTTAAAGTATGACCATTGCTGAGATAAACAAGATGGTAAAAAATTTGTGCCTGGTACAGAGTGACACTTCGGTAGATTGCTTGTGTGTCTGTCTGGAACCATCACATCAAGACAAAGCGCAGTAAAGGTACAATTTATAGTGATAGCTGTTGGGAAGCTTTTTCATTAATTCTAGTACAAGGAGCTGCACAGATGAGTAATGCATTGATTCATCAGTACTGTCACAGAGAAAAACTTACCCTGTACATGTGGCTACAGATACATCAGATAATGGTCTTTACGTCAGAAATCTGTCTAACCGATGGAGCATAGATTGAAGACATGACCACAAGTTAGAAGACCATGTACCATCTGCACTGTCTATCATAATAATACAACCATTAGCACAAGTTAGGGGACACAACCATGTACTATAAGGACTATCTACTGTAAATGTTGTAGTAACACTCAGGGATCAACTAGTACATCAGTAGACAAACAGCAGGCTCTTTAGGCCTTGTGTCCATGGTATGGTCAAAAGCCAAAGCTGACTGTTCAGACCTGATGTCTGAGGTATGTTCACAAGGTGACTGTTCAGACCTGGTTACCATACCTGCTAGGTGAGGGTATATATGTGGTTGTAACTGTTCAGACCTGGTTACCATACCTGCTAGGTGAGGGTATACATGTGGTTGTGTCTGTTCAGACCTGGTTAGCATACCTTTTAGGTGCGGGTATACATGTGGTTGAGACTGTTCAGACCTGGTTCCCATACCTGCTAGGTATAAATGTGGATGTGACTGTTCAGACCTGGTTACCAAACCTGCTAGGTGAGGGTATACATGTGGTTGCGACTGTTCAGACCTGGTTACCATCCCTGCTAGGTATAAATGTGGTTGTGACTGTTCAGTCCTGGTTACCATACCTGCTAGGTGAGGGGATACATGTGGTTGAGACTGTTCAGACCTGGTTACCATACCTGCTAGGTATAAATGTGGTTGTGACTGTTCAGACCTGGTTACCATACCTGCTAGGTGAGGGTATACATGTGGTTGTGACTGTTCAGACCTGGTTAGCATACCTTTTAGGTGAGGGTATACATGTGGTTGAGACTGTTCAGACCTGGTTACCATACCTGCTAGGTGAGGGTATACATGTGGTTGAGACTGTTCAGACCTGGTTACCATACCTGCTAGGTGAGGGTATACATGTGGTTGTGACTGTTCAGACCTGGTTACCATACCTGCTAGGTGAGGGTATACATGTGGTTGTGACTGTTCAGACCTGGTTACCATACCTGCTAGGTGAGGGTATACATGTGGTTGTGACTGTTCAGACCTGGTTACCATACCTGCTAGGTGAGGGTATACATGTGGTTGTGACTGTTCAGACCTGGTTACCATACCTGCTAGGTGAGGGTATACATGTGGTTGTGACTGTTCAGACCTGGTTACCATACCTGCTAGGTGAGGGTATACATGTGGTTGTGACTGTTCAGACCTGGTTACCATACCTGCTAGGTGAGGGTATACATGTGGTTGTGACTGTTCAGACCTGGTTACCATACCTGCTAGGTGAGGGTATACATGTGGTTGTGACTGTTCAGACCTGGTTACCATACCTGCTAGGTGAGGGTATACATGTGGTTGTGACTGTTCAGACCTGGTTACCATACCTGCTAGGTGAGGGTATACATGTGGTTGTGACTGTTCAGACCTGGTTACCATACCTGCTAGGTGAGGGTATACATGTGGTTGTGACTGTTCAGACCTGGTTACCATACCTGCTAGGTGAGGGTATACATGTGGTTGAGACTGTTCAGACCTGCTAGGTGAGGGTATGCATGTGGTTGAGACCTTGGTGCTGAATCAGAGATCCTGAGTATTGATTTTGTATTGCTGTATTATGTAACCCACCACCTCATGATGCTGTTGATGACTCCCTCACCTAACACCTCAGCAGTTCAGGTCAGTTGGTCATCCAAAGGTCAAACATTTACCTATTGTGAAAATGATATGCTGGTTGCATGTCTGCTTCCAATATATGTTTTGATATTTCATAGTATACAGGTATGTGTATATGACTTCGTTATTTCTGCTTGTGTCCTTGCTAATGATTCATGTACAGGTAATAAACAAAGCAAAATCAAACCTGACTTAATGACATGGTTGCAATATTTACACAGCTAGAATAAGTATGTTTTCTCTTGGTAGGTGGGGATATTAGTGGTTGTAGGGTAATAAGTGCTGTTGCCTTTAGTGCTGCAGTAAGGTGTTGGGTAGCAAACAAGCTAAACTGACGCAAACACAGGACTTTTCTACCATGTTACTGACCAAGGAAGTGGTGTAATTTTAGTTTGGCAGTAGACAATGTTATAGGTGCCAAGCCTGGGTATGTGTACACATCAGCTAGGAGTACTGTGATCATACTGTCACTAGAATATCTAGATTGGAGAGGTGCTGTGATGTTGCTGCTGGTCGTGGTATCTGTGTCAGCAACATGTAAACAGCCAGTGAAAGCATGTTTATGTGCAGAACTAAGCCTTGTTTATTTCCTGACTTACAACATCAGCTGTCAACGCTGGAGGCAGCACTGTGTACAGTTAATCTTACCCCTTATAGTACACAGTGGAGGCAGCAATGTATACAGTTAATCTTACCCCTTATAGTACACAGTGGAGGCAGCACTGTGTACAGTTAATCTTACCCCTTATAATACACAGTGGAGGCAGCACTGTGTACAGTTAATAGTACCCCTTATAGTACACGGTGGAGGCAGCACTGTGTACAGTTAATCTTACCCCTTATAGTACACAGTGGAGGCAGCAATGTATACAGTTCATCTTACCCCTTATAGTACACAGTGGAGGCAGCAATGTATACAGTTCATCTTACCCCTTATAGTACACAGTGGAGGCAGCAATGTGTACAGTTAATCTTACCCCTTATAGTACACAGTGGAGGCAGCACTGTGTACAGTTTATCTTACCCCTTATAGTTAACCTACTCCAGCCTACTGACAATAGGCTCCTAATAATCTTTCTAGATCAGAGTTTTATCCTACCCGTAATTGTAAACTTACTCTTGCCTAGTTGCTATAGACTCCTAATAGTCTATCTAGATCAGAGTTTAATCGTACCCCTCATAGTAAACCTACTCCAGCCTACTGGCTATATAGGCTCCTAACAGTCTATCTAGACGAGCGTTTAGTACTACCCTTCATAGTAAACCTACTCCAGCCTACTGGCTATATAGGCTCCTAATAGTCTATCTAGATGAGCGTTTAGTACTACCCTTCATAGTTAACCTACTCCAGCCTACTGGCTATATAGGCTCCTAACAGTTTATCTTGATTATAATTTAATCCTACCCCTCACAGTAAACCCACTCCAGCTTACTGGCTAGGCAGAGTTAATTGTTGAAAAGTTTTTCTGTTAAATAATCGCAGATGGCTCTTCCAATTACCGAAATATGAATTCTGCACGTTGTCTTTGATACAAAATTAACTCTTACTTGGGACTCGGCTTTGAAAACTTGTAGACTTATGGATGAGGAAAACTGGTTTAAATCCTGTATTTCGACTAAACTGGTCAGTTTTGTAACATTTTAAACTGTCTGTGTTACAGAAGCGGTGAAGGAGAGTGGCGAGGTAGAGGACAAGAAGGAGGAATCCAGTAGTGACCCTCCCGTCCAAGAGGGGAAAGAGGGGGAGCAAGTGGAGGTTCCTGAGGGTCTAGAATCCACCACAATTACAACACAAGCACAGATCACACCAATCAGTACACAAACTACTAATCCAGGTAGGGATACTTATAGAAGTGCTCACTCTGGTATCAGGAGAAGGTACGGATACTTATAGAAGTGCTCACTCTGGGATCAGGAGAAGGTAGGGATACTTATAGAAGTGATCACTCTGGTATCAGGAGAAGTTAGGGATACTTATAGAAGTGCTCACTCTGGTATCAGGAGAAGGAAGGGATACTTATAGAAGGGCTTGCTCTGGTATCAGGAGAAGGTAGGGATACTTATAGAAGTGCTCACTGTGGTATCAGGAGAAGGTAGGGATACTTACAGAAGTGCTCGCTCTAGTATCATGAGAAGGTAGGGATACTTATAGAAGGGCTTGCTCTGGTATCAGGAGAAGGTAGGGATACTTATAGAAGTGCTCACTCTGGTATCAGGAGAAGGTAGGGATACTTATAGAAGTGCTCACTCTGGTATCAGGAGAAGTTAGGGATACTTATAGAAGTGCTCGCTCTGGTATTGGGAGACTTTTTACATGCAAATAGCATTGGCAGTTTAAAGAATCAAAAATTTCACATGATTCTAGAGTTTCTTTTTCAGTAATTCTTCTATTTAAGTCAAGAAATGTTAATATTAATTCATAAATTGTACTATTTCAACTAACATTTTAGAAAATTTAGGCCTTTGAAAAAATGTAACATTGATCATTGAAAATAGGCCTATGTTTTGTGGCTCCGTCATCACAAACTTTTAGTAGTGGTGTATACTACAGATAGAAAATAAATCAGATTTCATTGTTAGGTTTTAATTGCAAAAATAAAAAACAATTAAATGTTTTAAATATCAACAACGGCAGAGTTAGTCCTTAGATGTAGATAGGTGGTTGTCTGCCATTGAAGTTGTTAAGATAAAGGGGAAAACCCAAAAGAATTTGAAAAATGTTCCCCATGAGGGTAAACATAATGTTTTGTTAACTTCAAGCATGTGGTACCACGAAACATGATAACTTGTCTGACAATCGTGTTATGTGTCTAAGACAATGTAATAGATACGAGGTATAATGATATATTACATGTTGTACATGCGGTGTGGAATGTTTGTATGTTGTACCAGTCCTATATATGACAGTCTGGTAGCAGGCAGCGATGTAGCCAACATTTACTGATGGAGAAGTAGGATGATACTAACAGCTCTGTGTGTGTCATACAACGCTCACTGCTGTGTTGATCTGGGTACTACCACTGGAGTATCTAAATGTCACACGGAGCATATACAATGTCAAAAGAAAAATATACAATGTCAAAAAAAAAATATACAATGTCAAACCAGCATATACAGAAAAAACTAACAGTGCTATAGAAATATTGTACAATGTCACTTAGTCTAAACGATGTTACAGAAATATTGTACAATGTCACTTAAAGTATAAACGATGTTACAGAAATATTGTACGATGTCACTTAAAAGTCTAAAACATATTACAGAAATATGGTACAATGTCACTTAAAGTCTATACGATGTTACCGAAATTTTGTACAATGTCACTTAAAGTCTATACGATGTTACAGAAATATTGTACAATGTCACTTAAAGTCTAAACAATGTTACAGAAATATTGTACAATGTCACTTAGTCTAAACGATGTTACAGAAATATTGTACAATGTCATTTAGTCTAAACGATGTAACAGAAATATTGTACAATGACACTTAAAGTCTATACGATGTTACAGAAATATTGTACAATGTCACTTAAAGTATAAACGATGTTACAGAAATATTGTACAATGTCACTTAGTCTAAACGGTGTTACAGAAATATTGTACAATGTCACTTAAAGTCTAAACAATGTTACAGAAATATTGTACAATGTCACTTAAAGTATAAACGATGTTACAGAAATATTGTACAATGTCTCTTAGTCTAAACGATGTTACAGAAATATTGTACAATGTCACTTAAGGTTATACGATGTTACAGAAATATTGTACAATGTCACTTAGTCTAAACGATGTTACAGAAATATTGTACAATGACACTTAGTCTAAACGATGTTACAGAAATATTGTACAATGTCACTTAGTCTAAACGATGTTACAGAAATATTGTACAATGACACTTAAAGTCTAAACAATGTTACAGAAATATTGTACAGTGTCACTTAAAGTCTAAACGATGTTACAGAAATATTGTACAATGTCAATTGAAGTCTATACGATGTTACAGAAATATTGTACAATGTCACTTAACCCTTTGCCACATGCAAGCGCCTCTGGACGCCTTTACCCCTTGCCACATGTAAGCGCTTCCCGACGCCTCTACATTATCTCAATGTAAGCGCTTCTCAACGCCGCTACGTTATCTCAATGTAAGCGCCTCTCGACGCCATGCCGTTTCAGTAAACTTAGACATGGAAAATAACGTGATTGAGAGCGACACCTATCTGGAAATCACCTATACTATTTTTAGCAGATATCAATGCATCGACCAATCAGATTTGTACACGTCATTCCTACAAATAGTTTTGAATAAATTAACCTAGAAACTGCGAGTCATGAGTGTAGAAAAGTGTCACAACAACGAGCCGTGATGGCGATTGCACAACTATGTTACGGGACATTTTTGAGGAGGAGGAGGAGGATTAATAGTCTAACAGCTTCAACCCTGATGACATTGAGTCAGACATCGATCTTAACGATGTTTTTGAATGAACTGTCATCAGAAATAAGTCCGAAAATGATTATGTAAAAGATAAACAGCGACCGGGTGTCCCGCCTCTATTACGGCATTAGGTAACGACGACTCTGAATGGTCTCCAGATTTTTCACCGATCAATTTTAATGATTTTGTTAGAAAAACGGGGCTAATACTTCCAGAAAAATGTTGATGTTGATACTGCAGGTCCCGTTGATTATTTCTATCTTTTCTTCAATAAAATCAGTTCACCACCATAGCCCGAGACACACAAACAATTTTACGCTCGCTGGTGTTTGAAAAACGAAAATAGATTTTACCCAAAACGGTCGGATACAAATTCCGCCCCAATAAAAGCTTTTATATAGGCCTAAATATACACTGTATTTTAAAACTTCTTGTGAGAATTTTGGAAATTTGGTTTGTTGTTTCATTTGGAAATGATAATATCATTGTTGAGTCATTTCATTGAAACATAATTAAAGCAAAATGAAACATTTTAAAATGTGTCTATCCTGATATACATACAGCTGATTTCATGGTTATGTTTTTATTAGGAAAATAGCACGTAATTAAATTTTAAGAAATTCTGAACATAATTTTAACTTGCTGAAAATGCTTAAAACAACTATTTCACCTTCAAAATTAAGGTTAGAAAAACAAATCAAAACAAAACTTAATTTCTCAAAAACTGCCATTGAGATGGCGTATACACATTTCAGTCAGTGCAGCAATGTTGCATTGCAACAATGTATCTTGGCACTATCAGTACAGAGTGTTCAAGTGTATTGGCTTGCATGTGGCGAAGGGTTTAAGTCTAAACGATGTTACAGAAATATTGTACAATGACACTTAAAGTCTAAACGATGTTACAGAAATGTTTTACAGTGTCACTGAAGCCTACACAATGTCACAGAAACCTTTCCTTTTCTGTTCTATAAAACATGTACTTTGATGTATTGTCGAAACAAAATTTAAATAAAACAAAGTTTAAACCAATGTCTACAATGTCACATAAAACCTACACAATGTCACATAAAACCTACACAATGTCACAAAAACCTACACAATGTCACATAAAACCAACACAATGTCACATAAAACCTACACAATGTCACATAAAACCTACACAATGTCACAAAAACCTACACAATGTCACAAAAACCTATACAATGTCACAAAAACCTATACAATATCACAGAAGTCTTGTACAATGTCACACAAAGCATTTACAATGTCATAGAAAACTTGTACAATGTCATGAGGCCTATATAATGTCTCAAATGCTTATACAGTATCAATAAAAGTCTATACAATGTCTCAAATGCCCATACAGTGTCAATGAAAGTCTACACAATATACAATGTCGCTGAAATGCTGAAATCTTGTATAATGTCACTTAAGTAATTGGCCTTGACACATTATTGAAGGTGTAGGTTAGACATGGAGAAACCTGGTTTGTGGTGTACTTAGAGACCAGTAACTGACATCCTGGTGGCCTGTTTGGTAGGTTTCCATCACAACCAACAGGTTTGAATTCTGTCAGCATAGCTTTCCTACAGGTGTCCTGAAAACAATGTGTATTTCGCTTTCTTGCGGCACCTGTTGAGGTTTTCCCCGACATCTATGTATTTGTTAGATCCTGGCAGCATCTGTTTTCCACTTGAGCTTGAAGAAAGTTTGGGTAGTTCATATTTATATCGGGCAGGAAACACTTTTCTCATTAATTTGTGATTACAATATGGAATGATAGGGCAGTGCTGACAGTTTCTACCTGACATGTGTGTACCACACCCTGGACATGTAGTCAGGCTCACAAGTGATCCTCTGTTTAGAAAGATGGATTTTGGCATCTTCCCCTGGATTTATTTCTGATCCCCTACTTAGATGGGGGTATATAGTAAACACTTTGTCAGTGTGTCTTGTACGCTCATCTGTAGTAAAGTCAGTGTGTCTCATACGATCAAATGTAGTAAAGAGGTTGTATATAAGACATCACATTAAGCCTTCAGCAGATTTACTTCATATTTATTTCACTATAGTATGGTACCATCAACTTATACATCTGATAAGGTTATGTTAGTCAAAGGTCAAGGTTCAACGGTTACTCTTGATAACTATTGAAGTAAAAATGACTCTCCCACAACCTCTTCAACAGCTTTTTTTTTTTTTTTTTTTTTTATCTTTTAATACTTTGGTGTAGTCACATTAAGTATTATAACTGATGAGGTATTGATGGTAATGAGTCGAGGTTAAAGGGTCAAAAGTCACACACAACCCGTTTTTAAGTAATATAATAATAAGCATGTGTACAAAATATCCCATGATCCCCTCAGCAGTTTATATCTACCCCATAGTATAGTAATGTAAAAATGTACTGCCAATTCAATTTGAAGTTTGAAGTAAAAACCTTGCATACAAATTATCATATTTTACACTTGATTAAATTTTGATGGTCATTGGTCAAAGGTTACACTGGACCACTTTTTGAGGGAAAATCCTTGTGAAGGTAGTTATTGGGGTGAATAGGGGGGGGGGGGGGGGTATACCTTGCTCACATGGCTGGTTTGTGAGTGTTGATGAGTAAAGTATACTGTAGGGGGGAATCTGGAGTATTGATCCCTGTGACTTTGTGATAAATCACTGCTCCAAGGCTGGCAGGATTACACTGGCTTGTTTACACACTCACTGGCATATTCGCACGGGAAATCCAAGAATAAAAACTAGGTTGTGCTGAAAATAACATAAACGTACAAAGAATGCATTTGAGAGTATTGAGTGGGATTAGATATAACTGTGATATCGAAACTAAGGAACGGAAAACTACTAAAATCTCATGGAACTAGAACCTTATTAAAGTCCAAATATGCATGCTGAAAACTTGTACTCCGCAGACAGTACCTGTGTGGAACAAAGACTCTATAAAACCAGTGTTCACACTTGTTGTATTTTGCCACTATTTGATGATGTTTTGTTGGTGGTATATACTGCTACTATGCTGGAGATTGGGGTGGGCGACTGTACAGCATTCATCTTTTCTGTGCCTGTCCTTGATAATTGCTTCTGGGCCATAGTTTCCTTGTATTTTTCATGCAGGCTCAGGAGGTTAATTAGAATAATATACAACATTTATATAGCGCCCTATATAATTTGTAAAATTACTCTAAAGCGCTTTACAACATATGGATAATAGTAATGGTTATAATTGTGAAAACAAAAAACAAAGGCTTACAATCACTTTTATACATTTAAGCAAGCAATGTGCACATAATTGAACAAATAAAAGGGTGGTATTTACATGACGTCTTTGCAAGGATTCTAAAATGAAAATAAAGGTTGACCATACTTCATGTCCTGTTTACGTTTAGCAGTGTGTCACGCACTAAAACTAGTTGCAGTGACTTATATTTAAAGTTCATACAACAGGAAAGTAAAGCTGCCCTGCAGTATTATCTACTGATACAGTGACCATCAGAATAGTATACCCCTTTATTAACAGGGATTTCTACTTTGGAATGGAGTTACTCTCTAAATAATAGTCCTCCATTAGTCCACACCCAGTACCCTTATTATTTCAAATACAGTAAAAACAGGTCTGCAATATAAATAATACACAAGATTTTACCATGCATGCTTGCTAAAGGAACTCTTAATTCTAGTTAGAGAAACTTGGATACTCCAAACCATACAATGCAATAATAGTAAGTTGTTTGAACCTGTTTCAGTGCTAACAACAGCCAATGCTAGGCCAATGATCATACCTGCTGCTGCCACAAAAGTACCTCAGGAACCGCCCATCCCTGCCCCCAGACCTTCCATCGCTATGGAGATGGAGGTACAACAAGCCAGTACAGTCAAGTTTGCTGCGGAGGAACAGGTCATCTCCGACAATCATCTCCCTAATGATGACGATGACGAGGAAGAGGATTTGAGTAAGTTGTGTTTTTGACACATGTTATGTTGTTGACTTGTAGTCAGAATTTTATAAAGCAGGTATCTTAAGATAGATAATGTTTGCACCATCTTACTTTTATAACCCAACTTGAATAAGTGTGTGTGTGCTGGTGGGGTGGGGCAGGGTGTGCTGGTGGTTGTCACATTTACAAATTTTGATTGCCGAAACTTTGACATTTCATATAAGTAAATAACAAATAACTCGAGCCCTGATATGTCATATAATATGTATATATATAACTGTGATCATGACATTCATGTGATATATTATTTCTATGACCTTGACATGCCATACGACATTCATATAACATATGTGACTTCAGTACTCTGTGGCTTTGATATATAACATATATATAAAAATATGACCTTGACATTCATGATATATTTTATTTTGAACTTGACATTCATATAATACCCTGGTATTTATAATTCTCTGACAATGTCTTGTAATATTATATTCTTTGACTTTAATTTTTTTATGACATATTACTGTGACCTTGACCTGTCATATGGGCTTATATAAATCAGTGACCTTAACATCCATATGACTATGTGACCTTGACTTGTCATAGTATGTATAACTGTGTGACCTTCACATTGTTGTGACATATAAAACTTTGCTTTATTCCCTACAGGTGACCTTGACGTTACAGAGCCAGAACAGAGTGAACAAGAACCAAACCTTGATCCTGGCTTTGAACAGGTTCCTGCCTCCGAACCGGATCTGAATAAACAACCTAAAAAAAGTGCTTTGAAGTCTAGATTTGAACTGAATGGTGGTGTGCCGGTGACGCCAGAGCCTAGTGCCGCGTCACAAATAGACAGCAGTAGATCACATTGTGTGCCCAATCATGTTAGGAGTGTTAACCAGCAGCCGAAGCCTTCCCCTCTGGCCACACCCCTTTCTGGCAATATAGGCCGGCCGCGGCTTAGAGCTGGATTTGTGTAAGTGTTGGGTCCCCAGTACTAGATAAGGTTGTGGAAATCCACGCTGGGTCAGAGAATCATTGATCAATTATACAGCTAACAGAATCAACTCATTTATCATATCTTTATGTGGAATAGATCCAATTGAATATATACAGTAACAGACTCAACTCATTTATCATATCTTTATGTGGAATAGATCCAATTGAATATATACAGTAACAGAATCAACTCATTTATCACATCTTTATGTGGAATAGATCCAATTGAATATATACAGTAACAGAATCAACTCATTTATCACATCTTTATGTGGAATAGATCCAATTGAATATATACAGTAACAGAATCAACTCATTTATCACATCTTTATGTGGAATAGATCCAATTGAATATATACAGTAACAGAATCAACTCATTTATCACATCTTTATGTGGAATAGATCCAATTGAATATATACAGTAACAGAATCAACTCATTTATCACATCTTTATGTGGAATAGATCCAATTGAATATATACAGTAACAGAATCAACTCATTTATCACATCTTTATGTGGAATAGATCCAATTGAATATATACAGTAACAGAATCAACTCATTTATCACATCTTTATGTGGAATAGATCCAATTGAATATATACAGTAACAGAATCAACTCATTTATCACATCTTTATGTGGAATAGATCCAATTGAATATATACAGTAACAGAATCAACTCATTTATCACATCTTTATGTGGAATAGATCCAATTGAATATATACAGTAACAGAATCAACTCATTTATCACATCTTTATGTGGAATAGATCCAATTGAATATATACAGTAACAGAATCAACTCATTTATCACATCTTTATGTGGAATAGATCCAATTGAATATATACAGTAACAGAATCAACTCATTTATCACATCTTTATGTGGAATAGATCCAATTGAATATATACAGTAACAGAATCAACTCATTTATCACATCTTTATGTGGAATAGATCCAATTGAATATATACAGTAACAGAATCAACTCATTTATCACATCTTTATGTGGAATAGATCCAATTGAATATATACAGTAACAGAATCAACTCATTTATCACATCTTTATGTGGAATAGATCCAATTGAATATATACAGTAACAGAATCAACTCATTTATCACATCTTTATGTGGAATAGATCCAATTGAATATATACAGTAACAGAATCAACTCATTTATCACATCTTTATGTGGAATAGATCCAATTGAATATATACAGTAACAGAATCAACTCATTTATCACATCTTTATGTGGAATAGATCCAATTGAATATATACAGTAACAGAATCAACTCATTTATCACATCTTTATGTGGAATAGATCCAATTGAATATATACAGTAACAGAATCAACTCATTTATCACATCTTTATGTGGAATAGATCCAATTGAATATATACAGTAACAGAATCAACTCATTTATCACATCTTTATGTGGAATAGATCCAATTGAATATATACAGTAACAGAATCAACTCATTTATCACATCTTTATGTGGAATAGATCCAATTGAATATATACAGTAACAGAATCAACTCATTTATCACATCTTTATGTGGAATAGATCCAATTGAATATATACAGTAACAGAATCAACTCATTTATCACATCTTTATGTGGAATAGATCCAATTGAATATATACAGTAACAGAATCAACTCATTTATCACATCTTTATGTGGAATAGATCCAATTGAATATATACAGTAACAGAATCAACTCATTTATCACATCTTTATGTGGAATAGATCCAATTGAATATATACAGTAACAGAATCAACTCATTTATCACATCTTTATGTGGAATAGATCCAATTGAATATATACAGTAACAGAATCAACTCATTTATCACATCTTTATGTGGAATAGATCCAATTGAATATATACAGTAACAGAATCAACTCATTTATCACATCTTTATGTGGAATAGATCCAATTGAATATATACAGTAACAGAATCAACTCATTTATCACATCTTTATGTGGAATAGATCCAATTGAATATATACAGTAACAGAATCAACTCATTTATCACATCTTTATGTGGAATAGATCCAATTGAATATATACAGTAACAGAATCAACTCATTTATCACATCTTTATGTGGAATAGATCCAATTGAATATATACAGTAACAGAATCAACTCATTTATCACATCTTTATGTGGAATAGATCCAATTGAATATATACAGTAACAGAATCAACTCATTTATCACATCTTTATGTGGAATAGATCCAATTGAATATATACAGTAACAGAATCAACTCATTTATCACATCTTTATGTGGAATAGATCCAATTGAATATATACAGTAACAGAATCAACTCATTTATCACATCTTTATGTGGAATAGATCCAATTGAATATATACAGTAACAGAATCAACTCATTTATCACATCTTTATGTGGAATAGATCCAATTGAATATATACAGTAACAGAATCAACTCATTTATCACATCTTTATGTGGAATAGATCCAATTGAATATATACAGTAACAGAATCAACTCATTTATCACATCTTTATGTGGAATAGATCCAATTGAATATATACAGTAACAGAATCAACTCATTTATCACATCTTTATGTGGAATAGATCCAATTGAATATATACAGTAACAGAATCAACTCATTTATCACATCTTTATGTGGAATAGATCCAATTGAATATATACAGTAACAGAATCAACTCATTTATCACATCTTTATGTGGAATAGATCCAATTGAATATATACAGTAACATAATCAACTCATTTATCACATCTTTATGTGGAATAGATCCATTTGAATATATACAGTAACAGACTCAACTCATTTATCATATCTTTATGTGGAATAGATCCAATTGAATATATACAGTAACATAATCAACTCATTTATCACATCTTTATGTGGAATAGATCCAATTGAATATAGACAGTAACAGAATCAACTCATTTATCATATCTTTATGTGGAATAGATCCAATTGAAAATAACACTGTAATGGGTTTCTTGATTAAAAATATTTATTTTGAAATGGAACCTTACTGAAATTAAGACAAAATGTGTTTGGGATGTTTGACTTACTGATATATATGATCAAATGATACGTGTACTTCAGTGGAATATAAACTATCTCAAATAAGTCTTACAAAAGAAAACCTTGACCAGTGTATTTATATAATGTACCGAAATGTTAAGCCAGCATGGACAAAAAGCTAATTCTAAATATTTATATAATTTGACTGAGATCTTGTATGTACATCATTACTTAGGTAGAAAGAACAAATAAAGGTTATTTTTTTGGTTGTAGACATGTTCCAACACCGACAGGAGGGGACAGTGATAAGGAAAATACCCCAATCCCTGTGTCAATGCCAGTAGTACCCTCACCAGTGTCTTTCCAAAACACCCCAAAGTCATCCACACAGCAACACTCTTACGACGACTCATCATCCGACGACGAGGAAATCAAGTACCGTGATGATGACGAAGACGACGAGATGGAAACAAGTAAGGGGAGATAATAGACCCTTTGAATAGCATATTGTGGTTCCTATCCTATTTGACAATGAAATTTGTTATAAAATGTTTGTAATTTGTACACATTTTATTTGGAGAAAACAGTTTTAGTGTCTGGCATCCATTTGTCTTAATATTATATACAAATATCAGCAATACAGACATAAGTTTCCTATAACGTACTAAAGGTAAGAAATAGTGATTAAAAAAGCAAAGATTAATTTGGAAATCATTAAACATTTTAATTATTGAGAACCTTATCACTTGATTGTACAACAATGCAATAAATTATAACACTTTCAATATTTGAAAAAGAAAAAGATTTTCTTAATGTAAAACATCTTTGTCATTTTTCAGGTTCTTTAGCAGCAAAAGTAGCAAGACAAGATAGTTTAGCTAGGTTTTTAAGTAATCGCCCATCACATCACGAACTTATTGAGAAAAACATTATACCGTCTGAGTCACAGGACGAGAAACAGGTGCAAAGGTTCAACATTGGACATAAGCTTACAAGGTAAGTCATTCTAAGATGACAAGGGAAGTAACTCTTGAACATTGGACATCAGCTGACATATACTGTTTATATAAATGTTTCCAAGTAAATATTCACAAAATATTTGAATTTGCAATGATTGTTCTTAAATTTAAATGTAAATCTACTTCTCCTTGAAGTGGAACTGTTGTTTTATAATGCTAAAAGATTGATATTGATGGTTGTTATTCAGTATAACCAAACCACTTTGGTAATTGTCTATTTCCTATTTTTAGGCGGCTGAGCTTACGTCCTACCCAGGATGAGTTAATGCAAAGAAATATTTTACACAGTAAGTTACGTTTTCTATTTACATGATCCAGGGAGGCAGTGTTGGCATGTCATTATCATCCATAGTCAACTTAAAAATTTATGATATTTTGAAAAATTGTAAAACCTACCTCTGTAAGGGGAGTTTCCTATAACTAGAACCTGGTGGATAAATATGGGTTTATATTGAAATACAAACAGGTTATAAGCATCGTCATACTAAAATGAGAACATTTCTGCTGGGTATTATTTAAACAATTTCGGGGCAAATAGCGTACAAGTTTTGGGTTTAAATCATTACAGTTGGTTCAAACATACCATATTCATGCTAATACATGCCCTGGATACATAGCAAATTAAGAAAATTCGCATGATTTCTGACCATTTCTGGAGTTTAAAAAAATAACCATAGCAGATGTGTTTATTCAAATCATTTTGTAAATTTTGGTAAATGGGATAGGACACTCAGATAAGTAAATACATCTGGGGTTCTAACTTCTTGTAAGGGATGGGGGGTGCTTATTAGGTCAAATACCAGGTACAATTATCAATATGCATCACTTGAAAGCATAATGTACCTTACTTCATAGGAAATGTTAATCTTTTATTGAAAAACATGTTTGATTTAGATATTGTTTTGTATTTCTTCACTGCTTTCTCTATCCAACACATCAGTAGTTTTCTGCAGCTTGTGTGGTTTCCTCTATCAATTGAAACAAGTTTATATTGGAAGTTTTTCTCAATCTCAATGAAGATAATAATTTGAGGAAAATTTATCTGTATTAAACTGAAAACTCAATATGACACCTACATGTATTATAATGAATCTGTAGTGTTATTGAAATTTCCACACTTGCATTAGTAAAAATATTCTTCATACTAGCCAACTTCTATTTTTTTCATGGGGAAAGAACTGCATTGCAAATCTGAAATAAAAAGGTTTTAAAAGTGATTGAAATATAAATGATTAGCTCACCGTGTTTGAAGGACCAAGGTGAATTTACTCCGTACCTCAGCATCTATCAGTCCATCTGTGATTTATCCAAACAACTGTCTTCATCTTCTGAAGCATTGAACGTACCTTGACCAAGTTTGAAAATGTCCTCATGTAATAGAGATTGAAAATTGTGCTAATCGAGAGTAAGGATGGAGTGGGCCATATATAGTTGAAAGTATGCTCAGATGGGATGATAAAAAAATGTAAAATTAACGGGGGGGAGGGTCCCCCTCCCCGCCTTCCCCACCCCTCTCCCTCAAAAAAAGTTCATAATTTGTGATCCCTGCCCTATAACCATATACTGCTTACTGGGCATGAAAAGATCATAGCGTAGAAACTACTGAGATCCCAACCTATTACCAGTTCACAGTTAACAGGCATGCAGATATATATAACCAGGATCACCTCAGGGGTCTAGGACTTAGTCCCATAGTCAATTTATGGAAAATGTTGAAATCTACAAGGCATAAAGAGACTAACACAATCATGCTATCAGTCCGCCTGGAGACTTCACTTCCTAGGTCATAATATGGACAAAGTTTTTGGAGATCGGATCCCCACCATATCACAATATATAAAACTGCTGTGCATGAAGATGCATATAGGCTATGATTGCCTTATTTGGAAACAAAAGAGATCATGACTCTATAACCATGTATGTGCTTGCTGCAAACACAGTTATTCTTGCTTGTGGAGTCCTTGGTCATAAGTAGCAATCATATGATATTTCTGATTATTGAGCATGAATAGATGAACACACAGATGCTACCAAGATTGACACCAGGCTCTGGCCCTGCCCCTGGGATTTTGTCCCTTTTATCATTTCTTAGAAATATGAGATTCCCATCTATGCAGTATGTGGACATGAGAAGACTTCAACTCATTTTTGTATTGGTCCAAGGGGTCTGCCCCCTCTCCCCTTCTAATGGACTTATTCCTTGTGTCATAACACAGCAATTTAAATATTCTAGATTCCCACTCTGTAACTCTGTAACAATATATGCAATTATACAATCGCTGGGCATGAAGAGGTAAATGCAATTGTGCTACCCCCCCCCAATTCCCTATTAATATATCTTGTTTACCTGAATAGTAATGATAAAGATGAATAATTATTATAAAGCACTACTTACACTGCACAATCTGCCAAAAAGAAGCCATTATTGTATAAAAAAAAAATACAACAAATTTTCAAAATGGTTAATTTTGAAGAAAACATTAGCTGTGTCAGAGGATCAATCAGTTTTATAGAATGGCATCTCTAGTAAGATGAAGATGTTTAAAGAAGGACACTTGTTATTATGTCAGGATAATAACTTACCTGTTTATCTGTAGTACATGAATTCTGAAATTGTTACAGGTTAATTTGATGAAAATACTTGACTTTTCACAATACAATTAAGTCTTGGTTTAATTTCATGTTCATTCAATAGCAGACTGTGAAAAATTCAACACACCAGTAAAATATATAAGAAGTTCTCTTGACCATTGTCGTCCTAATCAACAATCTGTCACTATTGTAACATATATAGACAATCTCTTATAGCATCAAACATTTTATGTGAAAATTCTCAGGATTATACATAATGTATATGCTTTCGTTGAAAGGTGACAAGGTTCATAGCCTTGTTAGCTCACCTGTACGTCGTCAACTTTTTCTTTAAAACCCATCTCCTCCTAAATGCCAAAGAGGAGGCGGGGAACTGAAGGGGAACTTAGCTAAATTTGCTTTAAAACTCATCTCCTACTTAACGCCAGTGAGGATTTCAACCAAATTTAGTCTGAAGCATCACTAGGGGAGGGCAATCATTTCTTATATAAATGAGGTTGGTTTGACCCCTGAGGAGGGGGGGCGGGGCCCTGAAGGGGAACTTAGCTAAATTTGCTTTAAAATGCATCTCCTCCTTAACGCCAGAGAGGATTTCAACCAAATTCAGTCTGAAGCATCACTGGGGGAGGGCAATCATTTTTTAAATAAGTGAGGTTGGTTACCCCTGAGGCCAGGGGGGCGGGGCCCTGAAGGGGAACTTAGCTAAAGCTTTAAAATGCATCTCCTCCTAAACACCAGAGAAGATTTTAACCAAGTTGCTCTGAAACTTCATTGGGGGAAGGCAATCATTTCCTAAATAAATGAGACTTGTTCGACACCTGGGGCTAGGAAGACCGGGCCCCAAAGAGGAAAATTATCTAATATTTTGCTTTAAGACGCTAATACCCCCTAATTGCCCGAGTTGATGGTACAAAATTTGGTCAAAAACATTATTGAGGAAGAACAAACATTTCTTAATTGAATGAGGTTGATTGGACCCCTGCGGTCCTAAGAAATGGTACAGCTAGATTATCATATTCTCTGGTGTAGTTTTTAGCCCACCATCATCTGATGGTGGGCTATTCAAATCACCCTGCGTCCGTGGTCCGTGGTCCGTCCTTAAACAATTCTTGTTATCAGTATTTCTCAAGAAGTACCGGAGGGATCTTTCTCAAATTTAATATGTAGGTTCCCCTTGGTCCTTAGCTGTGCAGGGCAACTTTTGAGACTGATCAGATAAACAACACGGACGACAGGCAGCCATCTTGGATTTTGATAGTGAAAGTTTGTTATCGCTATTTCTCGGGAAGTACCAGAAGGATCTTTCTCAAATTTTATATGTAGGTTTCCCTTGATCTCTCGTTGTGCATGTTATATTTTGAGACTGATCATAAAAACAAAATGGATTAAAAGAAGAACTAAACAGATCTTTCTCATATTGCAATGAGCGATTCTATTTCTTTCACATTAAGTATTGTACTAGTAAATATGTGAAATGACAAACTCACTTTGAAGGTTGGCTTTCATACACATAAGTATTACGTTTAGAGGTTTATAAAAGCTTATAGTTGAATGAAAATTAACGTATTGTCTAATTACACCCTGTAATATGACATATAACTTATATAAAATCTGTTAACATGGCAACTCGATGGAGGCCCCTGATTAGTTGAAAGTCATATATTGTGGTCCCAGTTGAGTTGGAACATCGATCTTGTCTGGTTTTGAGGAAATTTCATATAAAGATGTACTAATGCATTCAGTTGTAACGACTTAAATATAAAACCAGGTGAGCGATACAGGTCCAATGGACCTCTTGTTGCCATATTCCTTAACTTATGCAATAAAATACTCATTAAATACATTAAAATACTCATTAAATAGAGAAGGTGTGTTGAATTAAATGTTAATGCAGTCGTCTGAAAATTGAGGATAAAAATGTATTTGTTTTGTTGTATTTTTGATTAAAGGAAATAAATACCAGAAATGTAATTTTATCAATAAAACACTCATTACAAAAATTATGTAGTATTTACGATGATTGTGTTTATGGTAAAAAGGACTAGATTAAAGGTAATTTGCTGTGCTGACTGATGTAGAGAAGTGTGTATTTGGAGTGTGGTAGATCAATACATATTGATTGTACAGCCAGAATAGCTAAGTGAATGGCTCCAGTGTTAAACAGGTAGGGCAGATACTGGGTCAACTGATGACTAATTCCATTCATTTATAATTCAGTCAGCTGATTTCACCATCAAGTTCCCATGGCGACTGGCCCAACTGCCTGTCACAGCTGTGTTGGGGTGTTAGCTAACGCTTAATGAATATGTATTCACTGGTGTCCCATAGAACAATGTTGTGTTAATTAGCCACTCCTTGGCTAACAGCACTACGCAAGCTACTGTGTGTAACTGAGGCTGAACACTTGGGTCAGAGCTAACACAGCCATGACGCTTGGCTTTATCAAAACCACGGTGCTGTGTACTGTAGTGGGCGTTGGTTTGGACTGGTCAGAAATGGGGACGACTTTAAAGAATTGGTACTAGATCTCTAAAAGTTGCTTGAAGATCATACTGTTTTGAGCACAGGGGACGTAATGAAGATCATGTTTAGATCAACGGCTGTCAGGGATAGAGATGGGAGGAAACCCATTGAGAAATCTGTAAAGAATTTCATCAATAAGTTAACTCTATCTCACAGAATATTTGCAGAGTGTGCGAACAGTCTAGAACATCTGAAAAATTATCTTACTTTTTATTTAATAGACCAGTCCTCAGATGATGCTATTCGAGAAAAGGAAGAGAAGAAAAAATATCTAATTAGAAAGGTAAGGTCATCTTTTCAATTTCCTGAATACCAAATTTTGAAGAGAAAAACTTACCTGTAATGTTTGTTAAAGCTTATGGGAATGAAGAGTAAAACATATCACTAACATGTATACAATCAGGTGGTGTTTCCACAAAATGTGTGATTTATTATCATTTTAAGGTAAACAAGTAATTATATTTATCCAGCAATAAGCCTAGGTGCTAACAATAATTGCCGACTCAAATATTTGTCTGTGCTCGCTAATGTTAGTGACAGCCCTTGTATAATGGAAGGGCTTATTACGATGGAATATTTGGTAGTTAAATTGTCTACATAATGTTTGTAGTTGCTTTAAATCAATAAAATCTCATGGTACTGTATACATGTTATCAATATGACGTGTATGAACTGTTTACCATCATATGGCCAGGTCTTTCATAGGCTTTTTTTTTACTCAATTCCTTTTGTACATAAGATATTTATTGTAGAACATTCTAAAATAAAACAGCTGTTAGGGGCCTTAGCTTTACAGACAAATGTTGATATTAGTCTGACGCTTCCTTAGATTAATTTCTTGTTGATTAATAATGAACTGATTGTTTGTGTACAGCTAAGCTTCAGGCCCACTATAGATGAGCTGAAGGAGAAGAAGATTATCAAGTTCAGTGATTATGTGGAGTGGACGGATGCCAATGAGTATGACCGTCGGGGTGACAAGCCCTGGACACGCCTCACTCCTAAAGACAAGGTAAGTCAACCAAGGTCATTTCAGTAGACTGGCTACCAGCCCCGAAGTTTTTATGAAGAATTTCTCGGCTGCATTTTACTACTAGCCTTTCTCCCCCTAGTTTAGAAGAATCAGACATCCAAGTGATAACAATTTTTTTAGTTTAATTTTTTTCTTAATAATTCAATATTCTAGAGACCCTCTGGGGCCCCAGTCTATCATTTCAGGTACAACTGCTATGTTTTGTCATTGGTTATAAACCTCATTCCCCCCTCCCGGCCCCCTCAAACAAAGTTGGCAAGGGATATAGAAACAGGAACTGTTTGTGTCTATAGCTGGTTAGGAAGAACTAGTTCATCATTACTTTGGTTACTATAGGTACTGTATGAGTTGTGTCAGTTATACAAGTTGTGTATTGTGAACTTGACCTCCACGTCTGTACTTCATGCAGCAGGACTGTCTTGATGTCACTGTAGAAGATCTTGACTTAGGTCTGATCTTTGATGCTCCATATGTTCCTAAACTACAGGAAAGCTGTTCCTGCCTTTCTGATTCAGACATTGATGTGTGCTGCTATGCCTCCCTGTTTTTCAACACCACTGCTGAGAAGTGAAGGCATGAACTTCTCAGGGTTTCCTCCCAGGAGACCTGACTCAGCAGTTGTTGTGTTAGCCCTTGGTCTTACCTCTTGTTAATAATGTTAAGGCCAATTTGGGCACAAGTGGCTGCCACATTGTTGATATTGTACATTTGCTGATGGGTGTCAGAAGTAAATACATGGTTGCTTGCAAAGTCGAGGTTGTTCATCTGTGTTCAAGGCATCCACTGAATTCTTTACTTGTGCTATGGATGATCTCATAATCAAATCAGTTGCCAGAGGGAACAGAAATGGTGAATGTGAACAGCTGCTGTAAGCTTTCCTCCATGAGTGACTCCGCAGCTCAACCTCTTGTATGAGTTAAATGTTGGCAATCTTAACTGTTTCATAACAACCCCTTTGTTTTGCAGGCTGCAATAAGAAAAGAGTTAAATGAGTTCAAAAGTAAAGAGATGGCAGTGCACGAGGACAGTCGCCATTTAACCAGGTAGGTGTTCATATTTTGGAATGTTTTACAGCCAGGTGGGTTGTACTTGTTTCCGGTACATGGCTTTTACTATGGTAGCAGTATACAGTAGAAATGGCCCGACTCTGATAAACAAGGCACATGTCGAGAAAATGTAAACACAGCGGATTTACCCTACACAACACATGTATATATATTTGCAAGCTGCATTACTTTTACAATACATATTAAGTACTGAGAAGTGTATAAACCTCTTTTTTCTATATATGTCACTTGTGTGAAAACCTATTTTTGACCCAAAATTTGACCCCAACAACTAGTAATTTTTTTCCTGGGTTCTGTCTGAAATTAAAGATTACCTACTTGGTTGCAGAATTATCTGGGTCCCAGTAAAGTTGTACAACTTGCTTTTTTGCAATTTTGCGTCGTGTGCTGTTGTCAAAATTTTACCTCCTGTAAAGCTAGCTTTTCATGTGTAGGCACCCTTTCGGATTATGGCCAAAATTTTATTCTCGAACCAAAAAAATCTTCTTTTTTACAAATGTGGAGCTCACATAGCCCACTTCATCATGCTTATACCAATTTTAGTACAGTTTTATTTCTATATTTTTTTTTTACATATACAGGGGTTAGCCATTTAACAAAAATATCACCCATGGCCCTCTACTGTATACTGCTTCCTATCATGTCAAAAAGGTTTTATTACTCCAATTTTTGTGCTCCTTATAAACCTTGTAAATTGATAAAAATAGAAATGAACACAACCTTTGTGGTAAATAAATCATTGGATCAAGATGATTGAAATTTTTATTCAACTAAGGTTCCTAAATTAAAATTGTAATTACATTAGCTTGCTGGGGGTCTTAATGTTGGAGGAACCCGGAGTAGCTGGAGAAAACCAACTATACACTATGTAACTATGTAACAATAAGATTGAGTAACTCAACAGGAATGAGTAACTTAAAGCTAGATTGAGTAACCAATATGTTTATATTTTCTTTTATCACAGGTTTCACAGGCCTTGAGAACAAATAACATTATTGCTAAGCAAACACCTATGTGATATAGGCCTGCAGAGAGTTCACAGCAGATCAGGACAGAGAAATTGCAGCCACCTGATTGGTTGTATTGATCAAGTGCTGTGTTCTGATTGGCTGAGCTCCCCAGTGAAACTGGAATGTTGCAGATTATCAGGGACTTGAAAACATACCATAACACAAATAGGACTTGCAAACTTTATTTTTGTTGATGCTGACATTTGCTATGTATAGGTGCCTCCGGTGGAGCAGAGTAACTTTATGTCTACAACTCCACAAGATGCAAGCGAGCTTATTGCAGAGATATGAATGTATGTGTATTGTATAGGTATTCTGAGAGTGTAATAAAGGCATTTGAATACCGAATCAGAGAAAAAAAATAATCAGAAAAAACTGTTTCTGAACATTTACGTTCTTTAACATTCAGTTAACTTGTCATTTTAATCTGGACATTTTTTTCGGAATCCAAGCTATGCCAACTATTGATGTTCTACTTGTTTGGTGACCTTGTCTTTCACTATGATAAAGTGCTGGAGAAGACTTGTGAGGTTAGGTCATGTGACTGTCAAAGAACGAAAGAGGAATATTGTAATGTCATGTCAAACATTTATAGTTTGCAGGAAGAAACTTGTGTTCTGTAAAAGTGGTCATTTGCTGTCAAAACTTAAATGAATTCAATAAGAATGAAATGTGTGTTGCAAAAGCATTGCTAATATAACTCTTTCATTTTTGAATGGTTTTTAGAACTGAACCGCAAACATACATATGGAAATGTCCACTTTTACGGTACTCAACATTAGCTGAACCTGGCACTTAACAACCCTGAGTTTATGTTGTTGTGTTTTTTTGTTGAACACTTTAAAGAAATATGTGGAACTAAGACATATAGATTTCCTTAGTAAAGCATATACTACAACTGTTATCAGTACACTCTAAGATAATGAGGTGATAATCTTAGATTTATGATACTGAGATTTGCGGAATTCGCTTGTCCCTAAAATTCAGCAGTCAAATTTCGTTCAGATGTTATACAGAACAAGAAGTTACTGTATTTATCACATACTTTTCAGTTTGTTTTGAACCAAAGATTTTTATATTTTGTTCAGTGGTAAAAGGCTGGAGTATGTATGGGTTATAGAGTAAATGGTCTATAACAAGTGCTACAGTTGGTCAGCTGATTGTATAATGCATATTTAGCAGCAACCCGAGTGAGATGTAAGAGTTGGTGAGAATGGCCTGAGAATACATATTTTTGTTGTCTAGATTTGAAATTTTGTTTTCTTTGTCAAAACCTGTGTGTAGTTAAGCTAGTTTTTACCTGAACACTTGTCTACATGCATTTAAAAGGTGACCTTCGATTGCTGGTCAAACATTGCTCATGATGAATAACCACATAATTGAAGGTTGGCTTTAAGGAATTCACCAAAAATAACATTTTCATTGTATTACTTTCATCAGTTGGATAAAAGCGATAGTCTCACACAGTGAATATTGTAAAAAAAAGAAGCTTTCTTTGCTAGTGACTTGTGACATAATAGAAAGCCAACCTGTGATTTTGACATCCAAACCGATGTTCTAACATTATATTGAATGTTGCTGGTTATCTCGTACGTTTCAGTAAATAGGATAAAACAGAAAATTTAAGGGTTTCCCGTTACATATCATAATATTTTTTAAATGAGATAGTAAACAAAGATGAAAATAGTGAAAAAAATTGTAGAAATGCTAGAAATATAAAAGTGAAATTTATCGTAATAAATTTGTCCTGTTTCTGTAGATAATGTTAACTAGCCCGTCACACTGATGTTCCAGAATCTGTTGATATATATCAATGTAACTGCTATTATCAGCAGTGTCATGAAAAGGCTCAGAACAACCACAATATGTTTAGTCTGCTGTGTAACCAATCAGAAACAGTGTTACATGTTATTTAGGGTTGAATACCATTACTCTTGATGCTCATTGGCTACAATATGATAAAGAAAGATTCATCAGGTTCGCAGCTTGAAATGTTAAAATATTTGTATTCTCCGAGGCAAGGTTGCTGAGACAAATAAAATATGTCTCTGAGGTATGGCTGAAGAGACAAATACTTTTCTCTGAAGCAAGGCTGGAGAGACAAATACAGAGTCTCCGAGGCAAGGCTGAAGAGACAAATACAACGAGGCCCGTATTCATGCTCAAGTATGGAATTTGTGCTCAAGCTGAATTTCTTGTTCCCGTTATAAATTCATAAAAAATGTTTTTTTCAATGATTTGGGCGGAAACATTGAAGAGACTTGAAGCTGAAAACTGTTTTCAATGTTTGCATTTGACTTTTTGATCGTTTGACAAGATTTAGGCGAGTTACAAGAAAGTAGGTTTGAGCACAGAATCCATGCTTGAGCATGAAAACGGTTTCATGAATACGGGCCAGAGTCTCTGAGGCAAGGCTGAAGAGACAAATAGTTTTAACAAATACACAGAGTTGCTGTGAGAAAGATGCATGATTGAATGTTATGCAAATTAAGATTAATTTTTTTACAATACAGTTAACTGTTGTAACATGTTGTGTGTATTTTTGCTACCATCTATGATGATGTGTTATTTAATTTTTAAAGACATTGTGTATATATACACCACACTCACATATATATCATATATATGTGTATATAATATATATATATGTATATCTTAAAATAATGCTGAATGTATAAAGTTACAACATAATTTTTAAAGCATAAATATGTACATCTATCTTTTGTATGATGAATGATATGGATACAAATGATTTTAAATAGTTTTTGCTCTATTTGCAATTTGTTCTTTCCAATTTGCCGAAAAAAGAAGGAATCGAAAGAATATGAAGGAATGCAAGACTTGCTACTGTGTGTATGTGGAATGCATGGTACTTTTGAAGTATGAACGTGCTTGAATTTTCTCCCAGGTGCATATGTTACAAACATACAAGTTGACAATGTAAATATCTTTTTAGACCTGTAGTAAGTATTTCAGGAAAATCACCAGGAAATCTTTCTTTTCATCTCAGTTTTTCAAAAACACTTAAGTTCACCTTCCTTCATATTCACATTTTAAGCTACATTTTTTCTGAGGCAGTGCATAGAAACACCATTTTTTATGTATAATTACTACAAAAACTAACATTGTCCGTGTATGAACAGGCATTATCATTTGTATAAACATTTAAACCTAATACTTGTACATCTGTACCTAAATCACCTGAATTAGCTGGCCGTAATCTACACAAACAGCTACAGAAACTTACAAGACAATTACAGTTAAGGGGATTTTCATTTTTTCAAAATTTGTTTATTAAATTAAGCTATGATCTCCATTGAAAAGCAGATTTAATTGTTGTTTTATATAATTTTGGGAAATACCTAGGTGGTATATGTAGTCCAAAAAAGTCTGAAAAATAAACTGGTTATTTTCACATCCTATATATTGTAGATCAATACAAAAACTGCAAATTGTGAATCTGTATTTTTGCTACAAATTCTTCTCTGTGTAGATTAAGGTCTAGAAAGCCCACTTCATGAACTCCCTCATCATCCATGAAGCTTCGATGTAAATTAGCATACATTTTCTATTTTAACTTGTGTACTCTTTCTTAGTGGACCAGTGGTTTCTGATATTTGATACTTGTTTGCCAAAAATTGTTCATTCCATTATTTCATTCATATAGAATTTCTATCAGTGTATGTCTTGTGACTAGTGGTGTACCTCAGGGCCCGATGACCTTCATCACGACAGGTCTCGCCTCGGTTTCACGTATTTTTTACGATATTTTGTGGAACTGTTGCTGGAAACCATCGCTGTATTGTAAAAAGTGTAAGTATTTTGATAATTACACAAAATGTTGATACAGCGGTATACCTAGGACTGTCAGTGTTGATCAGCTACGAAATGCCAGTACAAGTAACCATTTTGATTTTCTTTGCTGTTTCAATAACAAAGACTGTCATTCACAAGACTCACTCTTTCTATGTACAAACTTGAATGAAGATCGTATGTTTGCCTCGGAATACTGGGACATTTTGTTATATTTTGTTTAACGTTGTCAGTGCTTAATATTGTAAGGTCTATAGTTGGTGAGAGACGAGTGAAAGTGGGCGAATGCTGAGGATTGCTACTAGAGTAGCATACAGGACAAGTCGTAGCTACAAGGGTAGCTTCAACCAATCACTGATGTACTCATGTACTATACATGTGTAGCTCTCTGCTGTACTTGCTAGCTCTGCTTTACCCTCACAAGGAGATGTTCTTTGCCTTTTCTTCTGGTTAAGGGTACTCAAGTACATTAGACTCGACGAGAATTGACTTAAGGCTGATGCTGATCTGACTTCTGATAATTAGAGACATTCTCTGCCATATACCAATACCTGTTCAAGTTTGCGACACATGCGTCTGTACAGGATTGGCTGTATGCACTGCTGTACAGGATGTGTTGACTGTACCGGTATGTTGTACACTGATGAGCTACACATGTATTTTACATGTACTAAATGTGCATCAAAAATGCATTTTCTACTGTTAAAAGTTAAAATCTGAATAAAGTATGTAAATATATTCATTTTCTTTGTTTTTATTCCTCAACAGAAACATTGTATTTTTTATAAGATTTTCAATCTGAAGATCTAAGCTGTAATCTATCATACTTTTATTATTAACAAGAGATCCCAGAGGGATCTTGGCGCCCACCTTTGTACCATCTTCATTAGTTTTTTGTCAGTTCGATCTTTTCTCTTCTTTCCTCTAATCTGTTTGATCGAGTCATGTTAACAGTAAATGCACCTTGAGGTAACTTTTGATCTAAACTTAATACTGATGTGTATGAAAGCCAACCTTCAAAGTGAGTTTGTCATTTCACATATTTACTAGTACAGTACTTAATGTGAAAGAAATAGAATCGATCATTGCAATATGAGAAAGATCTGTTTAGTTCTTCTTTTAATCCATTTTGTTTTTATGATCAGTCTCAAAATATAACATACACAACGAGGGATCAAGGGGAACCTACATTTAAAATTTGAGAAAGATCCCTCCCGTACTTCCCGAGAAATAGCGATAACAAACTTTCACTATCAAAATCCAAGATGGCTGCCTGTCGGCCATGTTGTTTATCCGATCAGTCTCTAAAATTGCCCTGCACAGCTAGGACCAAGGGGAACCTACATATAAAATTTAAGAAAGATCCCTCTAGTTCTTCCGGAGAAATAGCGGTAACAAACCCACACTATCAAAATCCAAGATGGCTACCTGTCGGCCATGTTGTTTATCCGATCAATCTCAAAAGTTGCCCTGCACAGCTAAGGACCAAGGGGAACCTACATATAAAATTTGAGAAAGATCCCTCTGATACTTCCCGAGAAATAGCGATAACAAACTTTCAATATCAAAATCCAAGATGGCTGCCTGTCGGCCATGTTGTTTATCCGATCAGTCTCAAAAGTTGCCCTGCACAGCTAAGGACGGACGGACGACGGACAACGGACGGACCACGGACCACGGATGCAGGGTGATTTGAATAGCCCACCATCAGATGATGGTGGGCTAAAAATAAGTGTCTCGAGTTATATTGAGTCAAACAAGCATTATAAGGAAGGGTGGCCTCCCTTGTCAAGATGATGCAGCATGTAGCTCTAGTCAAGTGTTGAATTTTACACAATAGTGGAATATCATAGTTAATACACAAAGGTGTCCTAGATTTAATGGGGTTTTATCAGTATTTTGTTTTGGTAAACACAAATCAAATTCCGCCGTCACATCTAAATCTCCACAAGATGCCAATTGACCCCAGCACTTGCCTAACTTCATATTTGTTGCATGTTTAAGAAATTTTTCACATTTTGTTCATCACTAACTGACATTTGATGCACTTCCATCAAGCTTTAAATGCTTCATGACACAGAAATATGGTCAGCTAATGCAAGTCAAGAACCATACAACATACATTTCCCAAGAAGGTGATGGTTATCGTGCTCATCTAACTCAAATCTAACTTTCAAATTGTATCAAGACATCAGATTTACAGTACATTTTGCATTTTGAAAATTAACTGAAGAGTTACATAAATATGATTACCAGCGATCATGATTTTTGGGACCTTTTTCTCACACAATGTTGATATTTTATCTGGAAAACCAATTGTCCCCACGTAAATATATTGTCTGTATCTAAAGAAACACAACATCACAAGGGATGACATTGTTGCGCTGTTATAATTAAAAGATAAAACATTGAAATCAGATCTAGGGTGTTTCCCACTAGTGGTAAAACCAAACTTAACAACTCTTAGCAGATTGAGTGAGGAAACCTATAATGTTATAGGATTGTGGGAGAAATGAGATGCATCTTCACAGAGACAGCATACTTAGCTGGTGTACTGCATACAATGTAATGACCCTCTGAACATAGCTCAGCAGTACAATGAGTTGGAAGTACGATCTATGGCATGACCACTGCAGTGCCACCAGGCTATCGCAGCTTATTTTTGTAGTCCTAGTGCCTTGATAGCTAGTGCGATTGTTCCGGATCGCCTAACTTTGGATGGAGACACTCTTGTTTCCAAATCAGAAGGAAATGGCTGTTGAGGTCCCCCGAGCTGTAGGCTCAAGCGACATGTTACGATCACTTTTCTTGGTACATGTATATAAATATTACCAAATAGGTCCTTCATGGTTGCATTGATGGGTTTGTTTGGTTTGAGAAAGGTTGTGTACTACGAGCAAAATGATTTTCCCCTGGAGGTATTTGACCCCCTGCAACAAGACAAAACCTAGTGCAAAGCAAAAAGGTGAACACTGGAAAATGTGACCTTAAATTATTTTTTGGTGAATATTCAGTGCCCACAATTCCATTCTGTAGCTATTAACATACTATTCTTACACAAACAACTTTGGTGCAACCATTCTGACCTGTAGATGGTGTGTGTGTACACATATATATACATTTTCCAATTGGGTAGACAAAAATAACAACAACGCCAAGTTTTTCTAGAAATAATTTAATCCATGCATAAAAGATGCACAAACTAAATAATTATCTTAAAAGAACTTTCATATAAGGTATCAGTATTTATCTCTAAATAATTATAGGTAAAATCGTTCTTGCCCAACCAGCATGGCACGTCCTCGAACTACCCTTTGACTAGTGGTACTCAAGTATTTGTCTGAACGCTGTGTAAATCTTCTAGTAGTTCATGGAAATTTACATCTCAGTTTAACTGTAAATCTAATCACAAGAGGTTTGTCATTTAATGCCATTTGAATTGAGTTAAAGAAACTGATCAACTTGAAAATATAAAACGTGCACAATAGGTCAAAATACACGATTATTGTCCTAGATACACTATCACAGATTAGGCCAGGAATAACTCTGTCTGTAGCCTCTGGTACAATACCGCTACAAAATCCTTTACAAATACAGAATGAGCAATTTACATATTGTTTTACAGAATCCTAGTGAATGATGAAGCCCATTCTGGTAACATATTTAAACTTGGGTAGACCATCTACAACATGATAATTTTGTATTTTTTCTTTAATTTAAATAGTCTGACCAATGTTCCTAAGCAATTTTCAAATACTTATTTTTCAAGTAAGAACTTGTTAAAAATGTGTGGCTTATTCACACAGAGCACAATAAATTATGTTAAATTAAAAACAACTTCTGGATGTATTTATGTTAACTGTGACTTTCTAAAACTGATGGACCGTCTCTTGGTATAGTATTGAACAGCAGACCTCATCGTACAACACAGGATCTTGTCAAAAACACAACCACTTTTTGGGGGAAATTGTCAATTCAAACATGTTGAAGACAAGCAATGAAAGTAATACAAATGAATGTCATTATAATTGTCTTTAAAATAAATATTGCAAATATTCCAGTCTTTAAAATTGTCCGAAAACTTTGCACACAGCTGCCACAAGACATGTCAATATGTGGTAAATATGAACTCTTGTACAATAAATTAAGATCCAGGTTAAAAGCAGGCTGTATACTGTATTCTTTCTGTGTTGCATAGTATATAATCCCTCCTGTACAGACAAGAATCACGTATAACATCGCTCATCCATTCAGCTTGGAATATGAGATCTTTGCCTTTGGCCGTTTCCCTTCAGTCTCTACTTCCGCTTTAATCTCTTCTGTGTAGAAAATACTGTATTTTCTTTCCGTTGCCTCCGACTGAAAGTTATAAATAGACATGTATCAAAAAGGATAGGAATATGTTATTTCGGAATGGCTAAGGAAACTCGTTTTACTTGCTGGACGATCCATTGTCCCCTATCAGTTAATTGTCAACAATGTAATTTGCAAACAATGTGATTGTTGGTGTTCATGTCAATAACAACAACTGTACCTGGAAATCATTTCGGTAACTTCAGGTGAAATAGTAAAAGATATATGCCCCAGACAAACATTTGCGACAAAAGACCATTCAAAAGAGTGAATATAGATGGATAAAGTACAAACTTGTATGCCGTGTATGTAATAATTACAAGATGGATATATATCTGATCATTTTCTCTGGAAAACCAAGCATATTTTCATCAAAATCTACATACGTAAATATCAGTTTTGGAACTTTCCATCAAATTTTTGTTCTTGATTTCAAAAGAGGTTTTTAACAAAGCATTTGGACTAAATAAATGAAACTACGACAAGTCTAGTGTATAGAAATAACATAATCATAATATAACAATGGAAAGGATTTTGTCCAAAATCCTACATGAACAAACAATCACTTCCTTACTGTTCTTGCTTTAATTTGCTTGGGAAGAACTTCATCCATAGACCAAAGTTCTTCTCTCTTGAATACTCGATGATTACCATCTGCAAACTCAACCTGAAATACAAATGTTACTTATAGAACATTGATATTTCTCCAATGAACATTTTGTGACATTGCCAGCAGAGAGTACTTAATGATGTCCCAAAAACCAGTGAAGTAGTCTAGTGTTGGGAATCGGACAGAAAACTACAATCGATTAATCGGAAGCCCAAACCAATTGACTATCGATAGTTCAATCAGTTTGTAAGACACGTGCAGAAAAAGTCTGAAAAACTTTTTTTTATTTATTATAATATATATATATATGCAATATGTATTTGTTGTATTGTGTAGTTTCCTAATGTATACTTGTGTTGTTTTGGTTTTAAGTTACATAATTTTAAGTGTACATTAACACAATAGCACTTATTTTGCTTTAGACTGCACTAGCTAGTAATCCTTTATCATTATGTAGTATGCTTTACTGCTTCTGTATGCACCTTTTGGCCTTTAGGCACCCTCTGTAAAATGCTAACCTGCATGTAACATAACTGCAAGGTGAGTGGATGGCTTTGTAATAGTCCTTACTTAAACATGTTCAGTACTCACTAATACTTGTCTTCCAAAATTTATTTTCATGTGTGTATCATGACCATAAGCGCAAGATTTTATGTTGAGAGTAAAAACATCACAGAAAATACAAACTACAAAGTGTTAAAAATAACTTCATTTGTTTATTTTCAACGGTCAGTCAATCAGCTAACGACAATTAATGACCTTCTTCTTTAGGGTGTAGGGGGGCCTCTAACGAACTATGCCATTTCAAAGAAATTTGTCATTAGTTTTGTTTATCAATCAAAGATTTCAAAATACTTGGCCATTCAGAATTTTTTTATTTCGAAAAGCTTTTAGATACTATACTGTATCGGTGTAATTTATATCATATTTACCTTTGTTGGCGTAGCTTTACTTGCATAGCCTACAATTAACAGTTGGCATGTCTAAATATGATTTTATTGCGGGTCCAACCAAACCTTCTTTTTTTCGGAACATGAACTAATTCCATACGAAAGATTTAACTGTCCCTGGATAGGGATACAATTCCTCGTCGTTACTAACAGCAGCGGTGGCTGCCATTTTTAATCATGACCATGAGGCGACAGCGAGAGTGATCTCCCTTCCCATAGTTCCATCGTGTTAATTACCGTGAAGGAAATGTTCAAACTATTGATAGTGACAAGTTTTCAATTGATTGACGCAGACGTCACACCTGAGCGATAGTTTTCGATTATTAGCAACAATCGTCCCAACACTATGAAGTACCCTTTAAAATATTATCGATTGTTTGTTAACAAAAACCTTTTATTAGGCACCTTTTTGTTGTTTTGCTTAAAACATAAATGGTGGGGAATGCAGATTTTACATCAAATTCGAGTTCTCTTTGATCAAGAGAGTCTATTTACAGCAACACTGACCTGTCACTCCTATTACAATCCCATTACTCCTTCAATATGTGGTAAGTGTTTGCAAGTTTTAGCAGTCACTACCCAAAGAAACTTGATCTAAAAATCTTATTTCTAGTAACTGACCTTGATGTTTACCCCTGCAAGTTTTAGCAACCTACACCTTAAGAAACTTTACGCATAAATCTGAAAATCTTATTTCTATTATCTGACCTTGACTTTACCTTTGCTATATAAGGACCTCAAGTTAAATCTTCTGATGTTTCATGCCTCTAATGACAAAATATTAACCAACAATACAATTTTTCCATACAGTACAACTACTGTTAGAACATACCGTGTACATGACGAGACTTTTAGCTCCTCTGAACGTAGCACCGTACAAGTCTCCATCTGTCCATTTGATCTGGACATGTGTTCCAATCGTAGGCGGTCCCAACTCCATCCGGTGATCCTGACAACACAAATAACATCCGTCAGGAATTCATATCGTATGGAGTAACAAAACAGTCCTCTCGAATATAGGAACAAGAGCACCATGGTGCACAATATGAATATCAGCACTCAAAATAATGAAACTTTTCCTCTTTAAATGTGCATGAATTCTGCTGTCATGGCTCACAGCCAAGCTGACCAAGTTTCATTGTAATTCAATCATATTTAGGAAAGTTATCCTGCAGGACAACATGACCATACATTGTTAAGTTATACTGCAGGACAACATGACCATACATTGTAAAGTTATACTGCAGGACAACATGACCATACATTGTAACGTTATACTGCATGACAACATGACCATACATTGTAAAGTTATCCTGCAGGACAACATGACCATACATTGTAAAGTTATACTGCAGGACAACATGACCATACATTGTCATGCAGGACACCTCGACAAGTCAGGCTTTAGTATCCTAATAAGAGTGAATTCTGTTAACCATTGCTTTTGGTTTCTATCTTCCTTAATGTATCAGCTGACCAAGACTCATGGAAAAATCAAATTGTATTCTGAGATGTTATGATGCCGAATGGAAAGACCAATCGGGTTGGAATATATTAAATTGAAATGCACAAATTTTACTTAACATCTAATTTTACTTAACATCAAACTTAGCCTATCTTCCTATTCCTGATTCTGCAAGCAAATCTTTTTGTGTTTCGTATGTAGTATATAAAGCATTTATTGTTGATTTCCAAATGTAAAATTGTTGAAAAACAAGGGCATATATTATGTGTATAGATTTGTCAGGATTTAAAACTTAAACATTATATGTTTTATACTTTTATACACTTATTTAACTTGGTTATCTGTGCTTACATCTACATCCTCTGGATACAGGTCATCACTGAAGGAGCCGTCGTCAAAGTCCACAGAGTAAAACACTTGGTTGGTGACCTTCTGCACCTCTGCGACGTAGTAGCGTGTGTTTTTGTGTTTGGCATACACCCTGTCTCCCTTCTTCAGCTCAGTCAATTTCCTCTGCCCCTTTTGACAGAATAAAAACTCAGTAATTCCTTTTCTAATGACCGTTTTGAAATGTTTTATATAAATCTTCCATTATCATCACAACACATCATGAAATTAAATTGTAAATCTTTAAACAATTCACAAAATTTTCTATTGAACTGATTTTCTATTGAACTGAAGAACTCCCAAGTATGTAAGACAGGTTATACTTTGTTGCAGGGACATAAAACTGACATTGGAAGTAAACCTTGATATTTTACAGCTCTCCAGACAATGACACCTGCAGGTAATGCCAGTCAAGTATGTCTCACCTTTCCTTTTTCCTTGTGGTTGTGCCGTAGACACGTGTTGTAGACAGGGAATGGCCAGTCACTGGTCTCGTATACAACCCCTGCAGCATACGCACACGTCACATGAAAGGAGGAGGTACAGCGACCCTGTGAGCACTGAACACACACACCAAACGTCTTCTCGCTGTTCTGGAGGGGGTTACAGTAATAGCACCGCTGAAGGGAATAAAACAATTCCATAATAAATAATTTCATTAAATCATGGCTTTAAATAACACTGTTCCCTGGTTTGACACTTAAACCTGTCTTCTTTTTAAAGGACCTTTAAATGAAACTAGCGCCTTGGAAACTTTCTAATACCATTTCACTCTAAAGTAGAAACCTTTCCAAAATTACTTGAAATACTGCTTATTGAATTTGCAATATGACATCTTAATGTCCCCTATAGCCATTAGTTTCATACAAAGTGCTGGGGATGTTACCTTCAGCAGCCAGATCTTGGACTGAAATGATTAACAAAGAATGAGTAGTTAAGATTTAATTGAACAACAATTAGTGATCAACCCTGGATCAGGTACAAATAAATCAAAATATATGGTTACACTTATTTTGTGTCAATCAGAGTCATATTTGCATCTTTGAAATGCTTCAGGAGTGGAGAAACATATTGTATATTAGAAGAAATAACAGTGTACATTTACAACTGATATAGACAAAACGGAAATATATCTGTTAAAATATCTCACTAGCTTGGATCTTTCACTGGTAATCTTGTAGGCATTGATGGGTTCACGTTTCTGGATATTCTCAAACTTCACCTCAGGAATCGCCAGAGCACAGACAATGTGTGCCCATTTACCGTCAGATGTGGGTTTGAGGGCACCTCCCCTCTGACAGCATAGACAACATTCCTTCAAAGAACAAATAGCCTTAATCTGAGAACAGGCAAACTGTCATCACTTTCCTTACATTATGGTGTTATTATTAGCGAGAATTTCTACAAATTAAGCACTTTTCTTTATATTTAGCTAATAGGAAATATACAGCTAGATGTCAATAGTTCACATTACAAGGTATCAGTTAGTATTAACATCTTCTAATAAAGCATGTAACTCTCGCATCAAACAGCAAAAGCTGCCTACGATAATACATAACGACAAAAACTTATATGATTTACAGGTATCATGTAATGACAAACTTATATGATTTACAGGTATTATATAATGTCATCATCAGCAAGGAACTTACTGCAGAGAACATCTGTTTGGTACAGCGAGTACACTTCCATTTCTTTGTAAAATCTGTAACACCGTAGCAACCTACAACGTAAAGGAACATTTCAAACATCTTATCATGGCATTTCATTTTTGATGAACTAATAGCAAATTTGTGGCTCAGCTTTTATATTGATATAAATAACATCACAATCTAATGAGAGAATCAAAATTAATCAGGACATATTTCTAAGAAAAAGTTCTATTTCAACCATCCATGTATATAAGTAGTATTGAAATGTCAGTCTGGGAACAAGTAAGCACATGTACGTACTAGCATGAACACAGATCTTGCACTGATCACAGGTAAGAAGAGGACTGAGGCCATCATTGTCGAGCACTGTGTTGAGACCTAGTGGCCGGGGGTTGTCAGTACTACAGGCAAAGCACATCTCTGGAATCATAGGCAGGGATCGTCGGCTCTTGTCCTTCTTGTTGCCTTTCTTTGAAAGAAGATTGGGGCTAGAGCAGCTGTCGGAAAACTTCTGAAAATTGTTCCAAACTGTCATGGTGTACACGGATACATATAAAATGAGAGCTTTGAGTATACACCAAGGTGGCCAACACTACATGCAGCATGATTTTCACAAATGTATTTATATCAAATTCATCATTTCTTACAACTTTAAAAACTTGAATGCAAAGAAAATTACAACTGTATACAGAAAATATTTTTCTTAAAAGGAAAACTTTTGATGACAATATTGAAATCAATATAGAATTGAAACCAATTTACACATTCCCTAATAAATATGCAAGGTGAAAGCAGTATTCAGTATTTTAATACGGTTTTCTTTATTATACTTAACACATTTAAAGTATAAACAACAACTGTACTTACTGTGAAAGGTTTGAACAATGCACAGACAACACAGTTGGGCTCCCTGTTTGCCAAATTCTGATTGAACTTTTTCTCTGCCTCAAAGTCAAATGGCAGGTGCTGCCACAGTTCCTTAATAGGTTGGGCCCATGGCCCTGTCATAATGGCATCTGGAATCTCAATACTTTCACTTGGTTCCTCTGCAAAATTGTGGGGAAAAATAAATAAATTTGCTTCAAAATCCAAGGGTTCTGCTCCCAACATCACATTTATTCTACACCCCCTGTCATGATTCTGTGTGAGAAGAACATTATATCCAGTATAGCCTTTATTCAATGTTTGCCCCATTTGAACAAATCTAAAGATTCTCATATTGACCAAGATTTTAAACTGAATATTCCTGAAGTCCTCATAGATCACATATCTGACAATCTTCAGAAGATGACAGTTTGTTTTATCCTAATTGGATGAAAGTTGACCTTGAACCCAGAAAGTGACAAGTGATACCTTTGATCTCCTTCTTGTTTTCTATATCCTTCTTGGACTTGGCTTTGACCATCTCGCCTTTGCTGGAATTTTTTGATTTAATGGATTTGTTCACTTTTGGTTTCTTTTCTTCGGGAGATGAAAAGTTTCCATTGCTGTCGACAGTAAGCATGTTTTCCTTTTTCTTCTTTGTGGCAGACAGCTTTTTCACCTTTTCTTCCTGACAACCTTCCAAAGTTGGTTTTAAAGGAGACTTCCTCTTTTTGTTAGCCTACAAAGAATACAAGAGTAAAACATGCAAACTTTAAAATCAGTTCCCAGTGATTTACAAAACAGATATATATAACATTTTCCTTGTTATAGTGCATTGAGAATCACTTAACATAATGAATGAAGATATCTGAAGCAACCATACAAACAGTAAAATAACTGGTATATGAAGCAAACTTGTTGATTTTTATATGCTTCAAAATTGTATATTTACAGCTGTTCCATTGTGTTCTAAAGGACTTAACTACTTTCAAATATAGACTAGAGGTGTCTCAAAAGTCAGGGAACATTTTTGAACCTTGGGCCAGACATCCTTATTTAATTACCTTTTGATTCAGTGAAAACTGAAAGCGAAATTTTCTAAAAATACTTGCCTGCTGATTTTTGTTTGCAGAATCTGTCTTCTTCGCCTTTTTACATTTTTCAGAATTTCCAGAGAATGCACTATAACTTGTAGTTTGTATCACTGTTTGATTGACATCTGGACTTGATCCAACCATTTTGTAAAAGTTAGCATGCTTTGAAGGGGACTGCGCACTTACTTTATTTCCTGAAATTTTCTTGGACATATTTTTCTTCTCTTTGGGTGAAAAGTTTTCATCAGAACCACTAGAACTCTCCGTATCAATTACCCGCACTTTAGTTGGAGATTCAGAGATATCCTTGGACTCTGTGTCTGGTTTGTGCTTGCCTTTCTGGGTGAGTACAGTACTTGTCGCCACAGTCGAGGCCTGAGATATTGGCACAATAGGTTGAGGTACAAGCTGTAGCACCTTGTTCGGACTAACAATGGTGCCAAAGGACTGGTCAGAATCCTGCTGGGCTGACTTCAGACCACTGCCACTGTAATTGTGGACAGACAGAGCATCAGTGTTGGTAAGCACAGTAAGGGACGAATCTAATGTGGACAGACAAGATGTGGATACAACAGGGGACAACAAGCTGCTCTGCGTCGACATTGTAGTGGATGTAGCGGATGAAGACGGGGATGACACTACTGTTTTAAAGTTGTGAGGAGATTTTGGATCGACTTGAAACACTTTCTGCGCTGGATGTATCTGTGTGACACCTTGTAGAAGAAATTGGGTTGTTCCAAATCTTGGCTGTCCTCCAAACTGTGGCAGTATCTTAGTTTTCTGTGCAAGTAATGTTGGTCGAATATTGGTCTGATCGTTAACAGCTCCGACTACAGTCTTAAGAACACTGCCCATGTTGCTGGTCGAGGTCACCTGACAAACAGCCGGTGTAGCTCTTGCCATAATGGATGAAGCAGTGGGTGACTGTATTATGGGCATTGCTATCTGTGACTGCCCCACAACATTTGTTATCACAGGACATGGGGTGGCTGTGGTGAGAATGTGACGTTGGGCTGTTGGTATTGAAGAGGTGATGACTTGTTTCTTGATAGGTGTGTGAAGAGTCGAAGTGATTACCTGATGTGAGGCAGCTGTGGGCACGGTCCTTGTAAAAACCTGACCTGGCATGGAGGTGGGCAGTGTTGTAGTGATGACCTGTCGGGAAACCATTGTGGGTAAGGCTGTCTGGATCTTTCCACCTGTTCCTGATTTAGGCGACAAAAGCAGAGAAACTCCCCCTTGATTGGATGTTGGCATCATATTGACAACATTGACTGTTTTCGTTGGCTGTGTTTGGACTTTTGGAATACTGACCGTTTGCTGTCCAACCTGGATAAGCTGGGTGCCACCGAATGCACTACTCACAATAATTGTATTGGGAAGAATAGGCTTCGCTGCTTTTTTACCACCCTTGAGAATTTGGCTGACAGTCAGTTTACTGTTAGTCTTAGCAACTCCCCCACGATCAACTGTTTCTACAGTTTGGCCGCATGCGAGAGGGAGTACCTGTGAAGCCCTAGTAGTGGCAGTTGTACACGGAGTGCCAGTAATACCACCAGTAGGCTGCGGCGTTTGCATCACAGGTATATTGACTAAAAAAGTCTGCTGTTGTTGATTGGCAGACTGAAGAAGAAGATTCTGTTGCTGAGAATGTTGAGCTATACTTGATAAAGGAGTATACATGTTTGGACTGCCAATGGCATGTGAGGGAGATGAATGGCGAACTAGTGACTCAGCACCAGCTCCGAGAGGACGTGATAAACATGTTGTTGATGGGTTTCTAGAATTGTCAAATACTGATCCATGGGTTGGTGAGGGTAATAAGGGTTTATGCTGTAACAGACTTGTTGTATGTGGCTTGGGAGACTCTGATATTTTCTTCTGCTCTTTTTGACTTTGGCTAACTAATTTTGAAAATGTCAATGAATGCACTCCACCTGTTGGGGATTGAGAAAGGCCTGGATAACTAACATCACCCGTGGAAGGTTTTCTAGGAGGAGTTTTATCAGTACCCGTTTTCTGTTGAGGTGACTGCTGCAAAAGTGGAGCACTTTCAAAAGAGGGTGAACACTCTGTTGTATCAGTTGAAGTTGAGGTCTTGGGTGAAGGTGGGGATTCACTGGCTTTGGTCTGTTCTTGTCCATCACGCTTCTTGTTCAACATGCTTTGTGCTAATTCAAAAGCCTGATTAAAGCTGTTGAACAAATTGTGTTGAGGTCCGGTGAGTTTAATGCTCTGTTTTAGCTGTTCTGGTGTTGGCCAAATAGCCTGAGAATCCACATTGGAACTTGCACTCGAGGGGCCTGCCATTGGTTCCCTCTCAGAACTTACAGAAGGTGAGTTCTTGGTACCAGAAAAGTGTGCTGCTATTTGCTTTCTGACAGGAGAAGCAGTAGTCTGACTTATCTTAAGAGATTCTGGAGATAATGTTGTAGCACTCGTAGTTGTAGCAACAGACAGGTCCAGAGCTGATTCACTCTCTGTTTCCTCCTTGGGTTCCGTTGATTTAGTTGCTGTATTGACAGTCATTGTTGTGCTTGGGGGCATTATAGTACCCGGCCGAGAATAGTTATGAAGCATTGATCCATGTGCTTTGACTGGGTTTCCTTTAGAATTTGACACAACGTGAGGCTCGCACTTGATGTCTCTGTTTTGTGCAGCCAATAAATCCTCAAATGAAACACCAGAGGAATGGGCAAATGGTATCTCTTCACTTTTCCCACTGGTGTATCCTATGGTCTTGTTGCTACAGTTTTGTAACATTTGTTGCTGTTTGATCCATCGAATAGTTGGCATGAGAAAGTTAAGTCTGTTAAAATCTGATTCTTCCTTTGTTATCATTCCTTTTGTCACAGACGTGGTAGATGATGGATGGTTGAGAGGTAGGAAAGGATAAGAAGGGTGTAGATTTTGAACTTGCTTTTTCCGCTTCGGTGGAGAATTTCCATCTTTCCTGGATTTCTTCTTAGGGACTACTACTATCTGTTGTTTTGTTTCACCATTTTGCATTGTCTTATTTTCAGATACAGTCAGCTCTGCATTCAGCGAGGAAGCATCACCGCTTTCAGTAGGAATAGGTTCATTTTTTATCTTAATCTTACTTTCCTCAGATTTCCGCTTACGCTGTTTCACTTTAACAGGAACACCATCAACAATATGAACTGGTGGTTTTGGAAACGTTTTGTTATTGGTAACGAGTGATTCAAACGCTGCCTGAAATGAGCTAGGGGCAGCTTTTTTGGTAGGGGCAGAAGCCTTCTTCACATCCTTCAAGTACATAGCAATTTTCTTTTTCGAACTGTCTGAATTACTACCTTTTTCGTCAGATGTACTACCAGTGCTTTGTTCATCATCCTTTTCTCCTTCAATACAACTTTCATCAGCGTTTTCCTCTTCTTGTTTAACCTTAGATGTTTCTGATTCCTCCTTTTCCTCCTTCACGCTATCCTTTTTCTTTGGTGATGTGGACTTAGAAATTGGATGTCTCTTTGACACTGTACCAGAGTTATTGGCTATGCTTTTGTCCCTGAAAGCACAAAAACTCAAAATATTATCTTGTTTTAAACATCAATATGCACAATGTAGATTTATATAATTCAAATAAGCTTTAGTTATAGAACGGGTAATTCCCCGAAAGAGCAAATTTATGGTCACCCTTTGGAAATAGTTTTTCACCTCGGGGGACCATAAATGTGCTATTTCTCTCATATCCATTCTATAACTGTATACTATTCCACACAGTAATGTATAAGATCTAGGTAGCGAGTATACCATACAAATTTAATTTAAATCCATTCATTGCTTCAAAAGGATATCACATGGAAACTATCAGCCGATCAGATAGCAACATGGTATGGATTTGGGTAGAGAGTATACTAAACAGGTTTCATTTAAATCTGGTAATTCCTTCAAAAACTTATCCGATAATTCCGATTTTGCCGTCACCCACCTGTGTTTATAGAGCTTGCTCTGGTCATCCTCTGGGTGAGGAGCTATGTCTTTCCCTTCTTTCCATAGAGCATAGCGTTCTGGTTGGAATCTCATCACAAACGTGTCCATACTGATCTTGACACCATCTTTCCGACACTTACACTAACAAAAAAATAGCAAATAAGTCACGTTTGATAGAGAATTGAAAATTGTTTTTCTATTATTTCATGAACTTCAATTGTTTTTCTGATGAATTATTTCAATTACCAAAATGCTAAATATTTTTAAATATTTGGGAAGAGAGGGGGGATTTCTTGGCACTCCATCCACGCTCTATTAATCTCACCTGCAAACACCTCTTTCCATACTCAATCCACCTCTCTGTAGCAAAGTTTGTGGACTCCGCACAATTAAAACCATGGTTGTAACCCTGATGATATCCATACGGGAAGGTAATCATGAATTCACCAGCTTCCTGCGTGATCTTAAAAAGACACAATGTACACTCATCAACTACAGTATCAGATCAGAGTGTAACCCAATCAACATAATGAATACTGTATACTCAATATTGCTAACCCCTGATATAGGGCTTCAACTTGAAGCTTCTTCATAATGAGTCTAAACATAGCCGTGTCCAAATTACAATATCCATAATGATGCCATGATCTGAATGCTGTCAAGTCATCTTCACACAGCAGTAGCGTTGGGAATTGGTTGAAATTTTATGATGGATTATCCGTTTACCCTTAACTTACAGATGATTGATTAATGATTTAATAAAAATTCCATAATAACTCCGACTAAAATCAGTCATAAATTCTCCAGTCAATTAAACAGTTTATTGGCCTAACTTTACAATTGTAAACAAAAGTTAATTAAACAAAACACTACTACACCACAGATATTTCAAATTTAAACTCTATTTTAAGAATTTGTTCAAAATTTCATAGATTTACTTTACTTGATGGTAAAAACAACCTTTATACCTGCAGAAGAGAATACATACCTTGTTAAATGGAATGGAATACTGTTTCAGTATTGCCGGTGATATCAGTGTCATTTTGTGTCGCAGGAAAGCAGGGCAAGACTGAGAACTACTGGGGAAAAATCCTAGAAAAAACAGGTTGCATATTTACATATTGTGTACATGCCAGAATTTATCAAAATGAGCTACACCCTGAACGAACAACAACAAAAAAAAATCTTGCATATGTCTTCAACTTGATGATAAAACATTAACTTACTGAGGTTCAAAAAATAAAAGTTCCTTAAAATCATTCTCTCAAAGTCCAAGTAGTCAATTATAAATGATGTAGGCCTGTCAACCTCCTGTTTATAATGGGGTACTTTACAGATCTATGCACTCAACCCCAGTGTCTGAACTGAACAGTAGACCAAATGACAATCACCATAAAAAACACAGCAGGTCTATGGGAAAATTTCCTTCATAGACCAAGTTGTCCATGATGTTACTTCCTATGTATAGATATTGTTCTATGATAGCCATAGTAGTGAGGGAAATTGCGTTCTGTTTAATTACTTCTATTCCTTATTATTACACAATTTTTCATGTAATCAAGAACTAAATAAAACTAGTTGAAGTTTTTTTGGCCAAAATCTGGTCTATAAAAAATGTCTACAGGTCTAAAGTATACCAATATAGTATAGAACTATTGTCCATGGTGTATAAATTCTAAGACTGCAACCCAGAACTTTATGGGATGCATTCACCTATTAAAAACTGATGTGGATGTTGGACAGGAGGAAGTCGTCATTACAAACCTGTTGCTAATCTCTCCAGTCGCCTGCCATGCTCTGGCGGTACAGAATACCAGGACTTGGGGGCGCCAAAGTGCAGGTAGTTGATACTGTACAAATCCATATCCTCAGTATGCCAGGGGAAAGTTGTCTTCCACATACCGAAGTACAAATACGCTGTATTGACTCCTTCTATTTTGATTCCATAGTCACCAGCCACATAATCCAGGATTGTACCTAGCTTGTTAATGTTCCAGTAGTTCTGATCAGTATCATAGATACTGCCCGAAATGTCTGCGCCATAAATTGGATTTACAAATGTGATGTTCTTCCAGTACTTTCTTTCCAGCTCATCAAAGTCAAAGTGCTTTGGTGTTCGATACCTTAAACCAATGATAAACACTAATATAAAAGTTGAAAGAAATATCCATATTACTGCTAATTCAATAGCAAAGTAAGGATCAGGAAAACAATATTTTGCATAAATTACAAATATGCCACATTATCTCGGATTTTACTTAATATATTTTAAATATTTATGTTCCATTTTTTAAACAAATTCCATCACTAGTTCATAGACAAAGTTTATTTTCTAATACCCGAATATACAAAACCTGAATTGGAAATTAAGCTTATCCGAATATACAAAACCTGAATTGCAAATTAAGCTATTGAGTCCATAACTTCAAGAAAAGAAACACTTTTTTCAATAGGTAAATTATAGATAAAAAAAACAGTATACATATGCTTAAAAATACATTCCAATTTCGCAAGGACAAAAACATGACTTTCCATTTTATTTTTCCATTCTAAATGTGAACGTTTAGACATGAGACATTACCTATCACTGTTTGCCAATTTTTCAAATTCTTTGATAGTTAATGGTTTCTTCTGTATGTTGTACTGCTGATAGAGACCCTGACACCCCGTCACCACCTGTGTGATTGGTGCTGGTATTGTCATTTCCAAGTCATCATAACCCCCTCTTCTAGGAACCCATTCTGCTGGAGGTATAACCTGATAGAAAAAAAGGGTTAACATGACTAACACTGAAATTAAGATTTTTTGAATTTAAGATTCAATCAACACATCGAAATATTGATACATCACAATAGTTCACATTTGCAATGCATAAATGACAAGTTTATAAATTCAGTTAGCAATTGTCAATAGTTCTTAAAAGCATCCACATACTCAAAAGTTTCAAAAAAACACGATTTTTATGTAATGGGTTCTGAATCTGCATTCATTCAGCTTTAATCAATGGAAACATGAAAGGAACAGGAGAACTTCAGTACTGTACATTGTCGGTAAGTTAGGTGGAAGATGCATCCCCAAATACATTGATTATGTCAAAATTTTGCTGGACGAAACATACTTTTCAATATCTTCATTAACTGTTCAAATCTACATAGAAGTACAAATGAATACCAATATGCTGTTTAGTAATTTGTAGTGATGACTCACTTAACAAGTCAAAAAGACATTACTACTTATAATGACCAACCTTTGCTACGCCAGCTTTATGTGCCCCACAGGACTCCATGTAGGACACATACTTGGCCATGTCCTTGAACTCCTCCATGGTTGGCCTGAAAACCATTATCTTTGGGGTATTGCTCCCCCCACTTGACGACTCCATGTTGTCAAGTGGTTTCTTTTATTTCACTCCAAAAGGAAACCTGAAAAAAATACCATGTAATCTTCATTATTTATAAAAAAAAAATCTCTGCTTGAGGAACTGTTAACTGATGAATGTTTTTATTGAATATTGACAACAAGCTTTTGGTGTCTTCTTACAAGCTTTAGTTTAAGACTGCCATCACACCTGATATTTGGTCCATGTCAGTTCAATATTTTTTCTATACACCTGAGGTAGTGATAATTGTGCATATTTTAACATGTATCTTGTTGATTTTCTTTAAATAAAATGGCAATCCATCACAATGACTTTGTTTTCCATTGACCACAATGTAAAGGCCTTGCAGCATCCAGTGCAAATGTGACAGACAAGCATGTAATTTTCACCCACTCTATCAGCAATTGACGTGGTACAGTTTGTTGTTTTTACAAAAAGGTATCGATCCTTTTATTAGTGAACAATTGTAACTAAATTTATTATTCATTCGATTGTGTTGGAAGAATGACGCCCTTTTTTTTTATCCCAAAGCTTAAACAGGTCCAGTACACTCTGCTGATTGAGCTATATAGCTATAAAAACCTATGTAGCTATATTCACCTATAACTCATAGCTGTATTGAGCAATAGTTTCTCAGATTTTAATTTTCATAAAATTAAAGCAAAGTCGCATAAAACAATAAGGTTAATGGTAATATTGACTACAAAAAGCATGCATTTAGATGTATATTTTTTTTAAAAGAATACATATATTTATTGTCTTTTGTTATTAACCTAATGATAAAATCGTCTTATTAAAGCGCTTTTGTTTTGATTCCTTCAAAATTTTATTTCACTTTCCCATTTCAGTAGAATTGTTATTATAAACAGTACATTACACAGATGAAATATTATTTGCTCATGAAGGATTATACCCAACCTTTCAAATATATATGAAGAACATTGATATAATCTTTGATGAAGCATCAGCGTATATTTTCAATAAGAATATCCGTGGGGTGGCTACGTGACTTGTATCGTTTCTTCATCCCAACGAAATAAATTGTCTAGTTTCACTACTCCCTCAATTTTCTTTGCATTGGCTATTATAACATCACAATACATTCGACAAGTGTGTAACAATGATAAAGCTAAATTCGAGGTTATGCACAATTTCGTAAAATTAACTAGAAATACAGCGTAATTCGTCAATACCGTCCACGGCCCATCAATCGTCACGCATGATCGACCTTCAGAAAAGTAGTGCCATAGCTGTATTTTGACTATTGACACTATTTTCATCAGGCATTAAATTCAAGGTTTCAAAACCAGTTACAAATGTATTAACAAACAAGCACCAATATTGTCAACACTGTTCAGATAAATATAATACCAATGTCACTTAAGGCTTTTATCGGCTTGTTGTAGGGTTTTGGTCAAAACAGGAAGCGAGCCGAGAGAATACACAATATGGCCGACAAATCGAGGATTGCATGCCGACATGCCGCATTTTTGTAACGTTTTAATTGTTTCCTTAATGTTCATGACAAGTACCAACACAAAACAGTACGCGCCAGAGTGAATAATAATATACACAATCAAAGACATTGCATTGTTTGACACCAATACCAGTTAGTTGATGTTTTGCAGGAAAGATTCCCAATCGAACAGTGTCAGAAATCGACCTTCGGCTTCGAATACGACACACGAATACTGCGGTTTTATTTTCAACAAACTTCCAATCATATTACATACAAAAGACAAATAAGAAAGCAAAAGGAGACCTCGAAAATGTTTAACTTACCTTCTTAATTTCATCAGATAATGCAAAATACTGATAATAAACAAAAACATTGATGACAATCATCAAGTTTTGTGGAAGTCATGGTTGACCTAAAGATGTTCCCTGAAAGCCATCCGCGGTGTAACGTAATCCTAATGTACAGCTGGAAATTCATAAGTTTATGATGCTTTTGGAGAAAAGAAACCCCCGAAGCTTATAATTTTATAATCACTGATCAATACAAAGTGCAAATTTATCACGAAACTGATATCTTTTTCGACTGATGCCATGTTGCGTCAATGCGTATGAATTTATTGTCTATGCATAAATTATTTGGAATTTTGTAACTTATAGTCTGTTTCATATTTTGCTGGTTCGGGGGATGTTGGTTCACGAATAAAGTTTGATTCTTCATAAAAAAACAACTATATCCACTCATAAATGTAAGACAGTCGTTTTCATCGGGAAACAACGCCGTATAAAGAACAGTTTTATGAACGCGGGGGTTTCTTCGTTATTGCTGAATGTTGCAGGACAGGAAAATGTACGAATATTTTTAACAGTTTTAAAATTAGCCTATAGTATTCACCACCAAATAGTTAATCAAAACTGTTCTGGTACGCATAACAAAATGTTATGTGTCTCGGCAATATTTTTCACATAAAAAATAAAATCATCTAAAATATTTAAACATTTTAAAATAAATACCTGAGGAAATGTGTGCATTTTGGGAAATAACTCACATAAAGGGAGCTAACTCATAATTTCAACATAGGTAACAAAAGGAATCTTCGAATTAGATACATCATCTAGAACAAGAGGTCATGCCAGGGACAGTATACGTCCCCGGTCATGCACAGAAAATCAGGAAAAACATTGCAAGCACGATATTTGGAAATATTCATTTACCTTTAGGGTTGTCGAAATTTGGAACAGTCTCCCCGAATATGTTATTACATCGCCAACGATTAAGGACTTTGAAAGTAATCTTGATACTCATTGGAAAAATCTTGAACTGAAATACAATAATTTGACCGTCCATAAAGAAATCTCAGGAAATGACAATTAATGAAAAATATTTTCTAAATACGTTAAAAATATTTTCTAAATACGTTAAAAATATATAATATATGGATATAGAGGCAGAGTGTTTGCCTGCATCCATTATTTCTCCTATTGTATTACTTCAATTTCTGTCTACAATCTGCATCTTTCACTGTTCTGTCAATCAGTTGTCCAGTACATTGTTGCGCAGTGTTTCATCAGACGCTGCTTTCGTTTCGTTTAATTTTAAAAGACTTATGACATAAAGTGAACTGTTTTCAATTTTCCCACTCTAAATATACTTTCAACTGAATGCAAGTTTGTTGTATAAAATGTGAATATCCTCACGATGGAATATATTGTTGAAATTGTTGAAATTAAATTGATGATTTTGTGTTTATTTCCACGAACTACATTTTTTGCCGGCAACGGTTGCATGTACCCATGACGTCACAAGAACAGGTCCCATTGACAGACAGCGCGAAATTTGACTTTGAAATGCGATAACAGATTAGAAATATAAGAAAAACTGCCTTATTTGGAAAGTTATTCTCCTATAATTCTCACAGGATTGCAGACAAATTAAATAACGCGCGTTACTTAAATAATTACCGCGAGACGGCCATTCTGGACATGGGGTGTAATGATAGCCGCCAAAATTACCCTCCGTTCCAACCCCAATTAAACAACCTGGAGCACAGCTAGGAGACCATTACTACCCAAAATCAGTTAAATAAAATGTTCATCCCCACCGCACCTGAGTGCGGCGTTGAGCAGGTGGATAATTTTTCATTATTCCTAGCCAACAGTATTCATTAATAATCTTGTATAAACCCCGCCGAAGATGACTTTATTATTACACAAACATCAAGGCCGCTTACGTCTGTCAACAGAAGGCTCATATGGACCAACGATGAAACATTTATCCAAGACACAGCTGATCGACTGACCATGGATTTCATTGAGGGTTATTCACTAAATAACAGTCTAGACAGGACATGGGTTGCTTTCAAACAGTGTTGTAGTCAATTCTTGTAAATTCTGAAATTACTTTGTCCTCGACTTAATGTCGCCAGTAAAGTTCAGCCAACAATGCCGATTCTTCGTAACACCAAGAGATCACGCCGCATATACATCGCGCCATCAACAAAGTGAGTCATCACGGGAAAAAAGGACAAGGATTCTTCCCAAAATACAAGAATTTAAAAGTTATCGTCCTTAAAGTGTGCCACACATCCCATTAGAGTTATGCCAACAACTTTTGATATGGCTTGTTAAAGAGGCTGCCGCGTTATGTTAAAAAAAAAAGGCAGATTATGGTCTGCTGAAAAGTGTATCCAGAGTAAAGGCTGACTGTAATACACCAAAGGTCGGCCCTAGCAGTATCAAGGACGCTTCAACCGTCACCATCATCCTGCAGGCATGATCAATGTTACTTCTAAATATCGTAAGGAGTAAAGCGATGGGTCCAAATGAACTTCCAGCCAGACTACGAAAGTATGTCATCTTACACAAGCTAATCAAGGTCTTTCAAACATCCGTCGACAGTGGAACTGCCCCAAGTATTTGGAAGCATGCTCAGACCACCGCTATATACACATATATATTTACACATATATATATATTTAAGAAGAGATGCAATGCCAAGGCACGTTACTGACTGGTGATATTGATGCCAATCTTCACAGTAATCTCTTTGCTCAATTTCACCGTCACAAAACCTCACAGAAACTGAACGATCTTTACTACCCGTAAGGACTGTAAAATGAATAGGGTCTGGGAAAACTGAAATCATGTGGGACAAAATTGAAAGTGTGCTTTTATCCAGATAAATGTGACGTAGCAAGATCAAGGTATACTCTACCCAGGGGCAGTCCAACCAGCCCACCCCTGTAGTTTGGGGGTCGAGAAAAGAATACACCTGCTGTTACTCACATCATGTATCGTGAGAGGCGACTAATGCGGGAACCCCTGAAGATTTGGGCATTTTATTTTGTGTCCTCTACTTGGGACACGAAAGCGACTTAGATAAATGTGCTGCACCCCTTGCAATATTTGGGATCTTTATATTTTATGTAATACCTTCCTTGGCAGCACCTCTCTTTTGGCTTAAATGTAGAACGTTCGCCAGGATGAGGCAATGGGTAACCGGTTATGTCCGGGGCATACCAAAGTCCTTAAAATGGTAGTTGTTATTTTCTTCCATTCCCTGCTTAACGTTCAGCAGTAAGGGGCATGGCGACAACTGGTTCAACCCGTTGTCAGTATAATGTGACCGGTGGAATACTGTGCTGGGTGCCTTCGACATGGTATTTGTTTTGCACTATAAAGTTGGCATCGGATCCGCGCTATCACAGGGAGGCATGTACACCAAAATACCATGTTTTACATACACAACGCATATGGAGGCATGTTATTAAATGACATTAGCTGTTGATAGGACGTTAAACCCTATAAAAACCAAAACCATTCCAACCAGCAATCTATATCTTGAAGTTCACATGCAAAACAACTTTCCTAAAACAAGCACATACGCGCCATCTCAAGAGTGTAAATTCCACCAGCGACTTTTAACAGATGACCCTTAAAATAGATGTTCGGGAGATGTAATGGTTAGCTGCAATATCACTTTAATGCGCTTCGCTATTACAATGCGAATCTATTGCATGGACACTGAATACCCAAAACAACATTCATAATCTAGAGCAGGTTCATCAGAAGGTAGCCCAGTATACATTGGAAATACGCAGTGTCTCTTCTTGGTGGGTGCACTTCCAGTCAGCAATACCACCAGCATGGATCAGTGGGCATTGCCAGCAGCTTGTCAACCACAAACTATACCAACACTCGCGGGGTCTTTTAATCTGCAGTCAGGACGTGGGATCTCTTACAATCGTCAGATGTTACATAACATCCTTCAATACCACAGCATCAGTAGGTCCATCTGACAGCCACCATCTAACTAACAGACAGGTTTAAAACTTTTTTGGAATTGTACATTGGCTTTCGTAGATAATTGTCACCTCCTGTTATGCTCATGAATTGCGACAACATTCTTAACAATTGCCATCGGATACATTTTACAATACAGAAAGAGAGAAGGAAACACAACAAAGGTCGTAACACAAAACACAGGTGTAAAATTGTTACCTTAATGTTTCAACAGTAGCTAATGAATGTTCAAAAGTCAATAGAACAAATGTGGATGGACTAGGAGTGGGTGTTTGCAGTACAAAGTCATCCACGCCATGTTTTTTAATGATATACTGAATATATCTAATTTCGATATATGGAAATATGATAGACATTTCCATGTAAACTAAGAATAAGTTCCCGTGCACTTTATATATTGAAATATCATAGAAATAATGTGCTGTTATGTTTTTTTAAGAAGAAAAAAGTTTTTGGTACCGACTGAATTAAACAATTCAGATCAAACTATAAGGAAATATTTTATACCATGGTGTATGTACAGGTACTGACTTCTTAAAAATCAATATACGTATTAAACGTGTCACAACGTACAATCATAGTTCGAAAAAAGGACCAGTCGATCTTGAAACGTACGTTGCGACACGTTTGATAAACTTTGATATATATCATGCGAGGTTGTTTCCCCTTGTCAGGTTACTTCCGTGCAAAGGGAGGTAATACTGAAAACAAACATCAAACAGACAAATCCACCCCCTGACATGGCAGGAATGATAATCCGAGAACACCTACAGACATTACAGGATGCCTGCGTCAATGAGCTGAAATCTATTGGTAAGCCATGCTTAAGTGGGTACATTACGTTAATTGCTAAAGAGAACGTGTCAAAATATTGGAGTTTCACTTCAGTACTAGCCTAATTACTGTAAGTTCGGGCACCGTTCTAATCAGCTGATAGTCTATTTCAGATAAAGCTAATGTGTTCGATTAGAAAGCATTACATGGACCATTTTTTCAAAATCATGTTGTTTTCATAGCACTCAACGGTAACAGCATTTTCTGAATTTTTCCTAGCACTGAATTAATTGGAAAAAAGTAAGACAAAATATATTTATCAGAAAAAAATAATACACTGTGTAAAGGGAGATAACTTTCCTGTGCTCTAGCAGTATTAATAGCAACACAGTTTGCGAAATAATACAAATAATCTTCAAAAAAATAAGAAAAGGGTCTATAGATTGTTTAAAGCTAAGTTTTAATCTGGTAAATTTTATTTGAATTTAAATATGATAAAATCAAAATACTTTAAAGGAAAATGCAAAGGCCAGACCAGCTAGGATTTGAAACCAGGACCTCAAAACTCTAGAAGGATACTCCAGCCAATTGGGCTACCATGTCACCTGCGATTGCTCATGCCCAGATCCGTTTCAAAAGCATGCATGAGGTGTTTTCTGTACAGTGTTTAATCCTCTTATAAACAAACTATTTTTGATATACAGTTTTGTATTTCAAGTGTAGATTGATCGTTTAATTAATGATAGTATTTTCCTCAAAAAGAATGAAAAAAGCACTAATAATACAAAATGGTTCATGTGGTGCCAAATTAAAAATAAAATGCTTAAATAGTGTCTGCTGTATCAAGTTCAGCTTTTACTTGGTATAATGGATTGATTTAAAGACATTGTACGATACCAAACTAAACAAAAAGATTGTCAAGCAGAACTCAATTGCTATATAGAGGTAAAACAGGCACCAGAGAATTGAGCCATACAGTATGGATCTCAAGGCGTTTTCTTGACATGAAAGAATCAAATAAATATAAGACCATTTAGAGGTACTTGATGGACCGAAGATTAACAGGCAGGAGCTGCCTTCTGTGCCTCCTTACTAGATACCTCCACATGTACAGGTATGTGCTTTTGTCAGGTGTGGAGGCTCATATGATTGTAAGGGTTCTGTTTTGCTTTGGGAAAGTGTTCCACCTTGGTTATTTTTTCAGAAAATCCAAATATAAGAAATAAAGGGTACATCCCATTGTCAAATGAAAATTTAGTCTGAAGTTTCTCAGATCTTACCACAAAATCTGTCAGCTGACTACTATGTGTCAAAACATTGCCAGAATGTTTATAGGTAAGGGGTTTCAGTTTGTGTGTTCTTGCATGTGCTTTACTTACCTACAATAGTTTTATGTTTTAAACCCTATTACCGGTAACTACCGCTGTTGGAGTCTGAAATGCTGTTACTATGAAACCTTTGTAAAAATATTGTAATTGTAATTAGCATACATTGTCAGATAATTCATATCTGTATATTAAAATTACAGTTGCCATTTTAAACCACAGGGGACCTTGACCCTATGCTGCTGACCAAGAGTAGACGACGTTGTGAGGTGTGTTTGGCTGGCTACCCAGACCCGACTGTGTATACTTCACAGATTTTTACCAAACTAATCCAGGAATATGCACAGGTAAGAAAATCTGGAGTAAAATGGAGGATGAGGGCTCTGTTGTCAAATAATTGTTAACAAGAGGCCCAGAGGGCCTGTATCGCTCACCTGAATATGTTGTAAATAATTGGTATGAAGTAAAGATATAGCACTCCATGGTAGGTGCTGTAAGTACATATGAAATTTCAGAAAGATCCATCCAGTACTTGAGATATAGCGAGAACAAACTTCAAACAGAGCCCCACCCCTATGCCCCTAGGGGGTCATACCCACCGTTTATACAAAATTGAGTCCCCTTGGCCCAAGGATGCTCCAGACTAAATAAGGATAAAATCCAGTCATTCGTACAGAAGAAGGTATTTGAAGAATTTGCTATGTTTCCCCTATCGGACCCACCCTTCTGCCCCCAGGGGGCGGGGGCCACACTCACTGTTTATACAAAATTGAGTCCCTTAATTTTGCCCAAGATCCTCCAGACCAAATTGGGAAGAAAAATCCCTTCATCCCTATGGTAGAAGAAGGATTTTAAAGGTTTACCTCTATTTCCCTTTTTGGGCCCCGCCCTTGGAGACCACACCCACTGCTTATACAAAATTGAGTCCCCTTGGCCCAAGGATGCTCCAGACTAAATTAGGATAAAATCCCTTAACCCCTATGGTAGAAGAACGATTTTAAAGGTTTTACCTCTATTTCCCCCATTGGGCCCCGCCTCTCTGCCTCCAGGGGGTCAGACACACCGTTTATACAAAAGTTGTTCCCTTTTACCTAAGGATGCTTCATACCAAATTTGGACAAGTCCTGTCATTCCTACAGAAGATGAAGGATTTTGAAGAATTTGCTATGTTTCCCCTATTGGGCCCATCCTCCCTTCTGCCCCCAGGGGGGCCACACTCGCTGTTTATATGAAATTGAGTCCCTTTTGCCCAAGGATGCTCCAGACTAAATTAGGATAAAATCCCTTATTCCCTATGGTAGAAGAAGGATTATAAAGGTTTTACCTCTATTTCCCCTATTGGGCCCCACCCCTCAGGTCCCAGGGGGGCTACACCCACTGTTTATACAAAATTGATTCCCCTTTACCCAAGGATGCTCCACACCAAATATGGACCAAATCCTTTTATTCCTTCAGAAGAAGAAGGATTTTGAAGAATTTGTTATGTTTCCCCTATTGGGCCCCGCCCCTCAGCCCCCAGGGGGGTGAGACCCACCGTTTATACAAAATTTGTTCCCTTTTACCCTAGGATGCTCCACACCAAATATGGACTAAATCCTTTTCATTCCTACAGAAGAAGAAGGATTTTAAAGAATTTGCTATATTTCCCCTATTGGACCCCGCCCCTCAGCCCCCAGGGGGGCCAGACTCACCATTTATACAAAATTTGTTCCCCTTCCCCCAAGGATGCTTCTGACCAAATTTGGTCAAAATATTCTCACTCCTTCATGACTAGTAGTGTTTTAAAGGAAAAGTTGACGGACGGACGACGGACGCTGCGGTATGGCATAAGCTCACCATGGTCCTTCCATATTTACCAAAATTGATCTGCTACTCTAAGTGCAACACTCATAGTCTGATAACAATATTAATAAAAAAAAAAATGGACATAGAAGCTACGGTTCCCGCAGCTACACTTTTACTATTCCTCCTTACTTTCTCTTCCTTTTGGACGGTGTCTCCCAGGTCACCTCTGGTTATCCTGTTGTCAGAATAATGTGACCAGGTGGAGTGTCATGTGACCATGTTCAGGTTATGACATTTCAGTGAACAGGTGGAGTGTCATGTGACTGTGTTCAGGTAAAGACATTTCAGTGAACAGGTGGAGTGTCATGTGACTGTGTTCAGGTTATGACATTTCAGTGACCTGGTGGAGTGTCATGTGACCATGTTCAGGTTATGAGATTTCCGTGACCAGGTGGAGTGTCATGTGACCATGTTCAGGTTATGAGATTTCAGTGAACAGTTGGAGTGTCATGTGATTGTGTTCAGATAATTACATTTCAGTAACCAGGTGGACTGTCATGTGACTGTGTTCAGATTATGACATTTCAGTGAACAGGTGGAGTGTCATGTGACTGTGTCCAGGTTATGACATGTCAGTGAACAGGTGGAGTGTCATGTGATTGTGTTCAGATAATGACATTTCAGTAACCAGGTGGACTGTCATGTGACTGTGTCCAGGTTATGACATTTCAATGACCAGGTGGAGTGTCATGTGACTGTGTTCAGGTTATGACATTTCATTGAACAGGTGGAGTGTCATGTGACTGTGTCCAGGTTATGACATTTCAGTAACCAGGTGGAGTGTCATGTGACTGTGTCCAGGTTATGACATAACAGTGAGATGATGCTATAAAGGGGCCCCATCATCTGTGGACACTGTCTTTTTTTGCCCTGGGGCAAAAAAACTCTTAACATTGAATGCTTGCTAGAAATATGGTTGTTTTGGGTTATTTGTCAAATGCTGTGTAAATATTGTGCCTTATGATACACTAGCTGCTACAAATTCACTTTTGAAAATGAGATTGATATGGTTCAATAAAAGTTATTAAATACAGTTGCCATTAATCAAGACATTGAATAAGTTTCTTTAGTTTACATTTTATTTAGGCAATGCTGGATTACACTTACCACGAAGAATGTCAGCTTGTCAATGGAGAGTTCCCCGAGAGTAATGCAAGGGAGAGAATTCATAAAATCTTCTGTAAGTGTGAAGAAATATTTTGTATAAGTCAGTCATTAAAAGTCAGAAAAAACTGTTGCGTTAAAAAAACAGTATGAGAAATTCATCTAGGCCAAAAATATAAATATACACAACTCAATGACAAATATTTTTTACTGCAAAATTGTTTATAACCACAAAGGTGCATTTATTAAATATAAAATATGTCAACTACCTGGTAAGTAATTTTGGAAATATAAACAGTATGCACTACAAAACCTAAAGAGAATTTTTAACATGCAGTATTGTAAGTATCATTTGTATAATTCTATAAAGCATTTTTGAAGCCAAAATATAAATGTTGTATTTCACTCTCCTAGGATAGTAAGAGAACGGAAAACCAACAATTTTATTTTAGATTGTGTAAATGCTCTTGGATTGGAAAGTGCAAGGTTCCATCATTTCGATGATATATAGATATAGAGGGAATGACAGTTGTCTAAATACTGCCGCCCAGTGTCTGTTTTAGAAGTTGGACTCATCATTGATGTGCACATCCTTGGATCAGTCTTTTCATTTTTCCTATTCCAGGTAGTTTTGATCAAATAACAGAACTCTCCAAAAAGTGTATACCAGAGAAAGAGGTAAGTAATATAATTGATAAACTTGATTACTTGTGCTGAATAAGGATAACTTTGTTGTACTTTTTAGATAAAACTGTGTACTTAAGCTGTAAAGTTAACTTGGAAATTTATCTATATTAGGAAGACTTAAATGACACTTATGCTATACCAGGTATACAAAGTCTCTGTAGATGGGTGTTTATTGCCATAATTCTAAAGGCAAGTATTAATTACCAGGTGATATGTAACTATTGCAAGGTAGGCATGCTGAATTCTTGCCTTTTGATAGGTTGCAGATGTTCTTGGTTCCGAGATTAATGAGTGCCTTGTTTGGAGGAGGGGAGCACTGCTTTACATGTATTGTAAAACAGTTAAAGACGATCCAAAAAGGGCCGACAAAATAGACACCAGTTTTATACAGGTGAGAAAGACAGATGTTCTGCATACACCAATCAACTTGTCAAGTTTGTTCAAATGAATCACCTTGACCAACTATCATGGTAAAATGTGTTTAAAGACTTTTTCTGAACAGCCAATATGCCTAGGTTCATGAAAATTTACAATAAGCATACTGGGATAAAAGTTGTTACTCAAATGAATGAACTTGATCCACTTTTGAGGAAGTAGGTATATGTGACCTTTCACCTATTTTCAAGATAACGAATGAGATATATATACAGTTCAGCAATACATGCCCATTGGACCTCTTGTCACGTATATCCCAAAACTTTTAGCTTCTCAGATGGAAAAACAAACTTAAGATATACATGTACATGTATTCCTTTACAATTTCAAATATGTGGCGAAGCACATTGACACCAAGTAATGTCACATTGACACCAGGTAATGTCACATTGACACCAGGTAATGTCACATTGACACCAGGTAATGTCAGATTGACTGGTGTTACAATGGAGATGTTATTGTTTCATCCAAAGTTAAGAAGTGTTGATGAAAAAATAAGTTACATTTGGACGTATGTTGATTTAAGGTTTACCAAATTTCTTGAAGAGAATTATCTTGGGTTTGAAGTATTTTGTAACATTGTTCAGTAATTCTTTAGGAGAGAGTTATCTTTCTTAGGTTAAGTTTTGTTACACTATTCAGTATTAAAATTAGTTCATATGTAAATTCTTTAGGAACTGCAAGTCATTGTGAAGGCTGTATTGTGTGATCTATTGACAGATTAGAATTAACACCTGCAGGTTCAGAGGTCAGAAGTTATTATGAAACAAATGTCTGTGTATATATTTAGCATATGACAACTTTGACACATTTGACAATTATTTAGTGTTGTATTTTTTTTAATTTTACCTCTGATGACTTTTATGATCTAGTAACACGAATCCAAGGTTTTACAATAGAGTGCCATGTATAGTCTGCTGATTGTTTTTTTTATAAACATTTTTTCCCCTTTAAGCATATTTTCAGCCTTAAATTGTAAACTGAATTAATTTTTTTAAGAAAAAAAGGAAAAGCTATTGAATTTCAATAAGTGTAAAACATACAGAACAAAATATAACAGAACAACTTCATTATCTGTGCGACCAATGTCACTCTTTCCATGCTTGTGGGTGCACAGTTAAAAGAAGTATTGTACTTGCATCAATTTTCTGACCATAGGAAAGTGCCTATTGCTTTTCTATGTCAAAGGTTAAAAGTCAAGGTCATCAGGGAAGGATGTTAAAAAAGTTTCCTGATGAAAACATATCACTACGATAAAGTAAAAGGGAAAGTCCTCTTGTCAATTCAGTATCAAGTAACGTGATGCTAATCAATATGACAGGATACTATACAGAGAAGTCTCCAGTTAATCCAAGGGAATGTAAACTGCAGTTGTTTTTCTTTGAATTTGTGGATAAATGGCTTGAACTTTATATTTTCAGTTGTTACATGAAGGAATTATTCAGTTAAAGAGCATACTTCCTTCACCACCGCCAGGTAAGGACAAGGAAGAATCACCAGACAAAGATGACACACTACAGCTTATCGACATGGGTAAGTATTCACTGATGGGGTCACTGCAGCACATGGAGTGAAATCTGAGACCCGAGTATTTACCATCATGCTGTTGTCTAATTCAGTAATATGTTGTAATCCCATATTTGATCAAATATATGTGATATGACCAGTGTATTCTGACATGGTGTCTACTCTTACCAATATGTGTTGTACCAGAGGCTCTCAGGTTACACAGCTTACACTGTTGTAGTGCCGTTTGTAATAAACTTAACCTTATGGCAGGAATTGTGTGGCTTGGTATTAGCTAGGCTTTGTGGATTGCTGAACTTAAACATCTTATCATGAAGGTTGACATTTCTCTGTTTGCATTGAAAGACAATCAATGTGTGTATCAGACAAGTGAAATTTCAGTCCTTTGGATAAGACTTTTGATGTTCAGCACTGGGCAAAACCTCAAGCTGAACCTTAAAATATAAATTTGTATTACATAAATCATGCTTTATTCAATAAAAAATCGATTGGAAGTATGGATTGAATCTTTTTTGTGTTGTTGCAGGCATCCTGAATGACACAATACTATTGGGGATGATGTATGGTGGTGAGCTGTGTTACTGGTACTACCAGGAGCAAGTAAATAAAACAAAGGACACAGAGTGTGATAAAGACTTTGATGCCAAAAAGATTGGCAAGGACTTCCTGCTGCCTTATATAGAGGCAGTAGATGGTGTACTCTCCGTTCATGGATGGAGTTCTCAAACAGCAAAACAAATAATTAAATACTTTTCTGAACACTGATATAAACTTTTTTTTTATATTTTAATTTTAGGGCCAATGATAATTTCAAATAAAGTCTTTAGTAAAGGTATTAAGTATTTTGTTTATTATTACCAGGTAAAATCGAATCATGTTTGTTTTGACAGTTGAAATCGGGTAAAAAACCTTTCACTAAGGTGAGATGAGTTATCGTCAAACATAGAAATGTAACAGATTGTTGTTCCACAAATGGTGTAAAAGATAATCTAGCTTCTCCTCGAGTGTCCTCAAAATTTTAGAATTCTGCTCTCAATACTCCTATCTTCTCAGCCCCTCCTGGAATATGTCATTACAAAATTGAAGGCTCGCTGTATGATATTTGATTGGCTTCAGGTATAAAACCTTACTTGTCACTAGACTTATACCTGCCCTTTAAAGATTACATAGGAGCAACTCCAAATTTCAAACTTCTTCAATCTCCACCTACGACATCAGACTAGTTCACTTGCATCATCTGCAAGGTGTCGCATAAATAAAGTTTTCGATGTTGTCATCACAAATTCTAACGAGAAGATAGGTGTATGGAGACCAGAACACTTGGATTTAGAGGATATCTCTTTGAGGTATAACAGAATTGTAGTATCCTGTTGAGTTGTATAAGAGGATCTAGTTTCCTGTTAAAACGTAACAGAGAATCTTCTTGTTGAGGTGTAAGAGATAATGGAATGTCTTGCCTTGGACAGTTGTTTCTCCTACCTCTGTGTATGTAAAATAAACTTGTCCCAAAAATCAGATGATGGCGTTGTATTATGACGTCACAATCAAGCCCATCGAAACATCATTTGACTGACTGAAAAACTTAATGCCGGCAAGTGACAACACCTCAGGACCATTATTGCACAAGCTTGTCAATCATTGCATAGGTATGTGGGATATGGAAATTCTCACCTTGGGTCTGACTCAAATTCTACACCCTCCTATAGAATATCCTACATACCATGATTACAAATTTGATCATCTCTCCCTGTTTTGGGTTGAGACCCCCATTCTCTTCTACCTCGCCCCAAAAGCAGTGAAAGATTATATGAGTATTCTGTTGAGATATTAAAACAGATCTTATTTTCCGAAAATTGAAAATCTAGGCTTTTGTTGAGATAAAACTGAGAACCGACTCATTTGTTGTGATGTTGTGATACATTCTAGTGTCCTTTTCAATTGTATAAGAAAATAAAGAAAGACTCCTATTTAATAGTAACAGATGATCTAATAACTTTCATTGAAGACATGTTCTCATTGGTCACTGTAGTTGATTTTGAACTTCAACATAATAATTTAATTTGCCATAATTGCTCATACTATAAAAAAAGTAAAACATGGTAGTGTATTTTTTCTTCTGCCTAATGATGACTTTGTGCGTTTTGTTTTATCCGTATAAAATCTGATTGGCATTTGCTACAAATTCACTTTATTTGTTTCTCTATTTTACTATTGCCACGCTTCCGTCGGTAACATTATGTGTACATTGTAGCCTTTTCATATCTGTTTTTCCCGTGCCACTTTTTGAACTTTAAGGTGTTCGTTATACAGTTTTTCGATATGATCAGTAAGTATTCTGTTCTCCCTGACTCTACTGTCGCACTCCTCGTCAGAATTCAGAGAGATGCAAGTCCGATAAATATCTACAATACATTTTGCAAACTTGTTCATGAAAACTTCGTCATCTATCAGATGCGTTCGTATACTCCTTGGAATCTCCAGTTGGAAGGCTGGGACCCCCATACACACCGACTGGCACGTCATGGTGTAGAGGTCACCTCCCCAGTCACCACAAAGACTAGGGTTGACATTTGTAGTGTATTTTGTATCGTCATTAGTTTCACAGCAAGGCAGGTCAAACAACCTACTGAATGAAGATTCTGTTTCAGACTTCACCCAGCCTACAAAACCTTGGTCCTCCCAGCGAGTTTCCAGTGCTTTGAAGCCAAAGTCGACATCTAGATTTGTCTTTCGATTTTTCTTCCCATGGACATCGATGTGAAGAAGAGGACATTTGTTTAGTTTACCGAAGCGCTTGAACTGAAGAAGAGCTTCATGCCATGGCGACAAAGCAAGTTGTTCTTCTGTGAGGTAATTTGGGTCGAGGTTTTTGTGGTCGAGCGGAGCAGCAATTCTTCTATCCCAGATCATAAAGCTAGCTGGAATACCCATGTACTTGTTGATGTGGGCGGCCAATTTTAGGACTATTTCCGTGGACCAAATCTCTCTGTAGTGTATTCTCTTCTTCCTTCCATCCGTGCCACCGCGCCATAACTTAATACCATGAGGTGCAGTCAGAAGAATTGGTCCATTCAGTTTGAACAAAAATGGAACATTTCCAGAGAACATTCTCGGAAGTACAGGCTTCAAGTAAGACTTAGCATGTTTTGTCGGTCGTCTGCTGTTATATAATATAGTAGATTCTCGGTGAGTCTCTGGGTGCGTTTTGTTTCTCCTGGAGGTAGTGGCCGGAGTCATGGGCTGGTCAGTACTTCGCATTACGTCTGACCTGCTGAGCGAAGTGTCTGACCTACTCGGTATTGTATCGGATCGTTTCGGTGACATACTGGTAACATATCTATTGATGGCAACTTTCATATTGCTGTCTAGTTTACTGGACTCCCTAGATATAACTGGTCGAACTCTGATTGCAGGTTCATCAGATTTAGTCAATGAAAATGTTAAGGTCCTATTCTGATCCAATTCTTCTGTCAGCTCTCTGGCTTTTAGAAAATCGGTCCTGGTGGCCATTCGCGCCATTGATCGTGCATGAACTATACGCCTATACGTCATTTCCGGGTAACTTGATACCCGCGTCGCATCTGTCTGGTGATTTCCATTTAAGTATAATCTTTGTCTCTGTGAAAGCGGAGATTCAAGTTCACCAGTCTTTTTCACTACCATGTGGCGTTCTAGATTAGTGGCCCCCTTGGTCATTTGACGGTCCAGATTACTTGGTTCTTTAGTCAAAAGACCCTTAGCAACGGCTTTTGCATGGGCATTCGCATTCAAGGAGGCATGGCTGTTGGTGATTGTGATGTAGCGACGTGCGGCATTCTTCCTGACCAGACCAGATATCCTCAGCTGCTGGGAAGCTTTGTTGATGATGTTGGTTACTCGTTTGTCTTTGTAGTTCTTAAAATCTGGCGTTGGTCTTTGTACTTCCATGTTTCACTTTTTCCTTCCGAATCAATGCATATCATTTATAGGATATCTGAAAAGAGAAAAACTATTTCTTAGGTTTGGTTTGGTTTTATTTGTTTAACGTCCTAACAACAGCTAAGGTGGCAGTTTTCACTATGGAGATAGATCAGATAGATCAGACATAAAACAATTCCTACAAAAATAAAGTCAAACAACGTTAACACTTTACTGCAACTTGTGGCCTTTTCGCCCAGTTATGACTTATTAATTATTTCAGTTTTTCCAAAACACACGTAGAATACATGGTAAAGTAAAAGTGCCTAAAAGGTACAAATCCACCTTTAGATAAGCTTTTACAACGTTTTGCTACAACAGACATATTCAAACTCTTTGTAAACCATGCCAGAGTGAATTCGAACACTGTTATCCCACCAACAGAGTCAATCAACACTGTTATTCCACCAACACTGTTATCCCACCAACAGAGTCAATCAACACTGTTTTTCCACCAACACTGTTAATCAATCAAGGTTACGTAAAATATCTACTAGAAATACTGAGTAAGGAAACAACTAGCTGATATAAAGTGTTTCATTAATGCAGAAAGTGAAACAAAGTAAACAGTTCCCTCCACCATATATCACAACATTTGTCATGGAGGTTCATATTATTCCTATGGCCCCTACACAACATTTCGTCCTTTTGTTCTCATTGAACCAAGTTCTTTTCTATTCTTACGTTTAAAAATTGATGACATGAAGAAACTACAAAATCAGTTCCGTTTTATACTCCCCATAGAGCTGAATTAGATGAGAAAGCATACGGAATACTATCCAGTCTAAGTATCAGGTTCAAAATTATATCAATACTGTTTGGAAGTATTTCTATTTCTATTATCACCACAACGTCAAAATGTTCGTGCTAGCTTAGTTGGACTAAAATCAATGCTCTGTAATCGGTCATACCTACCTTCATTATAGCTTAATGCCCAAAAAATAGAATTTAAATTAGTCATATTTTCATAATTATCACACCCGATATTAAAATGTACACGTCAAGAGATCAAAATAATCACCCACAGATCTACTACACATAATTCTACTCCTCCTTCTATATTTTAATTTTTTTAAATTTGGATTTTTTTTATATTTTACAAGATATAATTAAGCTTATAAAGCTTAATACACGCAAATCATGGGCCAATTTGTTTAAGGCCTGGTTAGCTTAGACTACAATTTTCTTAAATTTTAATCTGGTATATTTTAAGAAATATGCTGAAATGCAAGTCTAAAGTAGTGTGTTTAAGATTTCATAATGATTTATAAAAAGAAGAAAGACAAAATTATTTTTAAGTTTTCAGATACAAGTATAAAAATCGGATTTTCAAAATTTATATTAACAACACGTTACGCTGATTAGACCTTGAGGAAACCGGGCTGGTATAAATCCGACCGTGACAATAAAAGACGGAGACAATACAGCTTTGTTAGACTTACTAATTCGTTATATACATATCCACCTGCCTGGACAGAAAGACATAACTACATAGCTTACTTTAATCCAAACTTATTGCTTTATATTAAATCACAATAACTGTGTGTTTAATCCGTAGGAAACCGCTGTAATGCTATAGTATGGCCTTTTGAAACACGTGAAAGAATTTAGATCTACCTTTGAAGATTTAGCTTCTCATTTTACCACCATCATTGTAAATTTAGTTCTGCCTTTTTATAAAATGCTTTGTACAGGTCTTAGGGCAGACCGTATTGTTAACTAACGATATATGATATATGATTACAAAATCACTTAATAATATTTTACAAAATATGATTCATTCGATGTATTGACCATGGGGAGTCTGCATTGGTGAAATATTATACTTTGATAAGCAGCGCGTTGTGTGTTTGTATTAATTAAACATTGGTTATAAATGTCGATGAACATACATTTTGACAATAACACATGGTATTGTGGACACATCTGATGTGCTTAATATTATTAATACACTTTCGGGAAAATCTATGTTAAGTTGAAAATGCATCTTTTGAACATCTACCAATGTATATAATGACGGTTCGTATGATACCTTCGGATTATGGGAATATGTTTGAACGGAAATGAATTTTATATCATCATGTTGAAAATGATGCATTTCAATCCCAGTGTCAGCTTTCAAAACAACACAAATAGTTTATCTATTTGGCTATTTTGGCTCACGGTGCATGTTAAGACAACTGTTTTACCAAATGTTGTAACAGGCGTTTGTTTCGGAAACATTGTCGTGTAACGAATTTGAAGTCATTCATGTGTATCACTTGGTAGTTTGTTTTACAATGATTTCTTAACGATGAATTGAAACTGTAAGTTATTGATGCAAATATCAGGATGTCGTTCTTAAAAAAAATATTACGACGACATCATTAATCATTAATTGTTAAAATCTTAAATAAGTTAAATGCTTTATGATAAAATAAGTAATGAACAGGTCACATAAGAACTATTTGTCTTTAATACGTTTGTTGTGGACTTAAAATGAAGAAAATAAACTTGTTTTTCTCATCTTCACTCGTTTGAACAATAACATAACCTCAATCACTTAAAACATTTAAAACAAAGCATTTATTGTGACATCTATCATCAAGACGTGGTCTGAATGTAGTGCATTGATCTAATAATCTAGGTCAACGTTGGCTGACCTTTGTAAATGTAATAAACACAAGTATAGTGACTGTTACTTTCACGGTGACTTTCAGTAATATTTCAATTTGGTAATGGAGACTTTTAAAATCTATCGGTCGATGAAATATGCTTGATATGGTTACTAATCAAGAGAACGCCTTTAAGAATCACCAGCAAAATTGTATGAGCGTTCACGAATTGATATAGAACATCCGTTAATTACAATTTAAAAAGACATAAAACCAATGCAAATGCTCAATGGGTATACATTAATTTAGATAATTTGTTACATCCTATGTGTTTCAGAAGGGAGATATATTTCATGGTCAATATCGTACTTGATAAAGCTTTAGAAACTGATTCCAAATCTATCGTTCAGTATGTATAAGCGATACCAATCGTATACAAATATTTTTTCTATATACATGTAAAGTGGGGAACAAATATATCTGAGAGTAAACACAAGTAAAAACCTCAGATATGATACAATAAAACAACAATAGAATACCTTGGCGTCAACAACACCGTAATTCAAAAACAAAAAATGATAAAACTAGGGCAAAAATAATACTAAATGGAAACCATTGAAAATGTACAAGGAGAACAAGACCAGATGTTCCGGGTGGGCAAGCGCCTTCTTGATCGAATATAGAATAGGTGTAAAATAAAAAAAAGCATGCCCTCTTAAGCAAAGACAGTCAAAGGAATCGAGGAAAGATCAAAATAAGAGGAAATACATCAGAAATCCTTAAAACAATATGACCTACTTGTCACAGGACTGCTTGTACTACCCTTCCAACCATCAAAGGTGGAACAATAAATAAGAAAAAAGCGATTACAATTGCATTTGTATCTTACCGATCAGATGTAAGACATACCACCGTCAGGAATAGGACAGGTAATCCGCTAGCCACTGCCTGTATATTTCTATACAAATCAAAGTAAGTACACTCAAGTACACGATTAACCTTCGTTCTCCTAATAAGCCGCTCCACCTTAAACATTGACGTCATAGGATTATAATCGTAAGGCACCTGTGTTTGTGTGTTTAGTTTCTGATATAAGCTGTTCTTGTATTAGTTGAAACGACCGTCATATTCACGGATATACCTTAAAACATGGGTGTCCAGCGGCACATGTGCTTGTGTGTCTGAAACCATTAGTGAATAAGGTTTGCTTCTACTTGGTAAAAATAATTTATGAATATCTAAATATTTTTTCCAGCGAAACGTTTGCGTTATAAAGGGGTTGGTGATAGCTCGAGGGATACTTAAGGGAATCATTTAGACACAATTGGTCAAGGAAATATTGATGTACGTTCAAGGTAATCATTTAGACACAATTGGTCAAGGAAATATTGATTTGACAAATGAAACAAAGGTCATTGTATCGAAATTTTATTGTATATAACATTCGGTCGCCATCATTTCATAAATCTGATAATATAAATAATTTAAGCCGTACTCCTGTCGATGTTATTGTACTTATTTTAAAATAGACTATAAATCTACTCTACGTGTCTTCTAATCCCCATCAATAATCATCAGTTATTTAGTGTTTCCATTGCTAAATAGGCGTTGCTTACTTTGCAGACTATCGGTGTGCTGCTTTTTTAAAAGAGTTCAACCAAATGATTAATGTACGCTGTCCGGTATGTGTGCCAGATAGATGTTTATAGTACCGGGTGGTTTACATATAGTTTATGTTGCAGTGTCGGCTACTGTAAAGGACGCGAAAGTTACGAATGTAAAGTTTCATACAAATTGCTATTTTATGACGCCAGATCGACAATAGAAATACGTTTCCATTGTATTAAATATTTATGTTTCTGAAGATGATTTATAAACATACGTGTTCCTATTCTTAAACACAATACGTCTCCCGTGATATTTGATACTCAAACTACACGAATCAAAACATAAAGGAAAACATTTACTGCGCAGATCTATGCATTTATTAAAGAGAATCCTTTTGGTCGTACTGACTGTCCAGAATATAAAGGAAAACATACTGCAAACATACATAGTTAAGCGGTAGTCTTATTTCAGCGCCTTTGTCGCTTTAAGTATTGCGCTAAATTATGATCTGCCAATTGAAGTTAATGTTTATTGTTTTCTACTGTATATTGTGTGGGTGCGCCAATTTTTTAAAATGCGATAATCTGTTAAACTTGATAACGAGTTAAACTTTGATATTAAGATTTAATTGCGCTAAAATAAGTAGGCTTACAGTATTATCTTACTGTCCCTATAAAACGGTCAACTGCAGCGCAGTATACTGGAAAATTATAATTTATAAGTGTAGGCGGGTAATTGTGGGACAAGGTCAGATTAATTGTAGGTAGGACAGTGTCCAATATAATGAAATCTTACTGTCCGTTGAAGACAAGAAAATTACCATGTTAAGTATGCAGGAAAACTATCATATTATTGTCACAAAAATATAGAAAAACTGTCACCTTACTGGCGCCTGTTTACAGTAAACCTTTAACCTTACTGTCGCCTGTATACTGTAAAACTGTCACCTTACTGTCGTCAGTTTACAGTAAAATTGTCACCTTTCTGTCGCCAGAATATACAGGAAAGCTGTCACCTTATTTAGGCCAGAATATACAGGAAAACTTTAATCTTACTGGCGCATGTATACAGTAAACCTGTAACCTTACTGTCGCCTGTATACAGTACAACTGCAACGTTACTGGCGCCTGTATAGTAACAGGTGTTGACAAGTTGGAGATGGTCCAGCGAGGGGCAGCGAGCTATGTGCTCAGTGGGCACAGGTACAACCATCGTACCTCCAGTGTTTCAGAAATGTTGCACCACCTAAAGCTGCGCCCTCTAGCGGATAGACGTAGAGATGCTCGTCTGACCTTGCTTCATAACATTGTAAACCAGAAAGTCGCTATCGTTAAATCAGACAGATTGATCCCTACAGTTAGAAAATCCCGAACAAACCACCAGTTTTCGTATCAAATTCCCCACTCAAAAACCCAGACCAGAAAGGCATAATTTTCCCCTCGAACTATACCCGAGTGGAATAAACTCCCACCTGACATTAATTCGAGCCCCACAACGGAATTTTTCAAATCAGCCCTCTACCGTCACTTTTCAAACACAAATTAGACCATCTCGTATCTTTTAAAAACAATCTCTTTCCATGTTTCACTCCTCGTCTGAAATTTTATCTTCAAATTGTTGAAGTTGGTCAGTACCATTTAGAAGTAGGAGAAACAGTAAAACTGTCACCTTACTGTCGCTACTATACAGTTAAACTGCAACCTTACTGTTGTCATTATACAGTTAACATGTAACATTACTGAAACTGTCTGTCACCTTACATAAAAACTATCACTTTACTGTCGTCGGTATTTGTAGTAAAACTGCAACCTTCCTGTCGTCATTATACGGCAAAACCATCATCTTAAAGTCGCCATTATACAATGTACAGTAAAACTGTCACCTTACTATCGCATGTATACAGTAAACCTGTAACCTTACTATCGCATGTATACAGTAAACATGTAACCTTACTGTTGCCAGTATACAGTAGAACTGTCACCTTACTGTCGCCAGTATACAGTAAACCAGTCACCTTACTGTCGTCAGTATACAGTAAACCTGTAACCTTACGGTTGCCAGTATACAGTAGAACTGTAACCTTACTGTTGCCAGTATACAGTAAACCTGTAACCTTACTGTTGCCAGTATACAGAAGAACTGTCACCTTACTGTCGCCAGTATACAGTAAACCTGTAACCTTACTGTTGCCAGTATACAGTAGAACTGTCACCTTACTGTCGCCAGTATACAGTAGAACTGTCACCTTACTGTCGCCAGTATACAATAAATTGGTCACCCTACTGTCAACAGTATACAGTGAAACTGCCACCAGTATACAGGGAAAATTACTGCCTGAAGTATACAGGAACTGTCACCTTACTGCCTCCTTGAAACCTGAAAAAAATATCACATTATGACCCTGATATACAGGAAAAATATCACCTTATGACCCTAATATACAGGAACTGTCACCTTACTGCCTCCTGGAAACCTGAAAAATATCACCTTATGACCCTAACATACAGGAAAACTATTACCTAAGTGTCAACTTCATACCTATTACTACTTATTGATACAAACATGTGGTACAGGAGTGCCACCTTAGGTGAAAAGCTGCTTGTTAGCAATGCGGTAGTGGATTTACGTCAGAAAGTGCTACGGAGGAGTTTTCGGCAACACAAACGCTCTACTAGTGTTTCAGAGTACGTTTGCAATTTTCGATTGAATTTCCCAGGTAAAAGCTGTGATTGATTTATCGCACAAATTAATTTGTTTATCTGTTACGAAGTAAGATAACATTCTATCCAAACAAAGGTCGATTCGTCACACCTAATGGAAGGGTTCTACTGCACACAGAAATACCAAGCAAGGGGTAAACGATCACTGATTTAATACAATACTTATTGTTCCTCGGTCGATAAGCCCTTATCTTGGCACGTTACTTCAATGACTGGTATCGGGAACTCATTTTAAGCAAAGAAATAATAAATATATACCTTATAATAGCAATTCGTATATTTCAATATTTACAAATTCCAACGAAGAGTGTAAAGAGAGTAATTCGTACTATCCGAAGGGTCTTACCTGTGTGTTCATTTTGAAGGTGTTGTTACTTTTTTCATGAACTGATCGCCACCGTGTCGTTTGTCGTGTGTCGGTGTACTGCTAACACTGGCCAGTACACACAGGTATAATGAACTAGCTGTCGCCAGGCACAAGTCCATTCGGAAAATTAGTTCATGGACTTTAACGGTATCGATGTATAGACGGAGATCTTCCTACGAGATAACCTAATGGGAATTAAAATGGATCGCATTTACAGACTGAATTTCAAAACATTGACGGAGTAATCTTTGTGTTTAATGTATGTAACTATGATAATATTTTAATTACAATTTAGCTAAGTGCTGGTGTGCTCCTGTTAATTACTGGTGTGCTCCTATCAACCTACATACTCTATAGGCTTTGTATTCAGTAGTTGTTTTATTTAACGAAGCATGAAACGAAAGTTGATGGATGCTCTCTCTCGATGAGTAATGCAGTTTAGTGAATGAGAGAGAACATTGAATATATCTATTAATATCTAAGATAACATTCAATGTACAAATTAACAACGAACATCATCTGTATTTAATGATTCTATAGATGGCACCCAAGTGTACTGGATATGGCACCCAAGTGTACTGTTTCTTAAAGTATTGAAGATTTATTAATTTGTTTTTGTGAGAATCCAATCCATCAAATTCAGGCTCCAATGTCCTTTTTGCACATGTTTTGTCTGTCTTTTTAATTAGGAATTTTATGAGTTGTCATACGGCCAAGTGGACGCACTCGTATTGTGTCACCTGTCCAACCACGTGCGTTCTCTCCGTGTACTCCGCTTTCCTCCCACAGTAAGATCCTCTGCATGCTTACATATGGCCGGCAAGAGTGATTTATGTAAGTTGTATTAAATTGTTCATAATTGTTATGAAATAAATCAAGTTTATATTTGAAAACACACATTTCTTTTCTGATTTCTTATAAATTAAAACTCATTTTATGCGTACAATGCATTTATAATACATAATGCCTATTCAATTCCTTTGGTATATTGATGATACTTTCAAATATCGTAATTGTCTAGAGATTGGTATTCCTACAGCATAACAGAAACTGACTTTGCTTCACAAATAAACCCCGTTGTTCTTTGTTTTCTTGAGCATTTCATTTTGATAATATTGGTTTTCGGTCGAGAGATTTGTATGCTTTAACCTAGTCGAGTTATACGTTATTGATACATGTGGTTCGATATATATGAAATTAATCGTTGAACCGCTGTTGAACTGTTTATTGTTCTAAAAATTAACCACGCGAACCAATTGTGTCATCCTTTGATTCACGCAGAGCGTCTCTTATCTTTATTTGTAGTCTTCCAAGTTCGTATTAATTCAGCTTTTCCACATATACCTGATGCAAAAGTTAATGACAATAATGAAAACAATCATTGCTATTCGGGTTGTGTATCTATTTAGATATAGCGGTATTGTCAGACTCTACGATCCTGGCAATGAATCAGTTCATTATTGCAAATTTCACGATTATAAAAAAGGCATTCAGGTTGGTCTCACTGTTTACTCAAACAGGCTCAAATGTTTGTGATTATAGGACTTTTTAAGATGGACAAGGCGGGTGTCGCCGATGAAACAGAAGACGCTTACCCTTCCGTAACCCATGGTCTTATTCTCCTTGTACCTTTTTAAAGGTTTCCGTATAAATATTTTCTTTCTCCACATTCTCCCCTAGTTTTATGGTAAATTTTGAGTTCGAAGAATGGTTGTGTTAACACTTTGGTACCGGTTACTATCGTGTTGTATTTTCCGATTAGGTTCATTGCAATAGCTTTCAATCCGTTTATCGAATGCAGACTTTCGTAAATTCCATCTACAACTTCCCTATTTTAGTGGGAGGATGTAAATGTTAGTTCTAATAACGTATGAAAACGCTCAATAACAGCAGCATTTGTAATCATTAATTGTGTCAAGCCTATCTCTCAAAATCTCCTCAGTATCAGTAACCTGAAGTGTGATGATAAAAATGAAAATGCAAAAACACTATTGATAAGCGTACATTTATTGCAAACAAAGTCATTCCGGTCATATTTTCATATCCATATATTAAGGAATCTATATTTGAATCGAACAGCGATAGAATTATGACAGAAGTCACGGATGCATCAACGACGTGTCCTTTCCAGGATGGCATGGTGAGGCTAATATCTCGATTTGACGTTAACATCACCAGGATCCCTGTAAATTTGGTACCATGTCCTGTCTGAAAGAAGAGAGAATTCATTTGATATTGTTAATATAAAATGTTCAAATAATAATTGTATTCATAATTTTTTTAATAGAAGACATTGTGTAATTTAATATACTATTTTTTGTTTGTTTGGGGTTTAGCGTCCTCGCAACAGCCAGGATCATATGAGGGCGGTAAACTTTCTAGTAATTCATCACGGTGATGTAAACCGACATATAATAAAGTAACTTAAATGTATTGAGATGTTGTTTTGACATAGTAATGCAATGAATTTCAAGTAATGATACAAGTAATATTAATTGAAACCATATTCATGCGTTGACACGTAAAATATGTTACGAGTATACCCGTATTATAAAGAAATAACAATACCTTCAACAGTTTCACAAAAGTTGAGGAAAGGAAAGAAAACCTATCCTGAGATGCAAGTAGTCGAGTTTAGCTAGATAGTTCGTTAGTTATGTAAAGATAAAACCATTACCTTGAAAACAAATCTCCTTTTTGTAAGGATTTTTTCTGGTTTGGTGACCGTGGCCAGGTATGGTAATTGCCGACATGTTAAGGTTCAAATGTCCTACATCATCGTCAACAAATTCAGATTCTTCCAACTTTGATCCCCGAGGTAAGTCGTTCATCAAATCTTCTTTTTCGAGTCCTGCGTAAGGCAATTCTGGGGCGCAATCCAGAGTTGTGTCCCGTGGGGATTCGTCGTCAGAGCTTAGAAATTCTGAAATCAAATGTGTGTGTTGCAAGTATTTAAGTTTAATATTGTTCAAGTAAAAAAAGAGCTATATTTATTGTCATTTTATTAGTTTAAAAGTCAAAAATGAAATATGGTTTAATCAAATAATAGCATAACCACGTTATCATAATTATGATTACTGAAAATGTAAAAGATAATCAATTACTTCAATACGTTTTTTGTTCATGCAGTAAAATCTGGTAATAATACACTATTTGTCAGTAACTTTATGTCATAACAAAGTCTTGATACATATATCAGGGTAGGCTTGATATGGAATTGGTGATAAACGAGCAGAAAAATAATATAAGGATTTATGCACATAATTATTCTTTTGTAAATGAAGATAATGCTACCTTTTACAATATGTCCTTCCTTGACCGGTCGGATACTAGAGACTTCCTGACTCAGATCTATACAGGGGACATCGTCCCGGTCATCAAGGTAATGGTCGGATATCACGCTGTCTACGTCCCTAAAGTGGACACGGGCACGCTTTATATTTCCTTTGTTTGGTGATGTCATATACCTGTTCCTTTCCTTGTTAGCACTATTTATTTTGATAGAGGAATTCTTCAAATCTGCTGAAAACGCAATGAATTTTGTATATCATCATACATGTATTATCAATACATCATACATCAGATTTTTATTCTACATTGCTTAAGGATATTTGATATTCTATGTGTAATTATGCGTTTTTCAGATGTTAATAGACAATTTCAAAACGTTTTATGTGATACTGGGTTTAATGTGTATGTTTGTGTTGCATAATGCTCATCTACATCCAAACTATGTTTTTATTTCGGAAAGGATGGCAAGGATGATCACAAACAATATCAGGATCTCTATGAGTCAGTACCCGATATTTAAAACAAAACTGTCGCAGGTTGTTCATGACAAGTTCGATAGCAACGCTATTGACGAACACTTGTTGAACATTTTTACATTGTTATACCCGGATTCCATACCTGATACTATGCCTCATATTCCTACATGCGCTATTTTAGTTTAAACATTTAAAGAGTGAATAACATTCAAAAAGACATGAAACTTGTTGTTAGCCAATTATATCATTATAAAATCCTAACCAGTTGTTAGGTCGACTCAAATAAGTTTCAGAAGGGAGTAAGCTTACATGGTTTACGTTTATGCTGCTTCCCAGTGGCGTCGTTGCCAGTGTTAGGATCAGGAAATAGCCATGATATGTCATAGCCAGATATTTTGGCGACGTCAATATCAGACTCGGACGCCAATCCTGTCAGGTCCAGTTTGGGGACACACTTTGGCCTCCGGTGGCCGTATGGTACGACTTTAAATGGGATGGGTAAGTGTCTGTTCCCTATGACGTCCTCTATGATGTCCGTCACCTCCAGGGAATGTGACTCCACTAGCTCATTACCATGAGACACGACTTCTTTAGGGACCTGAGCCACTGTAAATTGATGGTGAAGATTATACATTTCTACAAATAACCTTTTTGACATTGATTGTTATTCATACGGATACTCTTTCATGTATATAAGAACGTTGTATTTTAAGTGAATCGAAAGTTTGACGTTTTAAAAATTAAAAACATATCTCAACTAATCTAAATTTACCTTGCCAAGAATTGCCAATTTTGTCGGCGCATTTCTCTATGATGACACTACACAGGTGTATGGTAGCTTTACAATATTCTATATAATCGGCATATCTCTGTGCTTCGACGTCGGCCACTAATTCTGGTTCAGTGTTCTTGTCAAACCGGCCAATGTTAATGTCGAAGTCGGATACCATGCCTCTCGGATCTAGATTGAATACAGGATCCGGCCTGTCCTGCTGTAACTTTGAAACGCCGTTCGGTCTATCCTGGTCAGAAGAGGAAACTCTCTTGAAGGGGATGTTCAGATTGCTGCCCTTGTCTTTTGGGAAGTTTGTGTTAGCTAATGATGAATCACGTTCTCCTATAGGATTCTCAGCTGACATATCCGATCCTCTTGACTGAAAGATCTCTGAATATGTGATACAGAACACATAATTGATCGTGTGGAAATTGAAAAACATATTTCGTATAATAATGCAATTGTTACATGTACAAACAACCTATTCTTAAGATGTGTTCTTTTATAGGACTTAAATGCGGCCCCTCTCTATAGGTATGAGTGGACCTGAAAACCAACATAACCACTTAAGCAAATGTGTTATTAATTAAACCTCGACATTTATACATGATTATCTAAATGATACATGTTTAAGTAAATTCTTAATATTGAATTCTACTTTTAATTAAAACTAATTTACCATGATGCTGAGATGACCGTTTATGTGACATCACACTTGCGTCGTTGCCAGTGTTAGGACCAGGAAATAGCCATGATATGTCATAGCCAGATATCTTGGCGACGTCAATATCAGACTCGGACGCCAATCCTGTCAGGTCCAGTTTAGGGACACACTTTGGCCTCCGGTGGTCGTATGGTATGACTTTAAAGGGGATGGGTAAGTGCCTGTTCCCTATGACATCCTCTATGATGTCCGTCACCTCCAGGGAACTCGACTCCACTGGCTCATTACCATGAGACACGACTTTTTTAGGGCTCATAGCATCTGTATAAAGGAATATTCTGTAGTTCAATAACTTTTCAGGCATTTCCTGAAAAATAATTTTGGTAGGGTATACGATACAGACAATTTTCGCAAATATTTAAAACAGTCCTTTTTAATATTTTAAAGCCACTCAATTTTGATATTAAAAATAACAGGAGAATTTCGCTAAAAAATCATTCTTAAAATGTTCTTGATTTTCCTGTGTATAATACCAGTCCTCGATAACCTAAGGTATAGTTATCGCTCATACCGAAATCCTTTCTTTCTTCTTCTACATGCGAGGAACGCTCTGGATGGTCAATATTGGAAACATTTTGGGTCCAGGAATCTGCAAAGGGAAGCAATGGTTATTGTTTTGTGAGTATCTTTTTACCTGTAATTAAAAACTGTACATTTGTGTGAATCGGAGTGTTGACATTTTATAACATGTTAAAATCATACTTCAAGTACTCTTTACATTTACCTTGCCCCGGAATGCCTATTTTGTTGGCGCACATCTCTATGACAACACTACACAGGTGTATGGTTGTTTTGCAAGACTCTATGTAATCAGCATATCTCTGCTCTTCGACGTTGGCCACTAATTCTGGTTCCGTATTCTCGTCAACCCGTGCGATGTTAATGTCGGAGTCGGATACCAGGCCTCTCAGGTCTAACTTCGATACACCATTCGGTCTTTCCTGGTCAGAAGAGGAAGCCAGCTTGAAGGGGAGGTCCAGATGGCTTTCATCGTCTTTTGGTATGTCTGTCATAGCTAATGATGACTCATGTTCCTTTGTAGGACTCACAGTTTTCATACCCGAAATTTTTGAAGAATAAATCTCTGTAAAAAAAATTAATACCACATTATTATTTGGTTAAAATGAAAAGTAAAAGATCATGCAATAAGTTACAAGGCACTAGTGCTTGATATTTTCTTCATTTTCTTTTCGCTTTAAAATTTTATCCTTTCCCTCTCAATAAAGAATTTAAAAAAACCATGAAAACCAATATTATCATTTTAACAAATGTGAATTTTTCATGTTTTTAAATAATATTTCACTGTTAATTCCTACTACAGTTAAAACTAATTTACCATGATGGTGAGATGACCGTTTATGTGACATCACACTTGCGTCGTTGCCAGTGTTAGGACCAGGAAATAGCCATGATATGTCATAGCCAGATATCTTGGCGACGTCAATATCAGACTCGGACGCCAATCCTGTCAGGTCCAGTTTAGGGACACACTTTGGCCTCCGGTGGCCGTATGGTATGACTTTAAAGGGGATGGGTAAGTGTCTGTTCCCTATGGCATCCTCTATTATGTCCGTCACCTCCAGGGAACTCGACTCCACTGGCTCATTCTCATGAGACACGATGTTTTTAGGGATCTGGACATCTGTGGTAGGGAATAATTACATTATCCAATAATTATTAAAGCTGTTAAAACAATTTTATTGTGATATATTATACAGTTCAATATTCGATTAACTTTAAAACATTTTTTGTTTCATATTTTTTGAATGACACACAATTTTGGTATTGGTAAACTCTCTAAATAAAAGCACAATTCATCGACTTACCTGTATACGATATCTGTTTATGCGAACCTAAAGTTTCGTTTTCGCTGAAATTGACATTGCTTCCCTTTTCTGGTACTGGCTTTGAATGCTCAGGGCCATCCATGTTGGAAACGTTTTTGGTCAGGAAATCTGCAATAGGAAGAAAGTGCTGTTGTTCGCATGGATCTTCTCGCGCGTGTATTAACAGATACAATGTGGCTATGCATCACTATTTACAATATAAAAACGTGCATCAACTAATCTATTAAACTTTACCTTGCCCCGGAATGCCTATTTTGTTGGCGCACATCTCTATGACGACACTACACAGGTGTATGGTTGTTTTGCAAGACTCTATGTAATCAGCATATCTCTGTTGTTCGACAATGGCCACCAGATCTTGTTCTTGGTTCTGGTTAATCCGTGTGACATCTGAGTCAGATACCAAGCCTCTCGGATCCAGCTTGGATACATCACCCTGTCCCTCCTGGTCAGAGACTCCCATGAAGGGGATGTCCAGATGGTTGTCCCCGTCTGTTGGGATGTCTGTCACTGCTAACGATGACTCGTGCTCTTTTATAGGATTCCCAGTTGTCATATCCGAGCTTTTTGACGAATAGATTTCTGAAAATGTTACATACTACACATCATTATATGTACAAATGAGACATACATATCGTGTAATAAGGGAGTCACAATCCACTATTTGCAATGTTACCATATATTTTCTCTGCTTTTCATTTCGCTATGAATCGCCCTTTCCCTCTACGCTTCGGTAGAAGTAGCCTTAATCAAGTCCGAAATTAAAGCATAAAACAGGGGAGGCCCCTATATATACTGACCTCGTATTTCGACATCCTCAATTAAAATATTGCGATAATGAGGAATGTCCTCTTCATATAATTGCCGTATGGGCTCCACGTGGACACGTATGTTCCTCTTGTCTAGACAGCCATACAAGTCCATTCCGGTCACATCCTCAGGTAGATCGTAAGTGACCACGGTTCCGGATGGACTCCTTGTAGGGTGCACGATGAACAACATTTCCTCTGTCTCCGAGGGAGATTCTCTTACGGAATTCATGTTGGAGTCTCTATCCTCGGAGGAAGCGTCGTCGTCTGTTGCGCAGAGTGTCGAACGATCTCGTTCTCCGTGATTTGAAATTCCAGTGCTCAATCGGCTGATCTCTTGCTTGTTAGATCCATTGTATGTAGAATCTGCTTGTGTAGTTCTGGCACGAATACATGGCCTGTTGTGCCGTTTGCCGATATCGTCTATTTGTTGTAGGTCCATGGTAGCCTTAAGTCTCAAATTCATACATCGGAGTCTGGTTACTTCTTCATAAATGTTTGTGTGTCCATAAAATATTTCCTCCCGGTCTAATATTGCAGCCATATCCATGTTGTCTTGTCTCAATCGATCAATTTCTGCTATGACATTTGTCTGTATGTCCATATTCATCATCTGTAAATGGGAAATAAGTTTTGCAAATAATATACGCGCATGTCATTTATAATTTAATTCATTTGAATAGAATACTTATATTGGAATTACGATTATTTTATCCAGTGCCGCCAGGTGGCTTGCAGATATCGGAGTCGTTCAGTCGTTGACTGATATACTAGTAACCTATATGTACATGTATACAATTGTATATGTGTATGTGCTGCTTTGACTGGATTTTTTCCCCTTTTTTCATTTGTTGAAATGGATTATGCGATGTCGTTTTTGAACGTATCGATATTGAAGTGAAGTGAATGGTATCTATATATGTAAGAAAGGGCCTTTGATGAACTGCTGATGTTCTGACTTTGTAAAAGTTATGGGAATTTATTTTTGATAATTAAACCGGCTCTCGGCGGCATGGTCGGGCCCCTCCAATTTGTTGGGTTATTTGAGTTGTTTGTTGATATTGACCAACCAAGAAGATGGTGTGACAATATGTGTTATTTAGAGAAATCCATCCTAAATTAGCGCATTTTATTTTTACAAAATATGGAAGCCACTCTTGAAGAGTTAATGAGACAGACTAACAGTAAGAGTGCATAACTTACCCTTAAAATTTACCTAACATGTGACAAATTCATCTTTTATACCTTCAACTCTTCGCGGTTGGAATTCATTGAACCTTTCAGTACGATCATTGACTTCGTTACACTCTTTTAAAAATTCGTTAACTTCAAATGTACACTATCCTCCACCAATCTACTTCGGTGACCGTAAATTGAACATTTTGCACACTAAACTTAGACCTCAGTGTAGTACACTTAAATATGATCTGTTTAGAGTAAATCTGGTTGATAGTCCAGTTTGTTATTGTGGCCATCCCTGTGAAAATGCCTTTCACTTTTTTTGTGAGTTCTTACTTTTTAACAACGAAAGACACACCCTGCTCCAAAATTTGAACGCCATGCATGTTGATTTTAATTTAGAACTACTTTTGTTTGGTAAAACTCAACTTTCGGTAGAAAAAAACCAAAAGTATCTTTAGACATGTGCATCATTACATCCAATCCAGCAATAGGTTTTTGATAGATATAATTACTTTACTATTTCTATTTATGTGTAAATTGTTATGTGTTTATGAAATTGCATTTCATTATTTTGCCTGATTTCTTTGTTACATTGATTCTGTTCATTTTGAAATTACTCTACCAGGATGTATAATTTATAATTTATTCAAATGCGGATCGATTTTATAGTGTACACGTTTACTTTTCTAGGTGACACCCCTCCCCTCCATCACCTCCGCCCCCTCCCACCCCACCTTTCCTTCTCCACCCTATCTTTTTCCCTTTCCCCAAAAACATATACACTATTTTTACAATATGTATTGAGGAGAGGACTCTATTAAGTTGTATTAACTTGTTGTCCAATCCATTTGTATATTTGTACAATAAAATATGTTTAAACTAAACTATGAATTAACGATAAGATATACTGTGTCTTTTATCTAAAAGGTTTTGACTTTGAATTAACATATAGTGGCGATAAGTGTGAAAGTTATATTGAGTTTCAACTGTATTACACAAGCATGTTAGCAAGGCTATTCAGCTTAAAACTTACATTATTAACTTGTTAACATCACAAATATCTCAAATTATTACAAATTTCTAGTAGCTTTATACTCACAGTATTGCTTTCAATGCGTTGCCGTATCTCTTCTATTTCTCTCTTGATGTCTTTTGCATCTATGTAACGTGGAAATTGCAATGGAATGTGTCTTGGTCGATCTATTTAAATTAAAATATTTCGAAGATATATTGACGTAATTTGAGACTTTATCTCAATAAAATCCATGAAAAAAACACAGGAACAAAAAAAAACGTTTTCAGAACGTTACACATAATGTCAGACTATTTCTCCTATAATTACTAATTCAACAATCAAAACGACATATTCGAATACTCACAAATCTCGTATAATTGTTCTGGAACACCTTTTACTATCTAAAAATCTTTTTTCACTTGTGAAACCACTCTTTGTATTTATAATCTCCCGCTTGGAAAAGTTCGCCAAATGCTGTCAAGAGCTGTCGCTGAACTACCAGTGTTGCTAGGCGATAGCGTAATATCCGGTCATGTGATTTACTGTTTCGCAGGGAAGAGTTCTGCAGTAAGAGGAGATAAGAACAGCAGATCGTTTCCGAGCTACAGGTTTCTGCTCTTCTAATGTTGGGAGAGATGAAATCTAGAAGCGTTCTTAATATGATTTAATAGGAAATTAGTGGAAGCAGGCATCGGTGCCTATATTAGTTAATGTGTAATACATTGCACATGGTAACAATAAGTTAACTAGTTCAGTAGTTAGTTTACTTATAAATAAGACGCTGACACGGCAATGTATGCTCTGTATGTAAGTTCTCAAGTTGTGCCTACTGGGGTATCCTCGGGTTACCGGTTTCCGCGCACTTAAGAAGCATCCGCGATTTCGTACTCATATTGGCAGAAAACTGTTGAAATTACGGAAGGCTGCCATAAACATGTACACAATCTACTAAAGGAAACAAAAAAATAGCAACATAAAACTGTATTTAAAAAAAATCAGAACAAACATTGTTTAGCAAATTTCTCCCGTCGGAAGTAGCCGTCATATGTTTCCGTGTGTCTACTTTGATTTAGTGTTCAAAGAAAGATAACTCGAATACAATAAAAAGAAATTCTCTACAATGACCTGCAAGAACAAAAGCTTCGTTTGGAATAAAAAATATATCTTTGATCGTCAAATTAATTATCAAAACAACTTTTTTTCAATTTCACCTTTTTAATTTATATTTCAAGATGTCAAATTGAACGAATTCATGGTTTTTTTAAAATTATTTATTATATCTATTTAGTTATAATATAGAATCTGTTATTTTTTGTTTTCTGCAGTTTTATATCGGTTTTGGTTAATGGTAAGTAATTTCTCATTTTGTTCTGTTTCAAATTGGTGAAAATTGGAAGTTCATTGCATTACAAGGTTTACGTTTCATTGAAAACACTGTTTATCGATATAAGAATGTCTCCTTGGCTCTTCGGAAGTGGAAAAAAATCGGCGAGGAGATGTGGCCTCATTTGCATACGACATTTTCGTACGTTTGTCAGACTACAAAAAAGACAGGTTCATGAATGAAATATATCGCCGTTTTTAAGGTATGGGTTCATTTTGAGCAAAATGAAAAGAGCATTAAGCAAAACTGCATGTATATGCGTGTTTTTTAATCAGTGATTAAATCTTATGTTTTCCGGACGAACTTCCGGTACAGTTTACAGACGATGGCCAAACGTCTAAAATATCCTTGTGTTTTGTCCAGCAGGTCACGTAGTTACGAGATATAGCTTGATAAAATGTCTGCGCGGAAATACATAACGCGCGGAAACTGGTGTCTAGACGATACCTTTTAGAGTGCAATTTAGCTTTCAGTAAAATTTATAGAAATGGGTCTCTTTGACTTTCTTATGTTTATCATCCTAAAATGACCATTGGAAATATCAGTCAAATGTAATCCAATAAGTCTTAAGATGTAAAAGAAAGAAAAAAAACACGAATCGCCGTTGCCGATCGTAGCGAGCTAGGCCATTTATATCCCACTGTTTGCAATTTTGTGTACCTCTAAAATCAATTTCAATTCCAGTTGTATGTATTCAGCGCAAAGTTTAAAGTATTTTCTTCAATGTTAAAGACTAAATAGGCCAGGTAAAAATTATCATCCCGTACTGCAAGACAGACATGCACTTTCTGAAGTCTTGTTCATCTTTAACCACACACATAACTTTAGGCTTACTGTGAGTTACAATAGCTTTAAAAAATAGTAAAATCCGCGACACTTTAATCGTTTCCTCAATGGGGTTTGATCAACCAGTCGTTATAATATTGATGAATCAAAATCAAACGGACCCAATTCCGGATTTCTTGGAAATACCTCGTAATTAAATATTTTCCCTGAAATATGATTTCCTCAAAAAGTAAATACCGTTCACACGGAACTGATCTTTATTCATTCATTCTTTATTACCTTAAACCTTGCGGTTTATCAGTACAGTGCATATATACAGTGCAAATTATACAGTACATATATATATATAAATAAGAGTACATAGAATACAATCTCCCGACCATGCATATACGATAAAATCCCAGAGAAAGTGTAGAGAGTGAATCCTTTAACCTGCAACAGTATTGCATCTCCTTTTTTGACATTGGTTTAGATATTTGGCTAAATTAGAAAGTTCTTTATTATTTCTTGTTGTCATCAAATCTAAAAAAAAATGCCATACTAGGTTTTTTATGATAATATTTTTTTAATGAAACGGTTTCTTAAATCAGTATAATGACACTTCAGTTTCGCCGATCTGTTTGTGGGAACCAGATACTGCTAATCATCAATAAAAGGAAACATTTTTTCGAAAAATAGTTTGCATTGAGTAAGTATATATGTTAGGCCGACTCGTATGACAGAATACCGGATTTTTTCACAGGTGTAAAGCACGTGTGGAATCTCGGTATGTTCTGCCGTCCGAGTGATTTTAATATAAATTGATTACATGACTGGAGGAACGACACCAAACACCGGTGTTCTACTGGACAGCGGTGCATTTTATATGTTATTTACGACCTGTCGGCCTCCTACTGTGTTTGTATCATAATGTCCGTATCACAACCTTACCTAAATATGTAAATTCTTATTATAAACAGCAGATAGTTACTTCCTTCTGCTGTAAGTAAACCTAACGGAAATTATGGTACATACCATGCACTAGCCTCATCTGTCAATACTTCTATAAATTATATCAGGGAGGGCCTTTAGAAATTTGCATATTTTACTAGTATCCTAATATAGAGTTTTGTGGAATTTCAAGAGTTTCGGCAGCTTATAGGGACGAGCATTATTTACATGTGTATTGGGTGTGGATAAAGTATGCAGACTGAGTTGGTGAGCCTCTTTTTTTTTATCGGAATATATTTAACGAAAATAATACACGAATTAGCGGTAACTGAATTCTGTATTAATAGTTTAAACCTGTTGAAATTCGGTTTAAAAGTGTTAAACATCTACTTATGGTGCAAAGCGGTATGTTCTAACAGGGACACAAAATAAAAGCCCATAATTAGTAGATTCTACAACGGAATTAGATTATCAAATTATCTATGTCCGTGATTCTTATCTACATATATATATATTACGTAATTTTAGGTTTCTGTGTAACCATTTCTTCCTGAATAAATTAGCTCATAATTAACATTGAATTTTCCTTTTAATTGTAATCCTTACACGATGTATTTAAGCTTTTTACGAGAAAACAGCATTATCGGACAGAAATGTACACATCTGGCTGCCCATTTGTCATTTTGAAATGACCCCTCTTGACCTTCTTCATCTGTCATAAGATATATAACTTCCGGGACAACATGGATCCGTCGGTGGGAGGACCCGGAGTAGACGACAGAAACGGTCAGTCGTCTGCTCCACATTCCTCTGATATTCCTGAACAGATTATATCAGACATGGATTCTTCGACGGACGCTGACAAATATGATACGAATGACAATGGCGCACAATCAGCCGCGGCTAGGGTGGGACAGAGCGAAAGTAGCTGTGTCAACCCGGAAGCGAAACTTTTCGGATGGTTGCAAATCCTCACACGTGGTATAATCAAAACAAACAGACAACGTTTCTGCGTGTTCGGAGATAGCACGTGCAAGCTATATATTTACCGTAATCAGCATGATTTTCTACCTTTGGATGAAATTGATATATCCAGGGCTTCTTTTCATTTTAACGCTGGAAATACTGGAAAGCCCGGGAGTTTTGAAATCAGGTACTGTACCCATACATGTATGATAGCTTACTAACATAGCTGGTGTTACATGCGCGTGCATAGTATTTAACAAAGAGTACAGATCGTTCTAATGAATGTTTATTTCTTATTATCAGATAAACAAACCACAGGACAATATTATATTTTTCTCAACATTCCTGAATTATAACATTGTAAGACATCTTCGTGTTCAAGATTATTCACTGATTATTCAAACCTTTTCTATTTGTCTTAAGTATTATACAGCAAAAATTGTAAGCATAATTTGTTAAAATATTTACACTTAAAAGATCTAGAGAACCAGTTAAACGAACAAAACAAAAAGAAAGATTTATATGTAGAAATTGCAAAACCTGTCGTTTTGTTAAAATGTATGATCAAAACTTTGTTAAAACTTTATCATTTCAAGTTTTATAAGTATCAGAGACAATTTTTTTTATTTATGGAATGCAACAATTAATTATATGATAATAAAAGTCTATCTGAATACTGAAATAGATGTATATAAATTTAAGCAATCCATAGGTATAGAACGCACATCGTGACGTGATATATACAGTAGAATATAAATTACCGATCAGATTTAAAATTGACTGTATAGAAAAAAAGGAGTGTATTTAGGACAATCTTGACTATTTTTTTCAGTGTTATAATGTAATGAATGCCAGTGATAACTTCTCATAATTCTTAAATCATGATATATTCTCATATTGATTAACAAGTTTTGTAATTATTGCATGGCGCTGAAATTAAGAACAACGATATAAAAAATATTAATTATCAAATTATGTTGAAAAAGGCCTTCTAGGAAAAATCTGAATTTAACATACAGATTTTCTCATTTTAGTAACATTATAATTGTTTACAATGACAAGTAATGGCTGCTGTAATTTGCGTTTCGGAAATCCTCTAACGATATCGTAGGCTGTAGCATTGATGAAATCAATGTTATCCAAATAGACTACCCAACACGGGTGCGCTTCGGTATGAGAAAGAGGCAGTTTCTTATCTCTGTAGTATATACGTCTCTTGGTAGAGAGAACTATGTAGGTATAATATTTGATTTCGCAAACATTTTTTTAAAGAATGGTTATAACAAATATGTATTGTAATTTTCCAAAAGGTAGGAAAGGCACAAAAAATAGAGTACTGTTCGGTTTCTACTGTAAGTCCCCAACCCTGTGCAATCTGCCCACTTAGTCCCTGTGATCAAAAGATGTTCTATTGTAAAGGTTGGAATCGTTCAATCTGTGCTTAAACATGTACCCCTCTAGGGTCCTTACATGTACCCCTCTAGGGTCCTTCTCAGAAGTGGCCCTACCCAACACTACAAAATTTGGTTAACATTACTTCACTGGTATGTTGGAGTAGTCTTTTAGAGATGTACTACCTGTTTCTTCTGTTGGGCCATGCCCCTTAACCCATCTTACATCTGTACACTGTTGGATCTCCTTGGTCCAGAGATCCTTTTCTATCACATATAAGGACTAAAAAACCCCATTACTCGTACTGAAGGAAGTCTTAAGATTGGTCCCTATTTCCACTATTGGGCCAGCCCCACTGCCCTAAAGGAGGCACATGTCCCTCTGTTTTACAATATTGACTTGGTACAGGGATCGATATTCCAAATATTAAAGGTAAATGTTCCTTTATCCTTTTTAATAAGAGATTGACTTTGTTTTTAATCATTTTCACCCATTTATCATCATCTTGTGAATACAAAACATGCCCCTTTAGCCCAGTAATCCAAATTAACTTAAGGTAGAGAGTCTCAATGCTGTATATGATATATAGTATCCTTAATGAGAGAGTACCTATTTTCTTCTTCTTTTTTAGCCCACCATCATCTGATGGTTGGCTATTCAAATCACCCTGCGTCCATGGTCCGTCCGTGGTCCGTGGTCCGTTGTCCGTGGTCCGTGTCCGTCCTTAAACAATTCTTGTTATCGGTATTTCTCAAGAAGTACCAAAGGGATCTTTCGCAAATTTTATCTATGTTCCCCTTGGTCCTTAGCTGTGCAGGGCAACTTTTGAGACGGATCGGATATACAACATGGCCGACAGCTAGGTGGCCGTCTCTGATTTTGATTGTGAAAGTTTGTTATCGCTATTTCTCGGGAAGTACCTGGGGGATCTTTTTCAAATTTGTTATGTAGGTTCCCCTTGGTCCTTAGCTGTTCAGGGCAACTTTTGAGACTGATCTGATAAACAACATGGCCGACAGGCAGCCATATTTGATTTTGATAGTGAAAGTTTGTTATCACTATTTCTTGGGAAGTACCAACAGGAACATTTTAGCCCACCATCATCTGATGGTGGGCTATTCAAATCACCCTGCGTCCGTGGTCCGTGGTCTGTCTGTCGTCCCTCCTTAAATAATTCTTGTTATCGGTATTTCTCAAGAAGTACCAAAGGGATCTTTCGCAAATTTTATATGTAGGTTCCCCTTGGTCCTTAGCTGTACAGGGCAACTTTTGAGACTGATCGGATAAACAACATGGCCGACAGGCAGCCATATTTGATTTTGATAGTGAAAGTTTGTTATCGCTATTTCTTGGGAAGTACCAAAGGGAACTTTTTAGCCCACCATCATCTGATGGTGGGCTATTCAAATCACCCTGCGTCCGTGGTCGGTCCGTGGTCCGTCCTTAAACAATTCTTGTTATCGGTATTTCTCAAGAAGTACCAGAGGGATCTTTCTTAAATTTTATATGTAGTTTCCCCTTGGTCCTTAGCTGTGCAGGGCAACTTTTGAGACTGATCGGATAAACAACATGGCCGACAGGCAGCCATATTTGATTTTGATAGTGAAAGTTTGTTATCGCTATTTCTCCGGAAGTAGTTGAGGGATCTTTTTAAAATTTTATATGTAGGTTCCCCTTGGTTATAATCTGTGCAGGGCAACTTTTGAGACTGATTGGATAAAAACAACATGGCCAACAGGCAACCATCTTGGATTTTGATAGTGTAGGTTTGTTACCACTATATTTCTCTGGAAGAACTACAGGGATCTTTCTTAAATTTTATATGTAGGTTCCCTTTGGTCTCTCGTTGTGCATATAATTGTCATATTTTGAGACTGATCATAAAAACAAAATGGATTAAAAGAAGAACTAAACAGATCTTTCTGCAATGATCGATTCTATTTCTTTCACATTAAGTACTGTACTAGTAAATATGTGAAATGACAAACTCACTTTGAAGGTTGGCTTTCATACACATCAGTATTAAGTTTAGATCAAAAGTTACCTCAAGGTGCATTTACTGTTAACATGACTCAATCAAACAGATTAGAGGAAAGAAGAGAAAAGATCGAACAGACAAAGAACTAATGAAGATGGTACAATGGTGGGCGCCAACAAGATCCCTCTGGGATCTCTTGTTTATTTCCTGACTTGGGAATTGCTTGCACATTTACTGTAGCGAAAACCATATGCAAAAGAAACAATTATAGGATAATTTCCTTTTTCACAATTATCTCAGCCACAAGGATTTGCTCCGAAGACATCTTGAATATAAAGAGGCAATCTATATATACTTTAATTGCTACCAGTCCAGATATTTGATACGTAATGTTAATGCTCACTGCAACATTACTGGGAACAATTTCAAATTAGTATGAATCCTATAAAACTCCCAGCAACCTAAACATTTCTTATGAAAAAAACAGGTGAAATAACATCATTTTAACAGGAAAATAACTTTTCAATGTCTGTCCACCATTACTAATAGAGTACTCCTATATCCCTTATTGGTGCCTACCTTTCCCACCAATTGACCACTTTTTACATCTATACAACTTTGAGTCTCCTAGGTCCAGTGATCCTGTATACCACATTATAAATGGTGTTAGTTGAAGATCTGAAGTGCAATACTGAGTATTTAATAAAATTCTTTATATTGTATGCTGAAGTGCTTTTAAATCCATCACTGCCTTCTTTCTTTCTTCGTACAAAGACACAGTCTTAAACGTTGCAAGACAAAATAAGACACTGCAAGACAGATAGATTTGATGCCATTGTAAAGAAATCTCTAAAAACTTATTCAATATTTAAAAATATCAGTCATGGAAAAATATAAAACTGAACATTTGTTACCCATATTATATTATCTTATCTGAATTCTTACCAGCTTCGATTATATTGATCACATAACTTTAAAAAAAAGTTAAGTTTGAATGTTACACTTGAGCTTTCCAAGTCACATTACCAGGTACACTCATTTGGGGCCTCGCTTGGAAATTGAGTAAGAGTTATCGCCCCAGAGTTCAAAGTGATGGAAGCAGATGGCATCGACTATGATTTAAGCAGATTGGCATTACCGTTGTTTGGTTTTGTCATTATGAAATATTCAATTTGCTTAGCCCTTGTCAAACTTAATTGATCAATCATGAGAAAACAAAAGTTATGTTTCCCTATTATAAGATTTGGACAATAAAGTTACGCAGGCCGAAAAAACGTTTTTGCTCTCCTAATTACAACATTGAACATACCTGAAGCAATCACACTCCCTAATGGTGAAGGCTGAGGGGAATGTGACTGCTGGCCCTGGTGATACCTGAAGCAATCACACTCCCTAATAGTGAAGGCTGAGGGGAATGTGACTGCTGGCCCTGGTGATACCTGAAGCAATCACACTCCCTAATGGTGAAGGCTGAGGGGAATGTGACTGCTGGCCCTGGTGATACCTGAAGCAATCACACTCCCTAATGGTGAAGGCTGAGGGGAATGTGACTGCTGGCCCTGGTGATACCTGAAGCAATCACACTCCCTAATGGTGAAGGCTGAGGGGAATGTGACTGCTGGCCCTGGTGATACCTGAAGCAATCACACTCCCTAATGGTGAAGGCTGAGGGGAATGTGACTGCTGGCCCTGGTGATACCTGAAACAATCACACTCCCTAATGGTGAAGGCTGAGGGGAATGTGACTGCTGGCCCTGGTGATACCTGAAGCAATCACACTCCCTAATGGTGAAGGCTGAGGGGAATGTGACTGCTGGCCCTGGTGATACCTGAAACAATCACACTCCCTAATGGTGAAGGCTGAGGGGAATGTGACTGCTGGCCCTGGTGATACCTGAAGCAATCACACTCCCTAATGGTGAAGGCTGAGGGGAATGTGACTGCTGGCCCTGGTGATACCTGAAACAATCACACTCCCTAATGGTGAAGGCTGAGGGGAATGTGACTGCTGGCCCTGGTGATACCTGAAGCAATCACACTCCCTAATGGTGAAGGCTGAGGGGAATGTGACTGCTGGCCCTGGTGATACCTGAAACAATCACACTCCCTAATGGTGAAGGCTGAGGGGAATGTGACTGCTGGCCCTGGTGATACCTGAAACAATCACACTCCCTAATGGTGAAGGCTGAGGGGAATGTGACTGCTGGCCCTGGTGATACCTGAAGCAATCACACTCCCTAATGGTGAAGGCTGAGGGGAATGTGACTGCTGGCCCTGGTGATACCTGAAACAATCACACTCCCTAATGGTGAAGGCTGAGGGGAATGTGACTGCTGGCCCTGGTGATACCTGAAACAATCACACTCCCTAATGGTGAAGGCTGAGGGGAATGTGACTGCTGGCCCTGGTGATACCTGAAGCAATCACACTCCCTAATGGTGAAGGCTGAGGGGAATGTGACTGCTGGCCCTGGTGATAACTGAAGCAATCACACTCCCTAATGGTGAAGGCTGAGGGGAATGTGACTACTGGTCCTGGTGATTACTGAAGCAATCACACTCCCTAATGGTGAAGGCTGAGGGGAATGTGACTGCTGGCCCTGGTGATAACTGAAACAATCACACTCCCAAAATTTGAAAAATATTGTCATGGGAGCACCTCATGTCTGGAGACACAATGTTTTGTCAACCCGGCCCACATGGGACTGTAAGACATATGGTGATTTGAACATCAGCATTAACCAAGTGGTGCAATTCAATACAAAAAGTTTGTGAATAGAAAGGATGAATAGCATGATCCCATAAACCTTGGTTAGCCAGTCAAATCAAAAAGGCTAAAGGGAAGAAAACATTAAAATGTAAATCCTGATGAAATCAATCTGTTTATGTGTGACTAAAACCCCCGGCAATGATCTGATGATGTGTGTATACTTCCTTGTTTGTTTGTAAATCCGCTGGGTACAAAACATTGATGTAATTGCTAGCTTTCTTGTTTAAATATCTCACATTAAAATGTGCCTATAACAGGTGGTGTGTATAACAATGCTTTGATCCCCCAGATATACAGCATCTATCTTTAACTGCAGGAAGATGTTACTAACAATATGACAAAAACGAAATTTTAAATAAAACAATTCATAATATTACTGACTGAAGGAAGACAATATTCTAGAAAAGTTCATACATGGTTTAATTAAACATTTTCTTCATATTAAAATTGACTCCCGAGGAAGAAAAATACTGATCCGATTGCGATTTATAATACAACTAAATGTCACTGATCCTCTCGTCCTCCAAAGTAGGGTATGGTATACAATACTCAATTGATATACACCTAAAAAACCAGAGGGTGTTATGATATTGTGCTGCCCATCTGTCAACTAGCCCAAACTTTCTAACCAGATGTTTTGAGGAAGATGCATATGATGAGAATCATATTCAGATTTGCATATTGTAAAAATAAATTGCTTTGTTAAATTTTATGATAGGCCTTGCATTTCTTATTCCTTTCCCTGCAAGTTTGAACCTTATGATCATTTAAAAAAAAAATGCAAAGGGAGGCAATCCATATAACAAATATTTAAGAAGAAATTGCCTGATTCCTTGATGATAAGTGAAGTTTAGTATGTTTTATGTCCAAAATATAATCAAACTTTCCAGAGTAATAAATGATATTAAGTTTCCTCTTTTTACATATCGTACATTGTATATATGCTTTCTTAAAAGAATGCACTAGAAGGCTTTTACACGTGACACTTTGTACTTTATTAAAACAAAACAGACATTAACAACTAAAAAAGGAAAACACATAACCCCAGAAATTCCTGTAAAAAACTTTGTTTTTTAACATCAGAATTATTTACAATAAAATGAACACAGTATCCTTCAGTTGCCAGTGACATATCTTTCCCTTTCACCAAAACATGGCGTTTGTGGGCATACAATGCTTACTATGGGAGGCTCTTGTTTGTTCTTTTCTTAGTTTTCTATATTTAAAATTTTATCAACATCACATTTGTTGTAAAAGGTCAAGGTCACAAATCTACCTGCACTTCACTACTTGAAACTTTACGAAGTTGAGACAAAATTACTTTTAAGTTCATTTTTACCTAAATTTTCATGGATTAGAAATTGTTGACTTATGACTTGTGTAACTTTATCAAGAAAAATCTCTATTTAATCTCCATAGATACACAGAATTGAAGATTTGCACCAAAAGTCCTACATATGATTTTATTTACATTATGAAATCGCCTAACAAACAACATTATATGTAAATCAGGTCTGGAGGGAAGGAGCACCTCCTGGATGCCTCTGACAGGCACTCGATGATGTACTGGCTACAGGAACTGCAGAAACGGCGCAGACTTTATAACATGGCAAGAAATTCCCTGTCGCGCGACAGACTGGGCCAGTGGAACGTCAGGGTGAGTAATTACGGACAATTTATACATCTAACTATCATCAACTGATATGTTTGATTCATTTGTACAGTTTCATGTTTTAAGAGTACTGTAAAACCTACTTATGCAACCACCTCCTTTAAGAGACCACTGTGTTAAAAGATCACTTTCATGGTTAATAAATGAATTGTTTTCATAATGAAATGAACCTAATAATTAAGAGATCACCTGCATTACTTGACCACATTTTGACTTCTCAAGATTTAACTACCTTGTACTCCCCTGTATGCAGAATGCAACATTTTATCAGCCGACCTATGTTTTTTTAAGTAGATTCTGATCATTTTTACTAATCCTGGCGTAAAAAAAACCCTACAATGTACTAGATCCAGATGTCCAACTAGTTGTACACTCCAGCTTTTCCAGCAAAATTTTGGCATTATCCAGGGGTTTGGTGATACATTGTATATTGAGGAATACATCAGGATGTTTTCTGAGGGCTTTTTGGGGCTGATAGTGGGCCCAATTCCCAATTGAAATTGTTCTGTATTTTTGCCTTATTCCCATAATTTTCAGTTTACTCCTTAAAATTCCTACCCAAAGGGTCGTTTTATTCCCAATTTGAGAACAAATGGGCCAATCCCCATTTATGTAAAAAAATGTGCTGTACATGCGAAGGAATTAATAAGAAAAAGAAAATGGGACATTGATGTATTTTGGTGGTTAAAAGCAAGGTACAATTTAGTAAATAAAAAGACGGGCATTTTATTAAGGTTTTACTGTATTTGTCTTTCCACTGCAGCTGCACAAGCAGCAAAAGTAAATAGTACACAGCGAAAGTTTCATTTGATAATTTAAGAGTATATGAATGGACTGTACTTATAGGCTGTACCTGTTGGAGTGATGTATATTTGTGGTCACTAAGCGGTAAAACTTGTAAATGATTGTAAGTGATGTGAGTCACACACAAGAGCTGCTACAATTAAGCCTCAGTTTGACTGCTTTTGATTGGTGAATATCCTCGTCCTCCTTATGTTACGACATGTGCCTATATGTAAGATCCAGGGCTGGAACTATATATCAATCCTTATGGGAAACATAGTTTGGTTGGTGTTACATGTATTATATAGTGACTCCTGTATCGTATATATATATTTAATAATTATTGATTAAAAGAACAAGATGAATAATTTTGTTACACTCAATTATTTAAGTCAAGATTTCTTTCAACATATTGCACACTGACAATGAATTTTGATAAATACACATTGTTTATATTAAGTTCCAAGTTCACTAATTCTCTTCTTGTCATGTCAAGTAGTGAATGTAATGTGCCATGTTACTTGCTTGCCTGAAAGACGTTACCAAGTAACAAGTTGAAATGGAAGATAACTGGACTTTTGCAGGCTCTGATACAGGCACCCTGTTAGGGCCAATGTTACAGTAAATGTTCTAAGAAAGCAATACTTTGTAATATATGGCTATACACTTTCTTAACTCATTCACCCCTGAAATTTCATAATGAACTATTCCAACCTTTGAATTGGAAGAGTTCAAATGCGTCTTTAGGGGTGAATGAATAAAAATATCAGAGTCATAATACACAGCCCTAGTGATATTTTACTGTGCATTTCTCCCTACATAAAAGTAGTATGCTACGGTAATAAATATTATTGTCCTAAATTAAAGGTTGATGCTATGTCCCAGGGTATAGCTTATTTTACCAGGCTGTAGTTGTCAATAGAACACAGTACAGTAAAACCTTGATATTTTGTTTTATTTGCCACCTTGCCTACCATTAGCATAATTTAAGGCCCCCTTTTCCTTTTTTACTTCACAATTTCCTCATGTCTACCTCAATATATTGCCAAATAGTTTTATAATGCTAAAGGTTTGCTGATATATGGTGGTAATAGCACAAATTTTTCTGTATCAAAGTTATAAAATTAAATTTTTCTTCTCTTCATTTACAGCATCGGCCACTGCATCAAATATTTTTTCACCTGATATCAAAAAATAATTCTTTTGACTTCATATTTACATTTGTGCTTGAAAATATATTGACAGAGAACGCAGGGCAACATTAGTGGGCTGGTTTCCAGGAAGGATGATATCAACATGGAGGTAGAGATTGGACAGAGTGATTTCCCTTTCATCAAAGCACCGGCGAGTCTGCTGCTCGGACCACCGGAGGGTACTACTACTAATTCTCTCTGGTCATTTACTAACCTCAAGTCTGAACTACAGAATGCCTTTTCTAACATAAAAGGGCCAGTGTCATTAGGTTTGTAGTGTACTATATATTATCTGTGTGACGACACCTGCTGCAGTCCTGTCTGACATGGCACAATGTCCAGCTCACGTATGTACCCGTGTTACACCAGCTGTAACGGCACACCACTACTACACCAGATATCACAGCACACAATTCCTGTTGGATGTTAAGAGGGGCTGACCACATTTTAGTTTTCTATTAATCATTCATATTGTCCCGTATTTGACAGATCTTTTGCACTGGTCTATTTTCGAAATGATGTTTTCTTCTCTTCTACATCTTTTGAACATTTTTAGGTCACCTGAGACAAAGTCTCAAGTGGTCCCAAAACCCCTGAACCAATTTCAATGAAATTTTGCAGGGACCTTCCATGGACAAAAGTCAACAATAATGGTGGCCGGTTTAGTCCCAGGCCCCCAGGGGCATGAGGGGCGGGGCCAAAAAGGGTCAAATTGGCTAAAATTTCAAAAATCTTCTTCTCAAGACCCAGATATGGTAGAATCAAATACTCTTCATAGATGGAAGGGTCTTAAGGTGCTTTACCAAAATTGTGAATTTCTTGACCCTGGCGTCTCATGTTTCCCTCTGGAGAGGGGGTAAACTTTACTATAGTTTATATAGGGAAATCACATTTTGGACCAACATTTGTTTAATTGCCATTGGAAGTAATTCAATTTGGGTTAGCATTATCAGTATTAGGTAGCAGTTTGATAATAAGCACATATGCGCCCTGACTGACCCCCAGGGGCTGATGGGTGGGGCCAAAACGGGACAAATTGACTAAAATTTCAAAAATCTTCTTCTCCAAAACCCCTCAACTAATTTCAATGAAATTTAGCAGGGACCTTCCAAGGACAAAGGTCAACAAAAATAGTGGCCGGTTTAGTCCCAAGCCCCCAGGGGCCTGAGGGGCAGGGCCAGAAAGGGTCAAATTGACTAAAATTTCAAAAATCTTCTTCTCAAGACCCAGATATGGTAGAATCAAATACTCTTCATAGATGGAAGGGTCTTAAGGTGCTTTACCAAAATTGTGAATTTCTTGACCCTGGGGTCTCATGTTTCCCCCTGGGGAGGGGGTAAACTTTACTATAGTTTATATAGGGAAATCACATTTTGGACCAACATTTGTTTAATTTCCATTGGAAGTAATTCAATTTGGGTAAGCATTATCAGTATTAGGTAGCAGTTTGATAATAAGCACATTTGCGCCCTGACTGACCCCCAGGGGTTGATGGGTGGGGCCAAAAAGGGTCGAATTTACTGAAATTTCAAAAATCTTCTTCTCAAGACCCAGATATGGTAGAATCAAATACTCTTCATAGATGGAAGGGTCTTAAGGTTTATGACCCTAGGGTCTCACGTTTACCCCCTGGGAAAGGAGGGGGTGGGGTGGGGGTGGGGGGCAAAATTTATTATGGTTTATAATGGCAAATGATACTTTGAATATTACATGTTAATAACTTGATTGGAATTATAACCTTGAGTTGACAGTTTGATACTTTGAAAATTGTGAGCCAGCCCTACCCCCAAGGGCTGTAGGGTGGGGCTCAAAGGAGTCATTGTGCTAAAATTTCTTCATTTTCCTTGTTTAGAATCAGTGGTGCTAGTTTCAAATACTTTTCAGTCTAAAATCTGTATGCTAGATATTGAATAAGGTGGTTTTATTGTTTTTTTTATCACTTTGAATAATATTTCTGTTCATGTTGAAAACAAAATCAACTCTCTGTATAAATATATCAGGTGACCGTTAAGGCCCATGGGCCTCTTGTTTATGGCTAAACACCTATCTTGAGGAATGTTTTATGGATCAACAGAAATTGGCTTACATATGATCTGCAAATTATCCCCTGACTTTTCTATGCCTATTCAAAAAGAGAAACAGAGTTGTATACATCATTACTCTCTCATTGGTTTTCTTTTTGTTTCCATTAGTACATGTAATGGTTAAGTAAAGCACTCTGTACAGTTAAACCTCAATATAATGCCCTTCTTTCCTTTTGCCACTTTGCTAACCGCCCACATTTTTCAAGGGAGCTTTTTCTCTTTTTCTTAAGAGTTCCTTTATGAGTCTCCCTTGATTGATTGCAAAATCCCTTTATAATGATGAAACTTCTCTGGACAAATGATGGCAATATAATTAACTCTACTTAGTATTTTACAATAAAACCTGATTTTATGACACTGTAATGTTTGTTATGATAGACTTGTTCCTGTCCTATACCTTTGCTTTGCCATTCACCACACTGTCATATCACATCAAATTATTCTGTCTCCCTTGATGTTGGTAAGGTGAAAATTCACAGCATTGTAAAGACTTGATATGATGCCACCTGTTTTATTTATCACCTTGCATACTGCAAAATATTTCAAGGTCTCATTTTCATTTTATTTTTTAAACATTTGGCTCTTTATATATCGCCAAACTCCCTTATAACACCAAAATTTCTCTGTATAAGCATTGGCAATATAACAAGGTTTTACTCTGTTTGTACAATGAATAAGCGCATATCTGATGATAAGCCCACCCATGTCAATGTACAAATAAAAACGTGGAGGATACTTAACAACACAGGGTGTTTATAAGATCAGATATGGTAATACAAACATAACGACACAGGGTGTTTATAAGATCAGATATGGTAATACAAACATAACGGCACAGGGTGTTTATAAGATCAGATATGGTATAATACAAACATGTTGCTGTACCAGTCGATAAATAAGAATTCAACGTACTTGTGTTACAGATAACACCATTCCCAGAAAACAGTCTGAGAGCTCCTCCCCGTCCCCTAGCCAAGAAGAACTAGTGACTCCCGATGGATCTACTCCTGCCCTCAGACATGCTCACATATCCGCCGTCAAACCGGGGGGTAAAGTTGGCAAATTCAAGACAGCATTTGGGAAAGTGTTGAGTAGGAAGTCTGTGATAAGTGACGAGGAAACAGCACCCAGCATCTGTAACAGGTGTAAACTGGTAAGTCTATTATCAGTGGGGGACAATAGATTGCTTTGCAGTACTTTACGTTGTTAAAAGGGGATTGCAGATCTGAAGAATAAATGTAAGCATTAACATTTTTAAGTTTTTGAATGAAATAAGCATACTGTTGCTTCGATGGCAATGCATAAAAAGTAACCTGAATAAATTGACCTCATGTTGATTGAAATGCCTTTTTCAGCATTTTTCAACACAAATTCATGAGTAAGTTTGCTTGATATGAATGTACAATATTTTGGTATCTGACACCTGATGTAATCATCCTAACAAACAAACAGACCTACCTCACCTCATCAATGATGATAACATAAAACCTTTTATTTAAGAATGTTCCTAGAGGCGTAAACTTCTGTAATACCAAGGCTTGTGTCACCTTGTCTTGTTAGTGTAAGGTTTAAAGAAGTAACATACACATAAAAAGGTTTGGTTATGACAGCTCCAGAAACAGCTGAGCAACGCCCAGCAGGACCAGCAGGCTACGGAGGAGGAGTTACAGGCAAATAGGGAGATTGTCCGTCTGCTGCAGAAAGAGTTGGATTCCATCACCAAGGAAATGGAAACAAGGTAAAAAGTTAACAAATACAGCCTAATCAGTTCCCTTGGTGACATTTTTTCAGTTATTTTATTCCATTATTTTGATTATTCCAATGTTATTGTAAGTATGAATGTGAAAAACATTACTTACACACCACATGAGCGGCCGTAGCGAAGTGATGGCTGTTCATTTGAAGTGTGTAAGTAAATTTTTCCCAATTCATACTCGCATAGAACACTAGAAAAATCCAAATTCAATCCCTATAATTCCCAGTCACTATCAATGGGAAGGAAAACAAAAAACTTCATTCAAATTATGAACTTTTTTCATGCATTCATTACAAACCGATTTTGTGTTTATACTGTGTATCTTCACTTGTACATGTATGTGATTGTTTAGATTCCAGATGAGTACACAAGATAGAGAGGGGTTCCAGGGAATGCTGAAGGAACGAGACAAACACATTATAGAACTCAAGTTTGGTCTGTCCTCCATGAAGGAAGAGAAGGAGTTATTAGCTCAACAACTCAGGTTTATATATCTTTGTTAAATTCCTAATACATATGTACCTCTATTGGTAAATGAGTCATTAATCAAAGTTACCTGGATTTTCTAATCTCAGGTCATCATTTCACCATATAGACCCTTACTTTGGTAATTAAATATATAAGCTTGGATACAATGAGTTGTGAGATGAAATAATATACATGTATAAGAAGTTTGCTTTTTACCAAATTCTTCTTATTATAACGATTTTTGTGTGTGATTATACACAAAACAAATCAAATTGAATAATTTGTTAAATAGTTAGAGAGGCCTGTTTGAAAAGCTGATCTTTTTGACATCTAGGGCAAAAACAGGAAACTTATGCAGCATCCAGGACCAATTAAAGATGTTCGAAGATATGCTAGCTGCCAAAGACGAGACTATCATCAAACTTACGAACAACCTTTCTGAAGCTGAGAAAAAGGTGGCCGACGGAAAGGCCAATGGTTTTGTAGACGTCTCTGAAGCAACGACAGTACCACCATTAGATTCACTCATATCCAACTCCACACCAGGACCTGTATCAGACACAAGGGAAATACAGAGACTCAAGGTAACTGTTGGAAAGGCTACCTGGTGAATACTAGAACACAAGGTAACAATTCGAAAATCTACCTGGTAAATACTAGAACACAAGGTAACAGTTAGAAAAGCTAAATAATAGAACACAAGGTAACAGTTAAAAAAGCTAAATACTAGAACACAAGGTAACAGTTAGAAAAGCTACCTGGTAAATACTAGAACACAAGGTAATAATTTGACCTGGTAAATACTAGAACACACGGTAACCATTAGAAAAGCAACCTGGTAACTACTAGAACACAAGGTAACCGTTAGAAAAAGTAAATACTAGAACACAAGTTAACCATTAGAAAAGCAACCTGGTAACTACTAGAACACAAGGTAACCGTTAGAAAAAGTAAATACTAGAACACAAGTTAACCATTAGAAAAGCAACCTGGTAAATACTAGAACACAAGGTAACAGTTTGAAAAGCTATCTGGTAAATACTAGAACTCAAGGTAACAGTTAGAAAAGCTACCTGGTAAATACTAGAACACAAGGTAACAATTTGACCTGGTAAATACTAGAACACAAGGTAACAGTTTGAAAAGCTACCTGGTAAATACTAGAACACAAGGTAACAGTTTGAAAAGCTATCGGGTAAATACTAGAACGCAAGGTAACAGTTAGAAAAGCTACCTTGTAAATCCAAGAACACAAGGTAACAGTTATAAAAGCTACCTGGTAAATTCTAGAACACAAGGTAACAATTTGACCTGGAAAATACTAGAACACAAGGCAACAGTTTGAAAAGCTACCTGGTAAATACTAGAACACAAGTTAACCATTAGAAAAGCAACCTGGGAAATACTAGAACACAAGGTAACAATTAGACAAGGTAAATACTAGAACACAAGGTAATAATTTGACCTGGTAAATACTAGAACACAATGTAACAGTTAGAAAAGCAACCTGGCAAGTACTAGAACACAAGGTAACTGTTAGCAAAGCAACCTGGTAAATACTAGAACACAAGGTAACAATTAGACAAGGTAAATACTAGAACACAAGGTAACAGTTTGAAAAGCAACCTGGTTAATACTAGAACACAATGTAACAGTTTGAAAAGCAACCTGGTTAATACTAGAACACAAGGTAACAGTTAGAAAAGCTACCTGGTGAATACTAGAACACAAGGTAACCGTTAGAAAAAGTAACTACTAGAACACAAGTTAACAGTTGGAAAAGCAACCTGGTAAATACTAGAACACAAGGTAACTGTTAGAAAAAGTAAATACTAGAACACAAGGTAACAGTTAGAAAAGCTACCTGGTCAATACTAGAACACAAGGTAACAGTTTGAAAAGATACCTGGTAAATACTAGAACACAAGGTAACAGTTTGAAAAGCTACCTGGTAAATACTAGTAACCGTTAGAAAAAGTAAATACTAAAACACAAGATAAAGTTAGATAGGTTAGATGCTAGAACAAATTAAGGTACAGTAAGAATTCCTTGGACAACTCCTGATAGACAGGATCTGTTAATAATTATTTTTGACTAATTTAAAGTTTTTTAGCCAACCATCATCTGATGGTGGGCTATTCAAATCACCCTGCGTCCGTGGTCCGTGGTCCGTCCATTGTCCGTCGTCCGTCATCCGCCCGTAAACAATTCTTGTTATTGGTATTTCTCAAGAAGTACAAAAGGGATCTTTCTCAAATTTTATATGCAGGTTCCCCTTGGTCCTTAACTGTGCAGGGCAACTTTTGAGACTGATCGGATAAACAACATGGCCGACAGGCAGCCATCTTGGATTTTGATATTGAAAGTTTGTTATCGCTATTTCTGGGGAAGTACTAGAGGGATCTTTCTCAAATTTTATATGTAGGTTCCCCTTGGTCCTTAGCTGTGCAGGGCAACTTTTGAGACTGATCAGATAAACAACATGGCCGACAGGCAGCCATCTTGGATTTTGATA